TTATCTGCCTGTGCATGGCCAAAAAACATATCAAAGATGTAATACAGGTTGCTTGCAGCTATGTCTATGTGTAACCTACCTTGATGCAGCTGTGTGTTGGTGCAAAGAGTGATGGTGATGGTCATTCAGCCAAAACTACTATTTGGGTTAGCGCGCCTTGAAGGCTGACCTTACCAAATCAGGATGCCCACCACAGGTACCCAAACTTCAAACTGTAATAGCACCACAACCACAGCATGTAGAGCTTAGTAGAGGATAGCATTGTGCTCAGAAAGCTCTATTGTATCCTCCAGCAGCGGAAACTCAAGAAAAAAAAATCCTAACCCTAACCCACATTTTGCCACTTGATGAAGTAGCCTTCATTGCCCTCAACTCCGTAGGAGTAGACATATCCGTCACGAAGGTCAGACGTATCTAACAACTTTCGGATCGTTGTGCGAATCCGCGCATACGAGCGTGTAGACCTGGCGTCGTGATTGACATGTGCAACAATGTTGAAGTGGCTCGAGTCGTAGGCTTTTGGCCAGTTTAATGCCGGATCAGCGTCTGTGCTAATGACAGGGCCTAATGAAGCTTGTGGAGGCAAGATGCGTAATTTGAAGTAAGAAACCTTCTGCGCCATCAAGGGAGCCGTGGCGATAGACAGGCGTGCTTGAGCTTCCGAAGAAGCCTTAGGCTCGTTCGATGGACTGCTGGCGAGGGCCCGTCTGCCTACTAACTTCAGCAAGGGTAGCACCAGCATGAGGCTTTCCATCCATGTCGCTAGCCACGTAGACTGCATCGGACTTTTATAGATGTCGCAAGTTCTGCTCCACTCCAGTACCTTGAGTAAAGATACGAGCTTGGTGTCTTCGGCGTATATCTTTGAGTTGGTGAGCTCTTGAAGCGTTCTCTCGCAATTCTGCTCCTTCTGCCCGCCAATCTTTCGCTTACACGCCCGTCCGTTGTCGTATGTAATACATTCGGCATTCAACTGCTCAAGAACCTTTCTGATAAGCCACTCATTGGAAAGTTCAGGCACGCTGCCATCAACACTATCAGGCGGAAACGCGAGCTTCCATGCCTCAAGTCGCCGCTTCTTCGGTTGGCCCGCATCGTGATTGTGGCAGTGCACTAGCAAGACGAGCTTGTGTAAGTCGGATTCAAAACTTGGAGAGGTACATATCAGGCTCTTCAGATTGCTTCCGGTATAGAAGTAACTAGTGTCAAGACTGGGTGGTTATTATGTTGTATTGCAGGTGAGCAAAAGCTCAATATATCCTATAGATGCTAGTCTATCACGTAATAGCCATCGGTGGATCCTTCTCCTCCGACAACTAGCTCCAAAATCTTGTAACTCGGGTTGCCCAACACGAGTGTCACATCAGCGCGAGGAATTCGAAGAGATAGATGCCGAGCACGCAGAAATGGGAGCAACAGGAAGGTAACATCTCAGCCTGACACCGCAAGGATAGACCGCGCGAATGGATGTCATTGATCTCCATAACGAAGCTCCTCATGCCTACCACCAAAATCCGCAAGTGGTGCCTAAAGGAGGTACCAAACACTGCTGGCAAGTGGAGCTGGCGGCAGCGCCACAAAAATCCAAACCTTGACTGTAGCGCCTTTGTGAAAGCTTGTCAGTAATCTCGCTACAACTGAGTAGTAGAATCAACTTACATGTAACCAATCCTGAAAATTCCCCCTTCCCACTGTGCAGTGCCAGCGATGTACCAGCCGCACATCGAGGTAATTATTTCGTATGCAGTGGTAATAAACTCCGTTGCAATACCATTCCAATCTATGTTATCGCTGTTGCACATGAAAGCGACGGTGCCTCCATACACTATATAAACCGCGTTCTGTGCTTTGAGACTACTGGTGATTGCTGCAGATTAGGAGTAAGCACTGGCAAAAATGTTTGGAGCTCCACTATCGTAGGGATAAACCTACTTTGGAAGTAGTTCTTGATAGCAGCTACCGCTTGGTCGGTTCCAGTATGGTCCAAGTCGTAGCCGCATCCACACCAGGTGGGTATGTCACCCCGTGGCTTGAGGGAGTGGAGGTTTTCCGTCTTCTCGGGTATCTCTCTTTCACCGATGGGCATAATATCTGTTATGCGGGTGTGAGTTTCGGTGCCGTCTGGCTCAATTGCCGCTAAGTACAGTCCGTCAGTGGCATAGTCTGGGATGACAAAGGCCTGAGCGAGTGCTCCTAGAGAGAGAAGAACAACGATGCTTTTGAGATGCATTGTGCAGAAACGAAAGAGCTTGTTTGGTGTTGTGGACTTGCTTCGTTGTTTCGTCTTTTTATATTCAATTCACATGGCATGCGCTAGCTGGAATGAGATAGAATGATAAAGGACCCACTGTCTTCGACGGCAGACACAGCGATGTCGCTTGAGAGGATCTAGTTGATATTAGATACCTGTCCTTGGACTAGAAGGTAGCTTCAGCCATACAGCTAGCGCTTACCGGTATATCACAAGCGAGCAGCATCTCGGCTGTTGTTTCCTCAAGTATACATCTGATCTACCCGATTAGCCAACTCCAGAAACAGCAACAACCTGCGATGCACCAGTCTCGATGCTCTTCCCGCTGGCCTGTGCCCTCGCAAAGGCCAATTGCCCGCTTACAGCTGCCTTCGTCTCAAACCCAGTTTTAACCACATTCGCCACCTCTTCCAACGTCTCATTACTCATCGCACCAAAAACAGCCCACTTTTACACCTCCGTTGCCCCATTCCAGCTCATATACCTTTCTGTCTCGTTCCCTTGCTTGCAGGTGAACACGTTTGGCGTCGCCTTAGGCGTACCCACCCACGGAGCTTTGTAGGTTCGATAGCTCTGCACGCCGGTTTAATATCTTCCTCGGTTCGCACAACAGCTGATTTTTCATACTTTGATAAGATTGAGCGACGGAAAGGAGGTTTGCTCTGACGGGAATGGCGCAAGTGAGCATCTAGTTCTGTGTATAGTATGACACTTTTGCAGGCATTGCAAGAGAGGTAGCCATATTCTGGAAGGTGTGACACCAAGTCGGTAGGCTGCAAGTTGACCTAGAACAAAAACTTAGAAGCAAAGACCAAACGTCACAGAGGTGGAGCCTTCAGTAATAAACCTTCATCAGCGCAGGCTTGTAGGGCATAATGTCCGCTTCAATGCGCATGCTGTTCAAGAGATAGAACAAGTACTATTCTGCATAACAGTACTAACACAACGCAGTTCGGTGATTCGACTTCTATATGACGCACGAAGCCATATCTACAGACGAAGTATGCAAGAGGCGGAGATGAGGCTGGTCGTTGAGGCTCAGTCTAATTTGGCAGATCCGAAGTGGAAATGGAGCTACTAGCTTTAGCGCGTCCATGTAAGGCGACTAAGGGGTAAAAGTGGAGCTGAAATGCATTTACACAAGAAAAGCGATGAGTTGCATGCATGTACGCTTACGTGCACTTCACGAGCAAAACCAACCTTGCGGCCGACTTCGACTTGGGATTGTGCTTTCAACACAGGCTTTTTCCTGCGTGTACATGGAAGTTTACCTTGATAGCCTCGCGAGAGGTCTAGCCAGAGATTCTGCCTTGCCATGAAAAGCACGAAATTGCGCTACCAGGTTGCGTCTTGGCTCGGCTGGCTCCTCCATGGGGATAAGTATCAGTTTGGTCAAGCGCTCCTTCCAACGCTAAGCTCCTCATGCAAACCACGGTCTCCCGTACTTCGAGGTGCTTATCTAGCTTCGCTTATTTCCTATAATCGCTGAGTGTGCATCGTTTTCGGAACCAACATGCGAGTCTAATCTCGAATTTCATTGAAGGTACTAGAACTCAGGCAGCAACGACCCCTGTGTCCACCGCCTTCCGCCTTTACAAGCCATCTGGACGCAGAGCACCAGTCTGCTCGTCTCTAACAGTACCAATGGCGGCGCGCGAGAGGGAAGAAATCTGCACTACCGCGTAATAGCACAGCTTAAGTATTCATTTTTGCACGATCGCGGGTAGGCATTCCAAGTATAAAGTCAGCATCAATTCCTTTGCCTTAGTCTGTACCGCCAAGAGTAACAGCTTATTTATACTCACCCACACGATTAACCTACCTTTTGCACTAGGGCGCTACAACTTGGCGCCCTCCAAGCTAAGTCTGACAGTCCTCTCTGCTCTGGTGGTTTTGGTCAGAAGCAGTCCGGTGTCCGACTCCGATAGTACCACATCCCTCGCCCATCCACGCGCAGTTCATCTCGATACCTTTGGGACGTTCCAGGATGGTACTTACCAAATGACCTATGAACCAGACGGCACAGCCTCAGTCATCATCATCAACAGCACCATCCCTCTTATAGATCAATCTGTCAAGCGCTCTACCAGCCCTCTAGTGCCACGTGCCTGCGGCATGGGTGTGGGATGCGATGGGATCATTCTGAATCATGGGGACTGCGACCTTACCGTTGAGGGACTGAAAGCGCAATGCGGGCGCAACGTGAACCATCTCAACTACAAAGGTTCTATCTATACGATTGCGGGTGACACGATGGCCTTTTACTGTTAGTGGAGGTATGAGGATCCCAAGCGGCCTCGTTGTGTGGCCGATTCGGACACGAATGCGAATCTGCTAATCACAGATTGTTGCGGGCTGTATCTCGCAGGGAGCTTCAGTGATGTGGGGAATAAGCTTGTGCAGAAGAGCAGGACGTATAGTTATGGATATACCACGGTGGAGCATGGATAGTGTGTTGGTGATTATTAGTGGGCATAGGAATAAGCTTGGTTTACTGATAGAAAAAGAAATATATCAAAACGTCGATCGTTGCAGCTTTGCACGACTGTACCCCTAGTTCTAACGTTAATAAGTCGGCGTTGTGGAAAAGGTTACGGATAGTCGACAGCGGCGACTCTTGGGGTACTTCCGCGTTAATCTGATATTTCTGCGACCAGGAACCATCGATGATGTGTATCTGTTGCTAAGCAACTTGCGATTCACTTGAATGTCTTCTTTTCTACTCGCCTTTTCCGCAGGTCGTGAATCAGGCGTGCATGAGAAAAGTTGTGAAAGGCGCCAGAGACGTCAAGAAGCAGGAGGCTGGCTACTTAGCCGACATTGCGGTCCCATGCTTCGTAGATCTCCCTGGTGACGGCGTGGAGTGCGTACTCAGTGGACCGAATCTTCCTGCCGCCCATGTGTTTTGATGGTAGAACGTGGTACGTCTCGGCCACGTGACTAAATCGTTTGGCTGTAACTGCATTCATGGTACAATAGCCTCTCCATACATCAACTAAAGCAGCTGGAGCTCGCATGTTCACTCGTTTGGCGCGTCAGCAACCGCCTCAGAGCTCTGGGAAAGTGTACTAGGGCTTCGGGATGGCTCTACGACGTCGCTGGCGGGCTTGGGTTGCGTGTCCGGGAGCTCTATGGGCCGGCTGGCAGTGCTGGGTGGTAATGTATTGCTCTTGATGGCTTTGAGTGTGGGTATCCGAGCGCGTTTTGCAGGGAGGTGGGTACTGCCAGCGCTTGACATGGCGCGTTTGGGTGGCATGCTGGGCTATTGGCAAGGCTATAAGGTCATCAACACGCACTCAGATGACTTGTATAGGCAAAAAGTACACTTTTAACAGCAGAAATTACGCGACGATGGGTATCAGCTGGGCAAGGGATGGCTGGGTGAGACACCTAACACAATTTGAGTGAGTGCTAACGGTGCTAACAGCCAACACAACACCAGAATCCGACGGGAAAATATCACAATCTAGCACCGAGGACCCGGAAGAGGACACCGAGTTTATCCAATATATCAAGTCAAGCATCAGAAAATACTTGACTTATGCCTCAATTATCCCCGTGAGGCTTGATTTGCAAGTCCAACTACACCAAATCCTCGAAAACCCAGACTTCCAAGTATACTTGTTTGTTGGCAAATCTGGTCAGCACTGTTGTAAAGTAGTGAAGGGCTGTGTTGCATTTAGTCGTGATGGAACAGCCGCATTTGCGAGGTTCGCTGAACAGCACAGCATCAAGCCGGTCACCGCGAAGGAATTCGACTTTGACGATGCGATTGCCGCCTTTAAAGTGTTGCAGAATCAGACGGAAGTTAGAAAAACAGTTATTAGCGATGAGTGAGGCACATCATGCTGATATTAGTGGTTGTCACGTGTAGCTCATACAGGGTGTATGCATATGTATGTGTTTGCCAGCGGTCCGCTGCACTGATTGTCCAGTTCATTCGGTTAGTGCAGTTTGCCTCCCCATCCTACCACTGCTATTTTCCACTATATAGTTCCGATCAATCCTTGCCATAGCTCCACAGATCAACCAAATCATCTCAATCCTTCCACAGTATGTGTTGGTGTTCGTACAATGGAAGCGAAAACCGAGCTCGAATAAGTTATGAGCAACGCAAACATCACGATCTTGGCCACATTTATTTTGTCGTTGTTCTCTCCATCTTCCAATGATGTTATTGCCGCTCGTTTCGACTTGTGGGCCGCGACTTTCGGAAGCTGGGCATGTGGCCTGATATTCCTCGGTGCTAGCTCCAAATCGGCCCAATTCGGAGAGAGAATCATGCCACTTCCGGCCTTGGAACCTCACGAAGTTGCTGGAAATGGTTCGAAGTTGGGCTGAAGGAATGGTACGGGTCTTGGTTGCGCATGTGACTCTTTGCTACATTTGTTCGCACAAATCGCGCGATTACCTTTGCTCGCTCTGATATTCACACTGCGACACTCGATTGCGTTCGCTTCGGGTACCCGAAGACAAAAACCATCAAATCGACTCACACAATACCTCTACTTTCATCGACTACGCTTTTGATCAATCTTTCCTTGAGAAGTCTGCCAAACAATTGGAATCGTCGCAAAAGCACGCTTGTCAACTCGACCACTCACCGCAAGCCGTACTGCAACCTTGGCCCACGGCAGCAGCACCAAATTATCACACACAAAACCCACACATCCAACAGGCCTGCCTCAAAAATCACAAAATGTGGTTCACCCGCGGTTTCAGTCTCACAAATTTCGTCATCGGCACATCCGCGTTAACTTTCCAAGTCTTTGTGCTGTACCCGTGGCACGAGCAGCTGGACGAGGAGTTTAAGGAGCTAAGGAAAGAGCATGCGAGATTGCTGGATGAGACGCATAAGCAGCATGGAATGGAGTTGAGGAGGATTAGAGAGCAGTTGGAAGAGTTGAGTAGGGAGAAGAAGGGCGGGTGGTGGCAGTGATGAGACGAGCATGCGCTTGAGGCTTTGATGTTATTTTGATGGGTGGTGGAGTGAGTTTGTGCGGATGTGTTATAGGTATGTGAGCCTTCGAGAAATATAGAGAATATGAACGCTGATGAATAATAAGAGCAAAGGGGTCAAGCGAATGACTTGAAATTGACTTGTTTCTATAGCTGACCTTTTCGTGAAGCAAGCGCTATGAACCTCGCAACGTGCAATGCTGCTAATCTACCCAGAGACCTTTAGAACGTCAGAAGTATAGTGGCTGGCATATACTTTATGTAGTGTGACCTTACATCAGCAAGTGAAGACTGACAGCAACCATAAAGAGCTGCGCCATGAACACCGCAAGCAGAACGAACTACGACACGTTGTAGCCGCGGAATTGGATGACCATGCCCACAGCAGGAGCTGAATCGGCAGGCACAGCAGAAACAGCGGGAGGAGCCGCGGCAGCAGCGGTGGTACCCTTGGTCTTGCGACGCTGTGCACCGCCCGGCTTGTTCTTCTTTGGATCGGGACCGGGCGCCTCGCGTTGTGTACCTTTATATCAGGCGCGCCCTTCACATCCTTCTCGTCATCCGCCTCGGCAGGTTCGTGGGCTCAGCAGCTACAGTTGTAGCACGGACAGCCTGCTTGGCAGACTTAACCTACTTACAATTATGGAGGTTCCTCTCCTTCTTGGTGAGGACTGGCATCTCGGCGATGTCATTGTTCTCGGCATCAGAAGGCGCCTTATCGTCGGTAGCAGAAGCTATGGTAACCTAGTCATCATTATTCGACTCGTCGATGGCTTCCTGAGTTTCATCCTCTGGAGATGTAGCAGACGAGTCGGAGTCCTTGGCCGTGGTGGAAGTAGCAGCACGTTTACTGGCCGCTCGACGATGTGCCTTGGTACGTGTTTTCTCCTTGCTAGCGAGGACGGGCTCGTACGGGAAGTCTTCAAAACCAGAAGATGCCTCATCATCGACCCAAGGTGTCACAAGGTGGTCATCTATATTGCTTAGATCAATGAGAACTTCCTGGGCAGGGGGTTGCACGGGCTGCTGCTCCTCAATGAGGTCGGCTGAAGTGGTTGCAAAAAGCTCAGTCTGATGATGTTCATCTCGCGAGCGAGTAGTAGGTCTTCAGCATCCTGAGTTGATGGGGATGCCTTGACTCAGAAGACATGGTGTTTTGTGGTGTTGGTTGCGTTGTGTGAAGGGAAGCCGTGTTGTTGGAAGGGCAATTTGCGCGTGGATATAAAAGTAGGAAGAAAGCTTGCGCAAGCTGAAGAGCCTTGGTGAAAATGTTGCTGTACCGTGAATGTTGTTCGCGAGGGTGCTAGTGCTTCTCTGCCATCTCTCATTGGCCAGCTCATTCAGGGTTCGCATGTTGTCCATATTCAGGTCGTTCATAATACTCAATTGACAGTTCTTCCACATTCATCAAATATTTTCCAAGGAGCGTACGGTCGCTATATGGTGAATGCTGGGTGGAAAGTTGAGAAGATGAGTCTGGTGGTAAGAAGGAGCGGAGGCGGCGAGCTGAAATAATCGGGAGACGGAGTTGTTGCTTTCATTGCACCGCCAGATATTTGCCTCAGGCTCGCAAGTTTCAGTGTCTGACGAAGCGTTGAGACCATTTCATTTATTGTGAAAGTGCTTTGCAACGAGACGTGGTAGCGAAGTGAACGGTATGACGAAGAATTGGTAGAGTGTACATTGATCAACCGGACTACAGAACCTGTGACCTTAAGGAAGCGAGATAGCACAGGAAATACTGGCAGAAGAATTTGCAGGTCATCTCGTAGCCGTAAGGGCGCAAATGGAACGTCTCGCCAGAAGCTGCTCAGGTAGGTATGGACCAAACCAGTACCGCAAGATGGAAAGGCAATAGACAAGAAGAATAGGTCATTTGGGTATCGCGAAGAGAGAGGAGAATACTTATCAAAACGTCCAACACTTCAAGCAAACTAAGGAAGCAATGGTATCTTCTGGACCCATTCTGGAACCTCCCAGCCGTGCTGCTGTGACAGCTGCGCCCACCCTGAGCGGACCCAGGTCATTTTGGCTGCAAAATCTGACACGGAGAAGTCGCGCAATGCACCGTTGGGACCACAATATTTTTTGAAGATGCGCTCTAAGGCTGGACAACAAACGTTCAGCGGAGTGCAAGCAAGCATGATGTTGGGGCCAAACTTACCGTCAGATGACTGCAGAGCATCAAGCAGCATTGTTTCCTGCTCCTTCGTCCACTCCTTACCGCTAGACGCAGGAGTCGACTGTGGTGGCGGCATACTGCGCTTTATAAAGAACGGTACGCGCTCGAATTGACGGCCGTCGGCGTCTGTCTCTACAAGTTCAACAGGTTCGACGAACCTCAATCTTCGCCTTCGTGCAGGATCGGGCTCGCACTGCATCCGTGCGATGTGAATATCCTGCCAACGCTTCCTCCTCTCCCTCCCAGCACGCACAGCGTCTTCTCTCTGGATCAGTGCCTGCTCTTGTTCCTCTCGTTGTCGTTGTAGATCCAGAAGCGCCTGGCGAGTTTGCTGGACCTTCTTGAGATGACCAAATTTTACTCGGAACGCCTTCTCAACGGCTCTCAAGGGAGTAATCAGACCACCTTCGACACTCTTGATAAGGCGGTCGCCTTGGGTTTGTTGCGGCACTGTGACCTTCCAGGCGTCCATTGTGTCTTTGAACTTCAGAACCTCGCAGATAAAGGGATAAACGATCTGCATAGCTTCTAGTGACTCGGTGATCTCGCCTTGCTTCTCTTGTAGCTTGTCGTGCATGGCCTCAAGGACCAAAGTCAAGGCGCGGAAAAGATAGGCGAACGCATCGCGCTTAAAAACGACTCGCCTCTCCTGTTGGACCCAAGAGCCAATGACTGTAAGCAGATCGGTAAGATCGTCTTTACACCTGGTTATGTCATCTAAAGAGCAATCTTCACCAGACTGGCTGAGCGTGACCCGCGACCTGTCGCATCTGCGATGTATATTTCTGCCCAGCTTGGTCGAACAAACTCCAGAGCGTTCTTCGGAGTCTGCGAACTGGAACACTTTGTCCAGAGCGTGGAGCCGGTTGAACTGATCGTTCGTCGTTTGTGAGCCTGCCAAGTTTGCGCATTCATTGTTGGCCTCCTCGTTCTGTTCATCATGCTCCCGAGCACCTTCATCTTGCTCGTCGTTCTGCTCGTCGTTATGCTCACCGTCTGGTCCATCATCGTTGTCTTGCCCATTGTCCTGGCCATGGTCCTGGCCATGGTCCTCATTGCTTCTAGTGCCCGCATTCCTGGGTTTGTCTTCGCGATCATCCTTACATTTTCCTCCATCGCCTGTTGCATGAGCCGAAGGCTGAGGGGCTTCTGCAACATTTTCACCATCTGCATCGTCGACTTGTGCGAGTACGTGATTGATAGCTTGAATTTTTCTGGTCGTTGCTCGTACAGGCTGTGCACTCACCTTCCGTCGCTGGCCAGACGCAGTGGCAGGTATGGCAGTTGCTGAGTTGTCTTTCGCCTCTTCCAGCTCAGCTTGGGCTGTGCGCAATCCCGTGGGTCTGATGAACACCCTGACCTCAGGCTGTGGGTCGCCGCGTGGTCGTGCATCCTGTTGTGTCGTAGATTTTGGCGCGATCAAGACTTCGTCGAATTCAGCAGCGTCTGGGCTGACGAACCTCGGACCGTTCAACCTTCTGCGCCTCTTGGCGACTGGAGCCTTGTCGCTGGGCTCAACGCTTGTTGCAGTATTAGGCACATCTTCATAGCGAACCTTTCGCTTAGCCTTCGTGGAGATAGCAGACGGCTCATCCTCCTCTTGCACTTCGACAGTACCAGCGTCAGATAGTCGGGCAGATACTGTACTTCCGCCGCTCTTGCGCTTCGGTGGTCGTCCTCGCCACTTGTGGATGGCTGACGATGCCTCTTCGTGTACAGGCGGCACTAATGACACGGGCACGATCTCGACATGATCGTCTTCTACGGGCTCCTCGTTTGCGGCTGGTACATCGTCGCTTTCAGGAACTTCGGCGGGAACATCATCTTCTGACCGCACCTGACTCGTCTCTGGTACCACATCTACAATATCACCAGCGCTCACGGAGTTCTGTGCGTGTGCTTCATCTTCAGAAGCTACAACCTGCGCAGGCAGAGAGCTCCTCTTCTGCGGGCTAGGGTTCAGGTCGTACACTCCCGTGCCTCGGACTTTTCTTGGACGCTCTTCAGGAAGACTGACACGCTTCAGAGACCCTGGCCTCAGCTTGCCCGGCTTGAGCAGCTTTCCTGCTCTTCCTGCTTGAGTCAGCGCCGGAGCTGGTGGCTTGGGAAGCATGCGCGCTGCATTGAGAAGGTTGGCGCCGATGACTGCAGCATATTGGCGCCGAACAGGACTACTGGCTTCGGCGAGGAGCTGCTGCGATGCGGCTTCGGTGTCGCTGAACGAGGGTGAAGAGAGAATGTCGGCAGCTATATCATGGTCAAACAATGTAAACAAAGCTGCTTGAACGCGCCGTTATGCTTACTTCCGGATCTAGGCGCCATTGTGCGCCACTAGAGCGATGCTCAAATCTATGCGACCGCTGCTATCGCATCGCCGTCGTGAAGGACAGCAAGACCTGCCCTATCATGCATCAAGTGTGGGGTGAAGGAGTTCTAATTCGAGAGGTTGGCAGTCGCATTGCGGGACCAGCCTAGCGCGAACCGCCAACGGGCTTCGAAAGCGCGCCATCACATGCCCTGCATCGACCATCAACACCACACACCATCCATCATGACACAAAACACACCAACAGCTCCCACTCTCACAGTGTTGGATCCAGCAAAAGGCCATGATTTCCAGACACCGAAGAAGTGCATCAACGACGGCGACGATGTCACGTCTTTCCTGGCATCAAAAGCCTACGCCGACATCATGACTTTCATATTCCAGCTGAATACATCTATAATACCCAGGAAACACAAAGACCAAGAGCGAGGGACAGAATCCGTCAAAGAGTGGACACTGCAAGACCCAGAAGTCCCGCACCCACCCGTCGTCCAAAACCTCGCCAAGCTGCTCGACGCATTGACATCCATCATCGATGAAGCACCGCCAGACACAGGACCCCGTCGTTTCGGCAACGTGAGCTTCAGAAAGTGGTACGATATCGTACGAGAACGGGCTTCGGACCTGCTTGATCGGTATTTGCCAGCTGAGGTTCTGGCGTACAAATCCACGTCCGAAGTATCAGCAAAAAGCGAGCTGGAAGCGTACTTTATCGGCAGTTTCGGCAGCTCCCAACGCCTCGACTACGGCACTGGACATGAACTCAGTTTCATCGCTTTCCTCGGGTGTTTGTGGAAACTCGGCGCCTTCCCTGCATCACGGGATGGAGATCAGGAGCGTGGCATCGTCCTTGGTGTTATCGAGCCGTACCTCGTTCTCATTCGCCGTCTGATTCTCACATACACACTTGAACCAGCCGGTTCGCATGGTGTATGGGGCCTGGACGACCATACCTTTGTGTCGTACATCTTCGGCAGCGCGCAGTTCTCTCCACCCATATCGACACCAGCAGATGTTGCAACAGAGGGCTCGCTCGCCAACGCACCGAATCCAGCAGATGTGGCCAAACTTGCTGCCGTTCAGAGGGAAAGAGGAAGAAACATGTACTTCAGCGCCATCGGCTTCATCTACGACGTCAAGAAAGGACCGTTCTGGGAGCACAGTCCTATTCTCTACGATGTCTCTGGCGTGAAAGCTGGGTGGGCGAAGATCAATAAGGTGAGTCTTCTTCCCATCTCCTCCCCAAACACAGCGAGGAGCCAAGCATAGTGAGGGCCTTCTACCCTTACCCAATCACATGAGGTTGGTAAACATTCTGACAAACAACAGGGCATGATAAAAATGTACAACGCCGAAGTCCTCTCCAAATTCCCCGTAGTCCAACACTTCCCCTTCGGGTCACTTTTCTCCTGGACGGCAGACCCCAACGCGCCCAAGATACAGGCAAGCGTTCACACTTCCTCGCAGCCGAAATCCGTTATGCCGAGTAGCTCCGCACCGACGGTACGGCAGACAGGACCTCAATCAGCGCTGCGAGACCCGCTGGCAGAGCCAACTCGAGTGGGTGCGCCTCAACCGCCACTTCGCGATCCGCTAGCCGCTGGAGGTGGTATGCCGATGACGGCCGCGCCGTGGGCAAAAGCTGCTGGACCGAACGTGCCTGCAGGCCCTAACCAACCGACAAGAGCACCCTGGGCATCGAGTACAAGAGCGCCGCCGGCTCCACCGGGTGCGAGTACGGCGAGGCTGTTACCTCCTGATGCGGGAACTGCTGCGCCGTGGGCACGAGGGCCAGGAGGAACAGGAGCGCCGGGTGTGCCTGATGGACAGCCGGGTACGAGAGCACCATGGGCGGATAAGAAAGCTTAGATGTGAATAAAGTGCCCGTGGATGTCTGCATCGCTGTGACATGATAGGGTACGACTTCAACTGTTCATTCTCACCGGTATCACTATCTACGCAGTACAGAGGGTGGACGAACATCAACGGGCTAGTCTCCATCAGGTCCATAGTTGAATCAGCGATGCGTCCACACCAAGCCGTTCCTTTCTCGTGATTCAAGATGTATTTGTACGTCAACTTCACGCTTGCTTCTACCTCTACCTCTACCTCTACCCAATGGTGCTTTTGTCTTCATCATCTCGCGTCATGTGCTCAACAATCACGCCTCCTCGCATCTACGGGCGCCGTTTGCAAAACCTTCCAAATGCCCTGATTGCTGATTGACGCGGTGTCCCGCTCCGATGCTCTCCCATGCTCAGCACACACAACCACCTCCTTCAGGCATCACGGCCCGACTTCTCATCATGCCATCTAGTCGCTGCTATCTCCCCCACCTACTTTCCAAGCTCTCGTCGTGTCTTGTAGCCCTTTAGCAGGACGTGCGCGCCCCGGAGCGGAGCTAAGCTGAGCTGAGATGACAGTAGCGCCCATTCGATATCGGACCTTGGCATATCAACAATGTCTCGACTCCCCCATCTGTGCCCCTACGATCCATCATTTCGCGTCGTCCTTTGTTCCTGACGCGGAACCAGATCCGCTCCCATCGAATGCCTGATCCAGCTTCTTCAGCGCCTCTGCATGGATAATCTCCCTGGCCCCCTTGTACGGCAGGTTCGTTGGCAGATCGCGCATAACCTGCTGCACCAAATCCTCCAACGCCTTCGGGTTGTGAGATTCGAGGGCCGACTTGGCGCTCGCTTTCGACGCGATCGCTGCGGTCGCTGATGGCGCCCCTGTAGGAGCTGGGGTCGCGGTGGAGCTCCCTGCAGCCGCTGGAGTGAAAGCCGGGAGAGGCTGCTGATGCGGAAGCCCCGGCTGGGGTTGGTGGGGTTGGGGCTGGCGTTTGCGTAGCATGACTTGGCCTTTGCCGTCCATGTACGTCTCGTAGCCCTGCTGATCGAGCACCTCATCGGGTACCTTGACGTTGACTGGTATTCCCGTGGTGCCGGCTTTGTCCATTTTATCTCTCAACGACTGCTCGACGGGCGTGGTCCCCTTGGGGCCATCTCGTTCCTGATTATACCGCTCGAGGGCTCTAATGCGTTCTTGGTTTTCGCGGTTTCCTTCCATGAGGAAGCGCAGACACATGATTGCGTGTTCTCTTATGTAGGGATTGTGTTCGTCGTACGAACAGCAGTTGAGAACTGCTTCGATGCCGCCGAGGGGTCGTATTTGATTTTGCACCAGTGTGTTTTTCCACACTAGACTGCTCAGTACTAGAACAGCTAGTTTCTTCAGATTCCGCCATTCGAAGTCCGATGGCTCGTCGGCAGCTTCGTCCATGTACGGACGCGGCGAGGGCGAGGTCGGGGGCGGGATATAACTCTCCGCATGGCTCGGCGCGGGATCGTACGGCCGCTCTACGGCAACAGGTGGCGGATGCTGAGGTGGGGATTGGTGGTGTTGGGATTGGTGGTGTTGGGGTTGCGAAGGAGGGTTGTCGACTTCGACGGGCGCAGGGGGTGGAGGTGCAGGCGCGGAGTGGCGGAGGGGAGGCACGCTGAGTTGGCCTTTGGGGATTGCGGCGTCGAGTTCTTTCAAGAGGGTGACGAGCTCGTTGGCGATCTCCCAGTTTGAGAGCATCCGCTTCCAGGTCTCGTGCTCGGTGAGGATGGCGAAGAATTCGAGGTACTGGTACACGCCTTCGTACATGCGCTCCATGTCCCAGAGGTTTAGTGGGAAGTCCTCTGGCTGTGCGTGGCCGGCACGGATCTGTCCTTGGAGGAAGATGAGCGCGCAGGTTTGCGGGATGATGTGTCGGCGGAACTCGGTGAGGAGGAAGTTGACCATGTGCACATCGCCTTGGTCGACTTGTGGTGGCGCTGACTTGGCTATGCCCTTGGCTGGTTGTGCTCGCGCCTGTCGTGCTCTAAAAATGTTTGTAAGCAACTTCATGATGACGGCTTGCGCTGGCGATATGATGTCTTTGGATCTGCAAGATGTGTCAGCTCGAGCCCTACAAATCTGGGATTCGTCTGTGCCTACTCCGACTCTCTGAAAGCGTGGTAGGCGAACGGCAGCAGCTGGTTCGCGAGAATAGCTTCCATGATCTTGACCATGAACTTGAAGTAGAGCTCTTCCTCCCTCAAATCCCAAGCTGCGACAAAGATCAACAGCTCTCTGAGCAAGTTCCTCCCGTTGTCTTGGGCAAGCAGCAGGTGGCATCGCACACCGTGCATGCTCCTCACACTGCTGAACACAGTCGGATCCGAGTGATATCCCGGCTGCCCCTCCGACGGCTCCACAATCCCACCCATGATGATCATAGGCAGGACCTCGATCTCCGTCGGCCCCAGAATCAAGGGCACATCAGTCAACAACCCCCTTCCTTCATCCCCCGGAATATCATCGTAGTCGTCATCGGCATCATCGTCGTCGTCGTCAGGCGGCGGAGAAGTAGGAGAGGCTACATCGCTGATTAGCCCAGGACGGTCGGGGTCAGGCTCCAGACGCTTCAACAGGTCGTCTTTGCCATTCTGCAGGATCTCGGCGCCGAAGGAGGGCGGGTACGTTACACGGAAATCGATCTCACCTGCCGGGGGCGACCGCTTGATGCTGGGGTCTAAGAGCGAGTCCTCTGTTGCTGGGCGCGCGGGCTGCGAGGCCGGGGCGGCGGGCGCGGCGTCCGGGGAGAGGGTGCCTCCGTCGGGGTAAACGGTGATGGAGGAGCGCATCCGGTCTACTTCGACTTGGAGCTGGTTGATGCTTTTTGCGAGCGCTTGCACGTTTTCTTCGTTCTTTGCGTGCTGGTCGACGACTTTCTTGTAGGTGCTGGACTGGGTGATCTGGTCGCGGTATCTTGCGACTACGTCGGCGTAGAGCATGTTCCATTTCTGTAGACGTCAGGTCGAATTTGTGCGCAGTAGGGTGGCACACTCACGTTCTTCTCCTCTTCGCCCATCGTCTGCCATCTCCTCCTGCACTCTGCCGCGATCTCATTCGCGCCAGCCTTATCGCCGTGCTGCATCAGGGCCTTTTTGACCTCGTTGCCCGTTTCGCCAATATACAACAGGAAGGGCGAGGATGCAGGTTGCTGTGGGATTTTAAACGTATCCAGACTTCGTGCTGGCTGATGATGTTCGGGGAGAGGCTCCTGCTGCGGCGGCGCAGTCTGGTCCTGCGGTGTGAACTCGTCCATCTTGTACTTCATGTCGGCGAAATTGGGCAGCTCGTTATCGAGATGGCTGTCAAACAGCTCGATCCACAGCATGAGCTTCCTCTGCTCGTTCCTAGCGATGAGGTTATTGAGAAACTGGAGGCAGGTGATGAGCAGCTTCTTATCTGCCGGCATGTCAGCAAAATCTCAAACACCTCTCGATCCTGCGCTCTTACAAGCATTTATCACGCTCTGCCATTTGTCCTCATCTTGCGTCCCCGCCTCGCCATCATACCCTCTCGCCGTAACCCTAACGCAAACATTCACCAGATTGAAAACGTCCTTATCAAACAGCCTCTCTGCGCTCAAGTTCTGCACTCTCTCGCCATGCACCAGCACGTTCCGCGCAATACACACGAGCTGGTTCAGCCTCTCCAGATCCCTCAGCAAACTCGGGCTACAGCTCGCAATCAGCGGGCCAGACAGGCCCTCGTACTCCGGCGCCGCAGGGTCCGGCTGCGCAAAGCACCGCTTCTCGAGCGAGGGGATCGCGGCTTTGAGCACCGCGGCGAGGTCGTCCCAGAACTCCCATGACAGGCCGAGTTCCTCGCGCAGCTCGAGCCGCTTGCGCGAGTCTTCGAGCGTCTTTTTGACGACGTCGCGCTCGAGCATGCGCAGCGTTTCGTCGCGGATGTAGCCTGGGTTGCGGAAGTGGACAGTGTAGGGTGCGAGGGCAAGGCGGAGGCGCGTGAGGTAGGGACGGGCTTGGATGGGCGCGTCGTACTCGGAGTCGCCTGTGCTCTCCGACGCATACAGATCTTCCTGTGAGCCCAGCGAAGCATCGTGTCCTTGCGATCGGTCCATGGCTTCCCCTCCCTTGCGACGATTCCACTGATCCCACAGCCTAGTCTCGGCGAACAGACTGCGATAGACCCAGAGGCGGACGGGCGCAGGACTGCGTAGGATGCGGAAGATGTTGTTGTCGGCCAGTTTCTCCGAGATGTTGTGGTATTGCGCCAGCGCGACGGGGGCGAAGGCGAGGTGGTCGAGCGACGAAGGGGCTCCGCCAGCCGCTGTGAGTGAGGGCGATGCCGGCTCTGGTGGAGGACTTGGGGAAGACGGGGAAGACGGGGAAGATGGAGCGGACTGGTCCGTGGATGACAAATCCTTCTCTTGCTCGCCTGTTGCGGTCTGAGCGGTGGTCTCTCGAGTATTGTCAGGCAAGTGTTCACGCGCGTGTCTGGTGTCAGGCCCGCGCGGCGTCGAATCGGAGCGGAAGGACATGGTCGCAAACAATTTTGCGTCGGGCGCGGTCCAGCGTCATGGCTGCCCCGCCCCCGCTATGCATGGTTTGGCGCTAGTGTTATCGATAGCACATGGACTTTCGCGTTCGCCATGTCAGCGTACGGACACACGGAGGCATGTCGAGGGATCACAGCATTGCGTGTTGTAGACGAGCACCTGCTGCATCTGTCCACTGCGTTGGTCCACTGCGCTGGTCCACGGCGTTGGTCCGATGCATTGCATGTTCAGTTCAGAGTGTAGGCTTCGAATGTGATTGTCCATGAATGATAGATTTTCAAGTATAGATGTACGTTGCGGTGAAGTAGCAATCGCGGAAGGCACAGGCCAGCCACGTCAGAGTGCTTCGTTGGTGGTTGTTCTTGGACCCATGTAATGTGGGATCTGACACATAAGATAGGTGTCCCCCACAGGCATGAATGGTTCCTGACATCACAGCATCACTTCTCGAGTGACCAACAAGGGAGAAAGGACGGGAGACGGAACGGGAGACGGAACGGGAGACGGAAACACCACAACCTCGCGTTGCTCGGTATATCGACGGTTACATACCCTCAGCCCTCAGCTTGGCCGCCATGAACCGACTCACTTTCTTCGTCTTCCCGTTCCTCTCTTCCACGATCGGGCTGGCTTGGTCTTCTTCGGTGGGCTTGAAGCCGCCCTGTTGCTGGATGAACCTGTTCCGTGCCTTGTGGTACTCAGCCTGTATCTCGCGGTTGAGCACCGCAGCGTCGAACTCGTCAGGGGCAGCCGGCTCCGACGACGATGGGATGTGCTCGACGACTGTGTTGGCCAATGGACGACCGGCAGGGCCAGCAGGCACGGGCGGCGGCTCGTAGATTTGCGGGTTTGGAAGCATCCGAGGAGGTTGAGGCGTTGCGCGAGAGCTCTTGAAGCGCGACACCTTCGCTGACTGGAGGGGAGCTGTGGGTGCTTGGAATGGCTGTGCGGGTCGCTCGACGACAACGTCTGACATGGTTGGGGCTGGCTTCGATGACGTTGAACTGGCTTCCGGTGCTCGGACTGGCTGTGGAGTTGCAGAGATGTCGAGGTCATCAGCGAAACGAACGCCCTTCTTCCCGGACTGCGAGCCCGCTGTCTTAGGTTTCGCCGCACTCATGGTGTCGTCGAACTTGTCGTCCCTCTGGACCTTCAGCAGGCGCACACTCTCCGCTTGCTCCACAGTGTCGTCGTCCTCAGAACGAGGTCCGACGTTCTCGAGCATGCGAGCATTCAGCTTCCGCTCTAGCTCCAGCATCTGCTGCCGGTAGTCGTCTGTGACAGCAGGCCTGGTGCTGCGCCCGTACTCGTCCTCTTCTTCTTCTTCTTCGTCGTCGTCTTCGTCGTCGTCATCGAAGTCTGAGTACTCTGCTGTAGGGTGATCGAGGTCGAGCTCTGCAACGACTTGTCCAACTTCCGACAGGCCGTACTGGAGCATTTGCCGCCGCAACTCGGCGTCCTCCGGTGACTCGCCCTGTGGGATGATGGGATACGAAGCGACCAGGTTGTCGTCCTGGTCGAGCTCGATGACTTTGGTCCCTTGGGTGAAATTCAGAGCTTCCAAGTCGTCGTTGTAGCCATCCTTCTCGAGCGCGACTCGAGCTCTTGACGGTTCGACTTCGACTTCGACTTCGTTCGCGAAAGACACAGACCTCTTTGTGGTCTCCGGCACTTCAGGCTTGGTTTGAGTCTCAGACGGAGATTCGGCTGGACTAGGCTGTGCTTCAGTTGCAGCGGGCGCTGAGGATGCTAGAGCTGGAGGGCCGTCGGCCGAAGGTGTCTGCTTCTGCCCGACACCCTGCATCATCCTCTCCAGGTCCGCCTTCTGCAAGCCAGCTTTGCGCAACGCTTCGACGACCTCGGCAGCGCCCTTTCCCGTCTGGTTGACCGAGCTCGAGATGGCGTTGCCCTCTTCGTCCAACTCTTCCTCAATGTCCATCATGGGCAACCCCTCTTCATTGTCCACACCGGGATCTAACAGGACGTCGACGCCTGCAAGTTGCTTCTCAACAGCATCGAGCTGCTTTTCGACGCCAACGCTGTTCTGCTGTACATAGTCAATGCGCCGTTGAACGAGGTCAACGACTTGGTTAGCAGTGCGGTCTTTGCCGAGGAGCTCGTTGACCTCCTTCTCATTCAGCAGAGAAGCCTCGAGATCCTGCGCTATGGTGCGCATCTGTGATCGGGAGGGGTCATCGGCCGTCTCTATCTCCTCCTTGAACATCTGATACTCGGCCTCCCATGTTGTCCAGTGGGTGAGGGCGCGCCGTAGCTTGTCAACGCTCTCCTGGAGCTGCGCGCGGCGACGCTCGATGCCCTCTAACGTGCTTTGAGCAGACGCGGCCATCGTGAGACGGTGGTGGAGGAGAAGAGAGGTGCGACAGGATTTTCTGAGGTGGTATTTTGCCCCGAAGAAAAGCGCTAACTCGCTAAGGAAACAGGGCAATCCTTGACACCTGTTGTGGACGCCTGCAGCAAAGCTCGCTTTTGAGGTGTAACGAGGTTTTGGCTCCTGTTGTCTTCCCCAATGCATACAATAGATGTTCTAGCGCTGTTCGTATAGCCAGCAACAGCAGTGCTTAGTAATGACCTTGGATAGGCCATCTTGACTTCCCACCCGCTTCGCGCTCCATCCTTCCCGCGCATCTCTCCGCGCGTCACCCAGCCATGTCGAAAGTCACCTCGCGCGCCAACGGCGGCCAGGTGCGCCAGGGCGAAGCTGGCGGTGCGTCTCCTCTCTCCAAATCCCTCTACAGCTTATCTTTGAAGCCCTCTTCTCGTCCCCGTACTGATGCCGCCTCAGACGTCTGCCCAGTATGCAAGTCGTCGCGCTACCTCAACCCGAACATGAAGTTCCTCGTCAACCCAGAATGCTACCACAAGATGTGCGAGTCGTGCGTGGACCGCATCTTCAGCCACGGCCCGGCGCCGTGTCCGATTGCCGGGTGCGCGCGGACGCTCAGGAAGGGCAAGTTTAGGGAGGCGACGTTTGAGGACTTGAAGGTCGAGAGGGAGGTGGATATCCGGCGGCGGGTGGCTTCTATGTATGTTCGCGCCTCCTACCCGTATTGGCGAACGGACGGACAGGACTGACTTGGCCCAGCATGAACAAGGAAGAAAGCGACTTCGAGACGCTCAAAGACTACAACGACTACCTCGAGCAAGTGGAGGAGATCACATGGAACCTGATCCTCAAGATCGACGTCGACGAGACAAACCACCGCCTGCAGCGCTGGGCCGACGCGCAAGCCGCAGAGACAGGCGCCACCCGCCGCACCTACGAGCCCGACCCGTCGATGGCGGGTGCGTCGGGCGTCGTGCTGAAGAAGGGCGGAACGCAGCGGAGGGCACTCGAGACGTCATCTGGCAACACGACGGACACGAATGTCAAGGACAAGGGCTTCAATTTTCACGGACTGAAGAAGAAGGTCGCGCCGCCGCCAGAAGCTCCTTTTGACCCCTTCGACGGCTGGAGCATAGCACCGCAGTACTACACGCTGCAGAACGACTACGACGCCGACTGGCTTACTAAACACAAAAGGGAAAAGGAACAGTTGGTAGGAGGGTACCAGTGGAGCGACTTCTACAATCGCGCACTACAGGACGCATTTGGTGGTCTGACAGTCTTCATCGACGACGAGATCAGAGCAAGAGACATCCCGTCCGGGGACGCAGCCATTGGCACCGAACGAGCGGCCACTGCCGCCGCAGGAGGACAGGATGTGAATATGGATGACATTTTTTGAGCTTACATGATACCCGGCTTCTGCCATAGATACATTGGGCGGCGTTTGGAGCACCACTCTCCGTACACGTGAAACGATATTAGACTTATTTGTCTGGTCATGCATCTTACAACCGCTCCTCCACACTCCGCCTCCCCACCTGTCCCCCAGCCCCCGCATACCCCGTATCCTCATAGCCGAATTGCTCCTCCGGCAGTGCATACCCCTCTCCTCCCCTTGTCCTTGCATCCCGCAGAGCAGCTGGATTCGGATTGGTATCCCAAATTCCATCGTCAACGCCATCATCCGCTTCTAGCTGCGCTCTCCGCGTCTTCCCACTCTCCATCGCCAAACTCTGAAACCTCCCCTCCCTAGTACTGCTCCGCTGCACATGCACATCCAACCCCAGCGCCGCCAGCGTGCCCACCAGCCCCAGTAACGCGAAACTAAATAGCGCTTTGTATGCGCGACACACACTCACACCCAGTCCAGACTCCCAGTTTTCCACGGCGCATGCAGACGCCAAAGTGCTAGACGACCACCACGCAAGCAGCGCAAAGGAGACTGCCCAGAGGACGGCCAGCGACCCGTTGAGCACCAGGTTCAGGTAGGGGTTCAGACCGTGCCGGATGTGCAGGACTATCGTGAGGGCGAGGGAGAGGGACGTGAGCGCGGAGACTGCTAGGAGCTGGGGGTGTTGGTGTCATCAGAGTGCATATGAGCAGGACGCAGAAGTGGAATGGAGGGCTTTTGGTGGAAGTGGGCTCAGGCGTAGGGAGGAGTTACCAGTATGAACGTCCAAGGAAGAGAGTAGTTGTTCGCGGAGAGTTCGCGCAGAAAGTACGACATAATCGATGCGACTATGAGCGACGAGACGAGCTGGGCGCTGCGGATGGCGTGGAAAGGGAGGAAGGGGTAGGCCGTGGGTTTCACGCGGTCCCGCTTGAACGCCATGACCGAGATTGGTGAGGCGTTTAGATCGAGCGTTGAATAGCTAGAAGATTCGTGCAATATGGCTGCGCAACTTTCATCGAGCGCGATGGTTGGTGGAGGGAAAGACTACAGTTAGGCTACTGAGGTCTTCAGCTGCCACATGCAAACTCCAGCCTTGAACGACGCCAAGCGTTAGGTGATCATGACCAGCGCATCGTCGGGTGCGACAACAAGCAGCAACATATGTGGGTGAAGCTTCTACAAATTTGTAAACCTTGTCTTTCGCAAGGTTTCGAACGACTGCGTATTCTTGGAGTCCAATCAGCCCCCACACGTCATTCAGCCCTATGTTCTTTTGGTGGGTCAAAGACACTACCCCGCGCTTCGCCGTGAAGCTTCGCTGCTGACCGAGCCGATTAATCACAACTTCAGACCTTACGCCGTTGGTGGACTTTGCAAAGGCTCCCGGTGCGCGGCCGAAAGGCATTAGTCAGTACCGATGGCGACATGTCTGCATCGTCAGCATCACTACCGCAATCAGCAGAGGTTATGAACCCGTCGCGCTGAGACGTAGTATTTGAAAGGATCATTCGCCTCAGTCAAGGAAGGAACAAACAGTTCCCCTGATCGTAGTAGTTCAATGCAAGGCAAAAATTGAGTGTATAAAGAGGAGCACAAACTGTCATTCTTACACAGCGAAACCAGTCGACTTGCATTCGACCATCGACATGGCGTTCTCAATGGCACTGGGCTGGAGTGAAGGGGAGGAGAAGATGCACAAGCTCCTTCATGTACCTAACCAAGACAACCCGACAGCAACTATGCTCACACAGCAGGCCTCATTCATGCTCCAGCGCGCTCCACTTCTGGCTATAGGAACTCTTGATGACCAATCGCGTCCTTGGACCGCCCTGTGGGGTGGTGCATCTGGATTCTCTGAGCCCATCGGAGGCGGGTTTGTTGGAACACGGACGCTTGTTGACGGCAAGTATGATCCGGTTGTTCAGGCACTTGTTGGAGGCACTGAGAAGGGGGAGATGCTACAACCAAAAGGCAAAGGAAAGATGATCGCGGGACTAGCAATCGACCTTGTGACGAGGAAACGGGTAAAGATTGCAGGGAGGATGGCTGCTGGATCAGTCCAAGAAGTCGACATGGAGACTGAAGACAACGCAGCGCTACCCGCTGATGCCCTAGGAGCTCAAGACCAGATCCAACTCGTCACCAAGATCGAGCAGAGCATGGGAAACTGCCCCAAATACGTCAACCAGTACGAGATCAAGCCCGCTCTGATCACACCGAAACTCATCTCAGAAGGCCCCAGTCTCTCACCCGATGGCAGAGCGCTCGTCGACAAAGCAGACATGTTCTTCCTTACCACCGCCGCATCCAGCGATATGGACACCAACCACCGCGGCGGCCCACCAGGCTTCGTCCGCGTCATCTCGCCAACGTGCATCATCTACCCCGAATACTCGGGCAATCGTCTCTACCAATCGCTCGGCAACCTGCAACTCAACCCGCTCATCGGCATCACATTCCCGGACTACGAGACTGGCGATGTTTTGTACACGACTGGCACGGCCGAGGTACTCGTTGGTGCGGACGCAGCCCAGATGATGCCCGGCACAAATCTCGCGGTCAAAATCAACCTGACGTCGACACGCTTCGTAGCTTCGGGCCTTGCATTCAGGGGCGAGCTAAAGCTCAACGGCCATTCACCATATAACCCGCTCCTGCGCATTCTCGCATCAGAAGGGAACATCAAATCCCTCATCCCCCCATCCTCACCTAAAACCGCGCGACTCGTTAAGAGAACGCTTCTCACGCCCACCATTGCGCGTTTCACCTTTGAAATTGCTGGCGGCGTGAGTTACAAAGCGGGACAGTGGGTCGCTTTCGATTTCAAGCAGGACTTGGATATTGGATACTCACACATGCGCAATGACGATCCGCGGAGTCTCAACGACGATTTCGTGCGGACATTCACTATTTCGTCTGCGCCCACGGGTGTTGAGAAGGAGTTCGATATCACAATCCGCAAAGTCGGTCCAGTCACTGAGTACTTGTTCCAGCAAAATGAGCGCGCGGGCTTCGAAGTGCCCATCCTCGGTATCGGGGGCGAGTTCAAGATCGCACAAAAGGAGGAGGGAGGGGGAGTGACGCCGTTTGTAGCGGGCGGGGTGGGGATCACTCCTCTTCTCGGACAACTGGCCAACCTTGATCTCTCGTCTGAGCGCTTCAAGCTGCTGTGGACTGTCAAGGCGACGGATGTTGGACTTGTGGTGGATACGCTGAGCAGGTATCCACAGCTGGCGAAAGGTACGGAAGTGTTTGTTACAGGCAAGGCAAGGGAGATCGACGAGAAAAAAATGAAGAAAGTGACGGACTTTGGTGCCAAGGTGGAGTTGAGGAGGCTAGCGAAGGCTGATCTTGATGGTGTTGAGGCGGATAGGTGGTATCTTTGTGCTGGGAAGCCGTTTAGGAAACAGGTGTTGAGTTGGCTGCCGGGGAGGGAAGTCATATTCGAGGATTTCGATTACTAGTACCTTCTGAAATACTTGTAACTTCTCCTGCGCCATTCTCACGATGTTTATTTTGTTGCAGTATTAGCCGCCCCCTATTACCCTTGTTTAGACTGTTCTGGACTAGCATGTTCCAGAGTCAGTATATAGTCGTCTTCTCCTTACCAGATAGCAATTCAGCGCAGTATTTCATCGACCCGACAGTCCTACGTTATCGTTTACCGTAGCTATCAGTATTCTACAGCAGCCCACGCCGCCACGCATTCTGCTATGATCAGATGTGTGTAGTGCTCTTGCTTACGTGCGAATTGATCTTGCTCTTTTGCCAACTCTTATCGTAGACGCCCCTGCTCTCGCTGGCTGTGGAACGCATTCGTTCTCTGTACACTGCACCGGACGTTCTCATCTCTCCACTACGCTCGACCCTTTACACTTCTTTCACGTTCGGGATTCAGGATCGTCCTTTTTTCAACCCACTCCTTTCCATCACATTCCGAGATGTTTGCTTTGTTTCATCCCTTTTCGTGAGATATCGCTGGAACGACGTCAATGGTCTCCCTTCCGTTGTGGTGGACAAGCAGCATGCTTGCTGCATACCGAGTGGTAGACTGATGAGCGAGTATGTGCTAAGCCATCGTTGGCCCTGCCTGAGTCAACACATCTCCAATACATATTGGTGGAGGTTTTGAAGAAAAGATCGGGAAGTTCACGATCGACATCAAGAAACTCACTCGAGACCCGAAGAAGAAGAAGAAAGGCATGTCTCTGACGAGATTTGAAGGTCTGCAAGAAAGTGCTTACCTAGATGATCTCGAGATCTATGAGTTTTGTCGCGGCCCCGCAGCGATACAAAAAAGCCGACCTTTCTGATTCTCAGGTCCTAAAGGTTATATACACCGCAACAAGTTTGAACGGCGTTCATTGTATCTGTTCCATCAGGATTCTGACTGGTCCGTAATATCACAGCTAAGGTAGCACTGTCGAGGCCAAAGAAAAGACCGGGGTGAGGCTAGGCAGGTCATCGAAGACCACGAAAGTACTGGTGCAGCAGATGTGAGCACTGAAGGAGAACCCGAAGTGGTAAGTGCCCATGCCAGTCTCTTCCCAATGGTCGCTGACACTGAAGTGTAGCCCGCCCAGAAGCGAAAAGGCGATGAGGCTCCAGCAGCATCCACTCCACCCAAGAAGAAGTCCAAAACAGCAACTGCCAACGTTTCGAACAATCAAGCCTCCACCGACACGCCAACCGGCCTCGACATTAATGCAGCAGCGCAAAACCAAGCAGACAGCACAAACCACGCCGCAGCGTCTGTTGTCGTTGACGCCAATACTGTCAGCGCACTTCAATGTCTTTTTGGAGATATGCCCGACCCCACACCTCTCTGCCGCAGACGCCCACAAGCTAACACAATTGATCATTTGATGCAACATTACTAGCAGCGAACGGAACCAGGCGGAGATTGAGCTCACTAAGGAAAGCATCACAAGATCGCGTATATACTCATTGACGCTGCCGAGCGATGTTGGTGCAGTGTAGGCAGGTGTCAAGAATCAGGAGGTGGAAGTCGAAGAGAAGAAGGAGGGTGGTGCTGAAGGAGTTAACGGAGATTGCAAAAATCTTGGGGCTGAGGGGATAATAGAGGCTTTGAGCACGAGGACTTGTCAGAGGCCGGTGGCGAGGAGGTTGAGAAGGTGGACAGTGAGCGACAAGGTGTGACTGGAGGCAGTAGCAAGATCAAGCCGAGAAGGAAGATTGACATTAGGACTTCGCGATCTCATTCGCCATGTGACGCAAAAGTCGGGGGCAAGATAGTTGCAAGGCACTCCTAAGACAACATTCACTGTCACATATTCCTCCAGAACTGCGGTTTACTCTCCTACCTCTCTCACACAAGACATCTTAACGACCCACCCCAAAGTCTCACCTTCTGGCATCCGCTTCGTTCATCGCATATATATAAACACTCCCAGCTGCCATTCTCGTCCACGTTCCCAAACTCAACACATCAAACCACATCAAACAACCTCGGAACACGCGTCCCACACAAACCACTACCAATGCATAGGGATCCTTGACCAGAGCCTCCACAAAACTAGCACAGCGCACACACATCCCGTCAGAGGAAGAAGATACACCTTTAGCAAGTTCAATCGACCCAGAACCGCCACGTCCCTTCCAAAGGACCGGCGGCATGGTCCCTCAAGACTCGCTCTGGGGTCAAGCGCTTCGGGAAACCAAGGCTAGTTGGGACATCGGCGATTTGTCTTACATGTTCTCAAAGGATGCGCAGGCGTCCTTGCACTACCCTTAGATTGAACCAGGCTGGTCTGATATTCTTTATCTGGTGCTTGAGACGCTGCAGGCGCTGCAGGCGCTGCAGGAGCTCGCTGAACTGACGGACAATGATGAAAGCAGGGGATGGGTGAAAAATGAGCTGTCAAAGCTGTGGAGAGCCAGGGTCAAAGAAGATTTTGTGGATGGTGTGAGGATGAGGGTGGAAAGACGAGGGGAGAGAAGAATGAGAGTTTAAGGGAGGATATGCAGACTTTACTTGATCGTCTGGAGGAAGCAGAGGAGTAGTGGGCATGGATAGAACGTGACAGCGAGCAATGGATGGAAAGTTGGACTTCAGTGTTGGTCGTGTCGTGAAAGCTATGCAAGTGCGTGAGGTAGATTGTCTTTGCCATGATAGCCCGATATGACACTCTTCGTCACTTATCCAAGGCTACGCCGCAGTATGAAAGAGATACAAACTGGCATCAGTGGCCAACAACTGAGGGTAGCTGCCTTGTTTATATGACCTCCGACAATACCACCAACCCATCCAGGCGGAACGTAGCGTGAAGAACCAAGTAGCAACTACGCAATGAGCCAGGCGTGGTGGTTTCTAATCACAAGCGGAAGCGCGCACGCAAGTAATTGGAAAAGTGCTGTACGGGTCGTGAAGTATAGCAGGGCCGAGCATGGTTATGAAGATGTACGATCAAAGAGCGCGAATGGGACAAGCCTTCATGCGGGGCGACTCATCGAGCGCAGCGGAAGACCGGGTGGATGCACACTTTCTCTGTCTTCAGCATGTGGTGTGACGACAGAGGGGCGCTGGTAGTTGAAACGCGCGATAGTAGCTGGCTCGGAAGCATTCTAGGCTTGAAACTTCTGGTTATGTTCTTTGAAGCACTGAAGCCCCTCGAGGAGCGCCTTCTTCTTGGCGACCAAGGTGATACGACGCTCTAGACGCTCCGGTGATTCCGCAAGGAGGCGTTGGGCGTTATGGGGACCTGACTCTTTGTTAGCATACGTGAGTGGCGAGGTTATTAAGAGCAGCTCACCGTTCGGCCCATCGTAAATCCCAAGCTGGTCTTGCAGCTCATCACGAAGTTTCTCGTGAAGCTGTTCGAAGAACTTGGACTCGATCCTCATTATGATCTTGTCGTGGATGCGGCGAGCAGCGATCATGTAGTGCGCTACCATATCAGCAACCAAGTTGATTTCCACGCGGTACGGCTCTTTCCTAAGGATCACCATCCTTCTCTCATCCTTCTTGAGCTTGGCCTCTTCGACTGACGACAATGCTCGGCCGTAGGCTTCCTTGCCGTACATCTTTAAACGAGCCTCAAGACGTTTGCTTTCACACTTCTCCATCCAGTTGGCCTTCTCAAAATCGAGGATGTCCTTGTGAAAGACATGAAGCTTCTTACGCTCGTCATTGAAGCTCTCAACCGCCATCGTCCCTCGCTGTTCATGGAGATTTGCGTCGAGCACGCTTTCAAAGATCATCAATGATGCTGAATGCAACTCTGAACCCTTCCAGTGCCGGAAATGTATATCGAATATGTTTCGCATACGAGTCTTCAGCTGCTTTTCAAACTTGTTGAAGAACTCCTTGATGACGAGTGGCCAGTGTTCAAAAGTAGACAGTATCATCTCATCACGCATCTTTCGGTCGATCTGTCCAGGAACGTCGCTACCTGCGCTTTGACGGATCTGCAAAGCGACTTCATCCAACTTGAGCTGCTTCTTCAGTCTGGCGAAGTTGTGTGAACGGTCCGAAGTCGACGTGCTTGGGGGAGGTACCCGTGTGGGTCTCCCGGACGGCTTCTGCGGGGTCTTGGATAGCGAAGAGCATGGAGCGGGTGTCTGAGGCTCACGCTTGGTGTGAGAGTCGTGCTTCCGCTTCTTACTTGGTGTCTCTGGAGCGTTCGCTATCTCTTGATCGTCGCCATCTGAGTCGATGACAATAGACTCATCGGCTGAGCCACCAGCAAGCGTAGCATAGAAGACACCACTGTCCAAATCACCACCTACCAGCATGGTAGGTTTCAAGGTCAGCAGATCGTTCCAAAACGTCTGTTGAATCTCTTTCCACGTGTTATTCCACAGCACATGGCCATGGTCACCTGCCATCTCGCTAGAGATCTGGTTCGAGAATGCTTCAAGGACATCGGCGACCGTGCGGACTGCGGTATAAACTGGCGTCTCCAGGGTGCGGCTTAGCCCCTCATTCACTGTAGCAAGGCGCTCCTCGATTTGGTGGTATATGGCAGGGAGCTTCAACAACACTCGGTTGCCAAGCTGGGAGGAGAGGTACTGTTGCATGTTGAGAGTTCCGAAGCGCGCTTGATATGGCCGCAAATGAGTTGACCAGGGCGCAACTGTCGTAAAGAATTCGTTCTCAAGTCTGCGGGCGTCTTGGAGTGTCAGACCTTGTTTGATCTCCTCGGAGTTCAGGTTCTTCACTACGAAATATCCGTGACCCATGGAGAAGCGACGACCTTCGAAGATGTTTGCCAAGTCCTTCGGGGACTCGCCCACACGAAGACGATCGGGTTTCGTGAGCACTCCTGCACGATATTAGCTGCGACCACATGACATAGACCGTTTCACTTACCCATGCAGCGATCCGTGACATTTCTCTTCTTTACCAATCCAGCGGCGATCGAGTTGGCGACGTCGGTCTTCAAGGCGCAAGTGACAAGAATCAGCGCTTCCGGGTCCATAATGTACTTTGTTACAAGCTTCTCGACCAAAGGTAAAATGGACGCCTCATCATCGTTCTCTGCTTGACCGATCAGACCTGGCAGATCGAAGAAACTCAAGGGTGGCAGGCCGGGCTTCGAGACAGTGATGCAGACGATATTAGGGCTGAATAAGGTTCTATGGATATCGCTGTCATCGAAAGACGGGTCGAGAAACGAATCAGGGTTCTCGAGCGGGCTCAGAGTAGCTCGCTGCGCACAATGAATCAGGTGTTCGAGATGTGCAGGGTTGTCGGTTTGGGCGAATGGTATCTTAGCTGGGACTGCAGCTGGGACCCAACCTGTAAACTCGGTGTCCATTCCGCGTTGACGTGTGTCTGTGGCAACATCATACTGGCGTAACAAATAAATATCTGCATGCCAGACGCCTCTCGGATCCGCTGAAGGCTGCAGCTCAATGAACAACGGGCAGCGTGTGCATGTGCCGGTATCTCGCGGGGTCTTGATGCCGGAGAGTGCCTCAATCACAGAGGATTTGTCAGTAGACTGTTGCCCTGTACTTTGTCAATGTATGTTCACGATCATGTCGCTTAAGTACGCACCTAGAACGATGCACTTGGGGAGCGAAATCTCCTGCTTATCCAGGCCCAGTTGCTCGAGCTTGCTGACAATTCGAAGAGCATTGATTACATTGGCGCCCAGAGGAGCAATCTCACCGTGAGCAGAACCGCTATGTTGCGAGGAGCCTGAATGTATCTTAGTCTTTGCACAACATCGGATATCGTGAAGATCCTTACCAGAGTGACGGAGTTGGCCGTGCTGTTCAAGGTCATCGCCATCGACAGGCGTGTCGGCGAGCGGCGCGTCGGCGAGAGTCCCGTCATCAATAGTCGCAGGAGGCGTTTTGATGATGAAGCCGCGGCTGCGATGCTGTGTCGCGCCTGCCATGGTTGATTTTGCGTGTGGTACTTTCCAAAATTGGGGTAGCGGCGGGGGATAGCTGTTGTGGGGGAGCAAGTCGGTGAGAGGAAGGTGTAGATAACGAAAAGGCAGCCGCGCTTGGGCCAGGCAAGAGCAAACGGGGACGGCAAGTTCTGGGCAACCCTCTGGAGCAAGTCCAGGTGAAGACGCGTTAGCAGGCGTGACGGCAGGCTGCCCCGCAGTTTGCCTTGGTTATCAAGGTTGGCGGCGCATGGTAAAGACTGGTGACGGACGAATGTTGGAAGAGGCGGAAGAGTAGCATGTGTGAGAGCGTGTTAAAGATGGCGGTATAGACTACACAAACAAAAGATGGAAGGATGATGGAAGGATGATGGAAACAGAGTGATCATGTTGAGATTGTATCTGACAGTACAAGAAACATTGTACGCGAGGAGTGGCAGGATGAAGAAAGGGTCTTATAACGTTTAGCTAGGCCTTGAAAAAGTGAGCGGTAGTGGTGGCGGTGAAGCAAGAGAACCAGCATCTCTACCTCAGCCACCGTCTGATGGATGTACTCATACTGTGCTATAGATTCGATTGCTGACTTCCCGTGAAATCTCTCGTTGCAAATCCGCTGCATGGCGGTTGAAAGTAGGTGCACGTGATTTGGCATTGGACAGCGCTTCCAGGAATGGGGACAGCATCCATTGCAGCAGAAGTTATCCAGTAAGTGTCGCATAGCACAATCCATGCACAAGACAACACGCAGACAGAGTACGGGAGGTGACAATATTATGTTGGTAGTTTTGGTGATGATGGCAGTGGACGGTCGTCGAATGCGAAGGAAATCGCGATCGGCGCGTGCACGGACGTGGAGTAGCGGAGGGTTCGAGAAAAGATTGGAGCGCATCGTCACTCTCCGTCTCACCATTATCCAGCATCACGCCTACTCCCATCTCGTTTCGCCGTCTGTTGTCGCCGTCGGTTATCGCCATCTCCGTCTCTTCCTTTATATCATAATCAAAGATGGATCACTCCCGCGATCCCTGTCCCTGGGTCATTCTCAATGACTTCGGTGGTGCTTTTGCCATGGGTGTATGTGCACACGCGCATCTCAGCTATCTGCGTTAGCTAACGTACTCCCAGGCTGTCGGTGGTGCAGTATGGCACGGCGTGAAAGGCGTATGTGTGGAAGGCTTGGAGGTATTGCCGATGTGCTGACAACTTCTATAGTTCCGTAACTCTCCCTACGGCGAACGACGCATCGGCGCCATCACAGCCATCAAGGCGCGCGCACCAGTTCTTGGCGGTAACTTCGGTGTCTGGGGAGGACTATTCAACACATATGACTGCGCAGTCAAAGGCCTACGAAAGAAAGAGGACCCATGGAACGCCATTATCGCAGGATTCTTTACCGGAGGTTCGCTCGCAGTACGAGGAGGCTACAAGTCGATGCGCAATGGCGCGATATCGTGCGCCATTCTCCTGGCCGTTATTGAAGGCGTGTCGATTGGTTTCAACCGCATGATGGCCGACAACACCAAGCTCGAGGCTCCCCCGCCACCACCCACAGATGCCGGCGCATCACCAAGCGGCGGCCTTGCCCTGCCTGCGTAAATCTTTCCTTCGACATAATGGCCCAAAAGTGGGAGTTCTATAATTTCAAGACGTTCAGCATGGGTTCCGGATGAGAGGATGTTATTTGGATGGTTTGCATTTACCGTGGGCCAGATTTGGCAGCGGTCGGCGTTCGCACCCTCCTCAACTTCTGTGCTATACCTTGTATCATATACCGACATGATCTGTACAACTAGCGGCGGCGTCTCGAGAAGGAGACATGAGCCCATGGAAAGCTGTTCAAAACTTTCGCGTTCTTCTTTACGCTTTCATGCGCTGAAAACCAGACCAATTCATTTTATTTCGCCGCTTACAATATTAACTACGGTTATCCCAAAGCTCGATCGACTCCAGCCTCCCGTGGCACCTTCTGCACATCGACGAACGTACACGAAAAAGCATGTTGAAGGGATAAGTCAAGGCTCGTACATATCGTAACCAAAAACCAAAGTCTGGGCAGTTCATCGAACAATCAATACTTGGTCGGGAAGTTCAATGGATTTGCACAACTTCGCAAGTGGTAGAGAAGCAAAGAAAGGTTTAGCGCTTGCCCAATGCCCTCATTGACCAGGCAATTGATAATGAGGGAAAGGGACACGCAGATTTGATGGCCTGGCACGTCTACCTATCAATCAAGGTAGGACGATGTCCGGTGTCTTTGCACGAAAGCGCGCTTCGGGAACGATCGCTCAGAATTTTGGCTTCGTATTGGCCATCGCCCCATTCCGGTCTTGGACCAAGCAAATGTGACAGGACGTGGTGGACACCGTTTGCGAGCTGCATCCGCGCATCCGTAAGTGTAAATGAAGTGTACACATAAGCACGTGACAAGGCTGAACGGCAGGCGCGAGCTTGCCCATCATTCTTTCCGCCCCCGCAGATGTTTACATCCCACGTTCCGCAATCGGCGCCGCTTATATGCTCGACTAATTCGAGCTGAGCCTGGCGCACACAATGTGCCACCCAGCCTCACCGGAACAATACGTACAACCACAACCTCAACCCTTTTGGTTGTACTCAACTCCTCAAACCCCGGTCCCAATTGCAGCCCCAATTGTGATACTTGAGACGGCGGGGCGAAAGAATTGTCACACTACATTTGGCAACACCTGGCGTTCCATAAAACATCGCCACTGGGCTATCACCAGTACCATCGTAGGGAACCTGATTTGTCACCTCATGATTGTCTTTGCAACCAGTCTTTTCGTGCTCGAGTATACGCTCATTATACAGCATGGCGTCCATTTCACTCGCAATTGCTTCAATGGAAGCGCGTTCGATTCAAGTATCGTCAATGCCGGCCCAGGAGTTCTCAGTCTAGTCATTGAAACCCAGAACCTCACATACCCACAAGGCACAACCGGAGATGCGCTCGTCCCGTTGTTCAGGCCGATCGATCCTTTGCCAAACAACTCTACCTCTGAGGCCTACGTGGACGGTTTGATTGTTTCTTATGCCTACGAAGTTTTGAACATCACCAACGCAACATATAGTCTGTTGCCTTGGTGGACTTAAAGTGCGCAATACTTTCTCTCCAACATCAGCATGCCAGACTGTGACCTACTTAATGTGATAGTAGGAAAGACAATGACGAATCCAAACGTCACCACTCAGGCATACAGCAGTCTCATACAACAACAACACGTTTGCAATAGTGGCCTGGACTACAGTACGCCCGAGAGTGTGGGCCAGCACAGAAACAGCGCAAACAAAGCGATCTCACAGGCCTTCAAAAAAATCTCGACAAAACACTAGATAGCAGGCTTGTTATCAGCATGATCGACATACGATTCTTGCCGAACAACACGTCCCCAGCACCTAGGAAATGGATCCATGGACTGACCAGTATGTTGTGCAAGCCAACGTATTCTCTTGATGACTATCGTGTAGTTTATCATTATAATTCTGCAAACTTTGTAATGAAGCTCATCAATACAACCAACAACACTTTGCCAGGCCTTCTCCCAGGTGACCTCGGCAGAGGTTTCATCAGGGTCTTCAACGAATTCTCCGGCTTTATCCTTGGAATGGTTGGGGCAGATTACACTTACGAGAGCGAAGCAGACCCCGTAATATCTTTTTCCAGTTCCTCAAGACTTTGCATGGTGGGGAAAAGGTCAATTTTACCCTGAGGAGTTTGATGGATCCAGATATCCTCAAACAAAGTGCCGAGTCGCTTTCTACAGGAGCGACCGTCCAGTTGTTACACAAGAGCATCATGACCGACACGCCGATCGGAGGCGTAACCTTTGAAGGAAACTCAACCTACATTGGAAAGCGACTACATGTCAAGCCAGTAGCTACCGGATTTTTGGAGCGCCGGATTCACCATGTTGTCGATTCTGCACTTGGGACTAATCATCGTCGCTCACTGGCAGCCCAAAGGGAGACAAATTTTGGGTTTGACTTTGATCATCCTACAAGCTCTGAGGTCGGATCCAAGGTCGGCTGACGGGTTTCTCAATCAGAGCTCGACAGTCGAAATACCAGCTTTACGGTCTCGTAGATACCTGACACATGGGGCAGGAGGGGACACAATCGCAATTCAATGTGTCGAAGCATCAAAAGCTGAGACTCCGGATCCAGAATCGAACCATCCATCGACACCATCCCAATCACCAACAGCTTAGCTTTCGCCCTGGGGACTATCGACTTCCACGCCGACACCACGGGCAGACACCATCCGCGCACCTGGATGGCTTAATACGTCCTAGAAACTCTAAACAGAACTGATACCTGGGCTTATCTTCGCCCTGAAGTCGAAGTCACGACGCTCCTTTGCTAGCAGAGTATGCAGAGTGTGGAGACCGACGTCACCCTGCACTATCCCAGCCTGTCCATCAGTCCAGACATGCCACTGCGACCAGACGAAAGTACGGTGAAATGGTTCAAGAACAAGGTCACGAGAGGCGGCATAGATTGGCAATTTGTCCCGAACAGCATGTTGATATCGCTGAAAAATCCAAATGGTCATTCGTCAAGTCCATGGAATTCCACAGATGATGTGGACCGGTTCACGCAAGCACTTGCACATGTCGCAGAGAAGGAAGAAAACGTCGACTTGCAGGACATCATGGGATCCTCGAATGTGGCAAAATTCGAGAAGACAGTGAAGAAGCTGTACGGACGATACATCGCACAAGCCTTCTCCAGCAACATGCGAGTCGACATTAACAAAGACACTCCAAACATCACATTCAACGGACAGACCCCGACTTCCTCCAACTACTCCTCTTACTATGCTTCCAAGCTCAGCTCTCGAACAGTGAGATCATCAGTATCATCTCCAAAACCAATACGAAGTCGAGACAACCCACAGCCAACCATCCCAGCTGTCCTGACGCAGACCGGCTCAGGGGTGCGTATCCGGATCGTACAAAACAAAATTCCAAAGTTCGCACTACAAGCCATGCTAGGCTTCATGACAACCGGCGTAATCTTGACTAAGTTTCTGCTCCGCACGAAGGAATTGCTACCACGCGAACCCTACTCGATCGTCGGACCCGCAATCCTCGTAGCGAACGGCAACATCCTACAACATGACACTGCTGGCAAATAGAAACACTGGAAAGAGCAACGATACAGACTAGGATGGCGGACAGACAAAGACGGGATTGAAAGATATGGAACCTGTATTCAAGCTTAACTCAATCTCTCTTGTTGGCAATCTATTGCTTCGCCAAGCAAACAAGCCCCAGATGCATTTCCAATCCCTACAATGCTACTATGGTGTCTCTTATTCTCGTCCCTGCATCCGCATTTCACAAAGCGCACAATCTGCGCAGTGTCGATTCCGGATATATGCAGTAGTATCCGTCGACGAAGCTAAAAACCCGCGCTGCTGCTGAGTGACGTTCGGAACTTGCGTTTGTTGACTAGAGTCTTTATCCACTCTAGAGCTTTTGCTGCTTCGCGGTTGTGTGGGTGTCCGGTTTTGCAGCGCCGTGTAGAAGTCATCAGGCGATGGCGTGCTGGAAGACGGTGGCTGTGGCAGAGGAGGGTGAGGGCCCAGTGAAGCGGTCGAGGGCGTGAGCGTAATCTGTAGAGGACCTGCGGGCGCCGGAGGTGCTGGTACGAGCGCGGGTTTGGCGGGTACGGAGACTGGGCTGGTGAACGTGCCTCGCAATGGAGGAGGACAACGCGCCGATTCATTCAATGGAGCTGGTGCAGGCTTGATATGCGCGGTGTCGAGGTTGCTTGGGCCATTGCCATTTGACGAAGGAGGCAAGTTCTTTGACCCTTCCGGGAGAGCATCGTTGTCGAAAGCTAGAAAGGGTTCGGTTTCGGAAGAATGCAGTTGCTTAGTATCCTCTGCGACGGGCGGCGCCGGGGAAGGTGAATGTTGCTCAGCCGGTACACCTGAGGCGACATTGGCCCAACTCATGCCACCAGTCGTGCTGACCTTGCGCGGTGGAGTAGTTGGCGAGTCAAGAACTTGTGATGCAACATCCTTCGCGCTCTTCGGCATGTCTTTCCGCACCTGCACCTCTTCATCTGCATCGTATCCACCTTCATAGTCTTCATTGGTATCGCATCGATTGCCGTTGACCCAGAAGCCATCTTTGCGCTTTCTACGCGCGTCACGCCTAGCGACTGTCGATTGCTTCGCATTGTATCGCTCCACAGTGATGACCGTATTGTGGAGTTTCATGCCATCCGTACGACGTAGAGCCTCTTCTGCGGCGCCTGCGTTCGGCAAGGCAACCATGAACGTCGTTATCCTAGAATCGGGGTACAGGTTCTTGACTTCGAGCGGCTTGAATTGTGTGTATAGGCAGGCGATGCGCATGGTGGACTCTTGCGGTACGTTCTTGACGAATATTATTTGGCGCGGGTTGTACTTGTGTTGTGACATTCTCGTGAAGGGTGGTGGATGGCTGCGGTTGAGATGATGATTTGGTTGAAAATGCGCAGGAGAACTGTTGGACGAGTGCCCTTGCGGAGGTAGGTCTCCCATTTGTGAAAATTGGTTGAGTGAATGTGAATTGCGTTGTAATGATACTACGTCATGGACTGATTATGGGATGGAAGTGAAGGGAAGGATGCGAAAGTTTGCACCTGTTACTTGCTTTGTTGACATTGTGTCATGTTCCGTCAAGCTATGTAAGGAGCGTTGCGATGAGATATTCTTTCCCTATGTGATGAATACTTAAAGTAAATAAGCGTTGACCAGCACGGAAGGAGCCATTCATAAAAGTCAAAACTGATTCAGGACAAACTTTCAAGCGCTATAGACAGCAATAGCAGAGTCAAATGCCTGGTCGAGAACACCCTTTCCTAACCCCAGAAGACCTGAATTGTCTGCTGTGACCTTCAGAGTCAGAGCAGCGATGAGATCGTCGGTGTGTTTCTTCAAGATCTTGAGATCCAGCAACACGATAGGTGAAGTAAGTGTTTTCCTGAACTGCGGATACTACGCTTCATCAGACGCTGCAGTTTTAAAAGGATATTCACTGATGTATACTTTCGCTTTCAGCGCATCGAGAGATGCTTGGATTGGACCAATGCCACTAGCCAGCGTATTGACGATGTTTGTGCTCTCCTCTGCCGTAAAGTTGGCGCTCTTCTGTGCGATGCGGGTCGCCTTCAAAATAGTAACATCGAGCTTTGTTTCAGCTTTCACGATGGCGAGAGTCTGGGGCAATCGGCCAAGCAGGGAACCATCGAAGTTATTGACGGCCGTTGTCATGCCGGTAACAGCGGTGTTCAGGTCATTGATAGCGGTGAGAAATTGAGGTGCAAGACTTTGCTCCTGACGAGGCTCGACAGGTATTGAGTAGCTCACTGATAGTAATGACAGGAAGATTGACGAGAATTTCATCTTCAAGGCTGGTCGAAAATTCAGTTCAGATCAGGTGGACGGTATGCAGGCGGTGTAGTCAGGCAGGTTACGGATGAAAACATCAATACAATATATATCCTCCAGAGACACATTCACATGGCATGCTGTCGATACGAAAGTTCCGAGGCCACTTCAAAGGCATGGTTTGTAGCAGAGACTGATGCGATCGTAAGAAAGGCACATGGCACCATCGCAAGCCTGCACCAATCATACCCCGGTTGTAGCTGGAGTTTCAAGTACTTATGCTGATCTTCAATCTAAAGTTCTCGAGTAGGTCGGTACTTACAAGAGACTTACCCACTTCTGTATGGTGTCCGAAAGCCTTGCAAACCTTAAGTTGTATGCAGTTGTACTCGACAGGGGGTGTTGCGGGGCCCCGCTTTCACAGGCATCGGCCTCGGCATCAGTACGAATGTGCGAGCACGTGTATTCCGACACCGTACAATCCAGCCTTTCTATGATGGTACGAGCATCAATTTGACTGCTCGGAAAGGCGTCATACTTTCGACAAATGTCTGGAATATACTTTCTTCCTTGGCCGTAGCCTCGCCTGTGTAGGAGACGAGGCGGCATTTTACTACTCGTCTCGGCTTGTCACTTCGAAAGCTATTCGTGTGTCCTCCGGGATTATAAGACTATAGGGTCTGAGAGTTACACAGTATTTCCTAGAGCTACTCTTGAGTCCCATACGGTACGAGGTAAGGGCGATACCTTGAAGGACGTGTGGATGCGTGGCCAACCAAAAACGCATGGCGGCGCGTGGTAAGGCAGACACATGGTCTTAAGCCCTACGTAACATCTGAAAGTCATTCCAGAAGGACTTGTCAGTTGTCGATGATATTGTCGGCACGATGATGGAAAGTAGGGTGAGGATGGTGCGTTGGAAGGGTTGTCTCAGTTCGGCGCTAGCGCCGGCAACCTGCCCTCGCTGTCCGAGGCTGCGCCTCCTCTCGCTCACCGACAACATCTCGACACACTTCAGAGCATGCGGTTGTCTTGACCGGCATCCAACGCGCATCTACTCGATCTTGTTGCTGCAACTCCCGCCACAATGCACTCGATTTTGTCCCACATGCGAGGCTCTAAGACCACAAATAGTCGGTCTCCCCATTTGCCATTATGCAGATCAAAGCCGCCCTTACACATGCGACAAATATAGACATCACTATGAATCCACATCCGGAAGTAGAATAAAGCAAGTGTGAATACATGGTCAGTTGGTGTCATTATGCAGATCAGGGCCGCCCTTACACACGCGACAAATATAGATACCACTATGAATCCACATCCGGAAGTCGAACAAAGCAGATGTGCATACATGGTCAGTTGATAAACGCATGCACAACAGCACCTCAGTCTTTCGCCTAGGTCGCAGTGCTTGTGCTGTTTCTCTATGATGCTCGCATCATCATTCATCGACATATCGATAGTACCCATGAACGCTCTTCAGCGACGAGGTGCGACCTCTCCACTAAGCCGAGGAACCATTATCAACATCATCTCCTGGGCACTGCTCGCACTCGTTATCTCCACATTAATCGCTCGCTTCGCAGTGAAGCTCGCAAGGAGGACGAACCGAAGGCTACTAGCACAGGACGATATTTTCCTGATAATGGCAGCTGTGAAAGAAGTCAAATCAGTGTGATGAACACTCGTGCTAACGAAGACCAGGTCTTCAGCTTCGGTCAGGCAGTAGCCGTGTCGATACAATGGAAAGACGCAACTGGCCAGCAAGTTTCGGACAAGTCTTCGAATGACGAGACTGTTTTCCAAAAAGTATACTTTAAATCCCGGCATTTCTCTCGGTACTGAATACTGACGATGATAGTCGGCCTACGTGTCAAGCATCCTCTTTATCGCCAACTTGGGCTGCGCCAAGATATCCATCAGTCTTGTTATGCAGAAGCTGTTCACTGGGCGTCTTTTCGAGTACACATCATACACGCTTGCACTGTTCACTACTGGGTGGACACTCAGCGGAATCATCGTTACCGCCTTCCAGTGTCGTTTGCCGAAGCCTTGGGATGTTTTGAAGACCAATGAATGCATCGACATAGCAGCCTTTGGCAACTATCTCGCTTCGACAAACATCGCCACTGAAGTTCTGCTGGTATTGGTGCCGCTTGCGGTCTGGACACAAGGCAGTCCGGTTGGCAACCGCTTATATGTATCGACTGTTTTCTGGTCACGGTTGAGGTTTTTGCCCCTCCCGACATCGCTGTTCAGTATGACTCTGACTCTGACGTTCCCAGTATCATTGCAGCAGTTAGCGCACAGCTGTACTTCTTCAACGCTTCTGTAACCTCGTCTTCGATAATCGACAGCTGGACTACTACCCTCTGCATGCAGATTGCCCAAACGCTATCTGTCGTCAGCGCATGTCTACCAGGTTTGCACCCTCTTGTTTCCAAAGACATGAGCGACACTGCCTCGACGCACTCCGCACAGAACGAGAACGGATCTCGATGCAACGGGAAGAAGTTCGGATCGCTAGCTTCACATACTTCACAGCCCAGCGTCGACTCGCAAACCCCATTCGAGCCTGTCGTATCGCCATACTGCCGTCCACTCGCAACCCACGGCCTTGTGCAATCATCCCTCAGCTGCGACTCCTACAACTTCCCTCGTATCCCTTCGAATGTTGCACTACCGCTCTCAACACCAGAGCCGCCCAAGAACATTTTCAACCGCTTGATCAGAAGTTCGTCATCGCTAGACCTAGATCCTCTAGGCACACCCAGGCATGTCAACGATCTTGGCTGTCTACCAGCTCCTGACTGGGACGACGATGAAGGTGTAGAGTCGGGAAGAGCGAGTCTTGAGCGACGGCCGACTTCAGAGTATGTGTTCAACAGGTCAAAGGTCATTTCTATGCCAGAGGAGAGGAACATGTTTGATATCGGGAGGGAGTGGAACGGATTTATGCCGCCGCTGCCGACACCTCAGATGCTGAAGAACCCACCGAGAGCATTTTGATACCCAGTGATCGGAAGTCGCAGTTACCATTCAACGAGACCTCTGCTTCATATCCACCCTGTTCATTTGGCAGCTAAGTGAAACAATAATGCAACCGAGTGTGTGCTCGCACTTCTTCCTCATAGGTGGCAATACCTGATTCCGGCACGTAAAAGCATGTGTACCACTGCTTCCAACCCAGCAAAAAATCCTTCCACAAAGAAAGGTAAGCTCAACTCAGCCATGACTAATATCAATGACCTCATCATCTCGATGGACAGCACAGAAGTTGATCCCTCCAGCCCAGCAGGCATTGTAAACCGTCTTACCGAGCAGCTGGCCTGCACAACGATGAAAGACGTCGACATAAACGATGACTCCTGCTCAGGCCCGTCTCCTCCTGCGCCTTCGATTATCTATAGTTGGAGGATATCGAGGAGAAGAAGGAAGGCGAGATCTCTGATGACGACTTCGACGATGATTATGATTTTGATTCGTCGGAGAAAACTCCGATCCTCATCTACGAGGATAATGTTGAGTTAGCTCCAGTACCACCGTCCTCGCAGGTCCCATTCGATCAAATTCTATTTTCCTACTACCAACACATCCGCCGACTCCCACCCCAAACGCTCCCTCAATTCAACTCCCTACCGGAGCAACCCGGCGGTATGCGCATCCTCTCCTCTACACCACATGGCTGGGCTACTCAGGCTGGGATCTGCAACACTTCCTACTTCTTGTCAGCGATCATGATTTAAAAGTATTGAGCCTGGCAATGGCGGTTGAACCTAAAAACCGGTAGGATGATTGACACAAGTGGTGGATGAACGGTGGCAAGGGAAACGGGGCAATGGGGAAGTGGTGGAAGGTTGATGGGGTGGTGACGCGATTTGGGACTTTGCCGCCTGTGAGCACCGAAGGGTATCCTTCCTATCCGTATTGGTTGCCGGAGCTGGAGGGTGAGGGTGGTGATGAGGAGGGCTATTGGGAGGAGTTGAAGAAGGCGTATGAGTACCTTCGCTAGCATGAGCTGTGGACCACTTAATATATGTGCTTACATTTCACCCGATCTTAACATCGCTAGAGGTCAATGTGTTAGATCAATCCAATAAGCTCAAAGTACACTGGCTTTCTCACTCGTGTCTCCTGCGTATCCGCGCAGCGACCTTCCCACCCGGCCTCATCGTCCCAAACGCCTCCCTCCTGCTCACAGGATCCAACTTCCTCGCACCCTCCGGATCCACCATCTCGACCTCAAACTCCCCAAACAGAATCGCCAACGCCACAATCCCAATATCCCTTGCAAAGAACCTTCCAGGACACTTATGCTCGCCACCCCCGAAACTCGTCCAGTTCCCTGCCAACCCTGCGTCGCTGAAGCGCTCCTTCCCTGCAGTACCGGTGACCAAGAATCGCTCGGCCCAGAATTCACTTAAAGGTTTGGAGACGAGTGCGGGGCGCACGGACGCCCATGCTGCAGTGTACTGGCCGGCGAATTTACTGGGGATCAGGACTGTAGTGCCTTGCTTGACGATGTAACGATCGTCAAGAGCGAAAACAGGGGAGATGACTTGGCGTGCGACGAGGCTGGCGCTGTATTTGCGGGCGGATTCTGCATAGAGAGATTGCAGGAAGGGTGTAGCGCTCAACTGTGCGAAGTCGTATTTTGAAGTCGTGAGGTCGCGGTGCGAAGTGAGTTCAGAGTATACGCGGGTGCGGAGTGATGGGTTGCGCAGGGTTTCGTAGAAAAACCAGAATGTCACGGGGACCATGAGACTTGTTCCTGCGTAGAGGAGGCCAAGGGTCTGGGCTGCTCGGCCGTCTTCACCGTGGCCGGGGAGAGAGGAGTACAATTTTTCGCGCTCTTGCATGAGTGTTGAGCCGGCGATGGGGTCCCATTGGGTATTGACTTTGTCTTGTTTGCGCAACTCGTCAGCTTGTCTGCCCCAGGTTTTGAAGTGCGATAGTAGGCGGTCTCGTGCGCCGTAGGCTTCTGATGCCATAAACCGCGGCAGGCCTAGGAGGAGGGTATCGGTGCTTTCGATGAATGTCCATAGGTCTTCGGCGAAGGAGGGGTAGCTGTCGACGATGGCGGAGCCGAGTAAGGTCTCTGCGACGGCACGCGTGGCTTGGTCTTCGAAGAATGCATACAGATCTGGGATGTCGGTCCATTTATCGCCACTTGCCTCAACATATGATTTTGTGATATTGTGCTTCAGCGTGTCGAAGAGTTTATCATCCAGTGAAGACAGCGCAGAGCCAGATGTGTGCTGTCTGACTTGCATCATTTGATCGTGATCCACGGTGCTCTCTGGAGATTTGTAGTAGTCAATGGCTGATTGGGGACTTCCCATCAATTGGCCCAAGATCTTCTCGTGTACAAATGGGTTTGCATCCAGCTCGCTCGATGAACGCAGGATCTTCCTCACATGTTCTGGATTGAGCACAATGAGCAGCTTTTCACCGGCAGCATCAATGAAGAAAGGTGTGCCGTCACCATACTTGTTCCTGGGAATATTAGCATCATTGGTGATGGACAATGAGGAATGCAGGAAAGCGCTCTTCTCGCGTCGAAGTCTTGTCTAGCACCGCACTTGTACAGACCTTGTGGGCGGCAGCAGAGTCGATACATGGTTGGATGGAAGACAAAATCTCTGCTTTTGAAAGTGCGAGTTCGAGTCTTTTGCCTACAAGAACGACACTGTTTCACAATGAAAGAGCAATCTTACAGAGACTGAGCAAGGAATCTTTTAGCGCTGTAGGCCATGCGCAGAGCATGACGAAGTCCCGGGGTCCAGTGTGGCAGTGTTGGCGGCGCAATTTCATGTTGTCGGCCGTTTTTGGCCACAGTGAACAAGTGACCCGAAAACACCCTCGTACAGAGGGATATTACAGTGACAGCGACAAAGAATTGAACGAATACATTCAGACGAAGAAAAGATGAGGTGAACGAGCCGTTGGTGTCCATCGCTGCTGTGGAAGGCTTCGTGAAACCGTGGGCATGCAGTACAACGCAGAGGCTGAACGTCAGAACCAAACGAAGCTGCCGTCTTGTCCCCCTTTCGACGTCGCGGTTGACAAGCGGTAGCTATCTCCGCGACGGGAGGCCTCACCTGCTAGGGCATGGGCGTGGAGTTTGTCAACTTCGATGTCGGCCGTGCGAGAAATAAGCTCGAGTGGGTCTTATTTTAGCGCGTTATTGTGATTGGCCCTGTAGCACGAGGTCGAGACCACGAGCTTGCGACGAGCTCCCTCGACATCCCTCACCTTCACGATAGCACAAAACTCCCTGACACAACGTGCTTCCTTTGCTAAACAAGCTCCTTCTACTTCTCTTTCGCACCTATTTACAACTCTCACGACTGAGTAAACCGCCATCATGCCTGGAGTCCGTAAGTAGTAGCCTGCCCAAGCTTGTTATCTTGAAGCCGTTGTTATGGTACAACGCGCTTTCACAGTGGCAGCCTTTGTCTACACTCAGGAAACAACACGCATGTCGCGAATGTCTGCTTCCACAGTGTGGAATTTCTTCCGCACACTTCGACGCCTTTGGACCATACCAATCTGACATGACACCAGCACCCGATGCGATGGAGCAGATGAAGAAGGCCTTCAAGGGTCTCTTCAGCAAGAAGAAGACCAAGAAAGAGGAGCTTGCGCCGACCGCCACCACTGAACAGCCCTCCGCAAGCACCGCGAAGCCTACCGAGACGACGCCCGCTGCACCAGCCCCGGCTACCGCTCCTGAGCCCGTCAAGAGCGAGACCGCTCCGGCCTCGACTGGCACTGCACCAGCACAAAGCGAGCCCAACAAGGACGAGGCTGCTGCTTTGGCTGAGGTCAAGCAGGCCACGCAGAGTAGGTCAACATCTTTTTTTGCTCCCGAGATTGGCGAACACGGTGATGACGACTATTGGAACGGATCCAGGCGGCGACAGAAGGTTGCGCTCGATAGCGACAGGGACGGTCTGCTCTGAGCAGCCGGCCTTTCCTGCCCGTCTGTCTGTCGTTTCGCCTGCTGTCTACCTCCACGCGCTCGTCTTTGACCGTCCGCACCGGCCTCATCGCGTGGCCCTTGGCGTCGACACGTCTTCGTCTCCCTTTTCTGTCGACATCATCAGCGACTTTCCTTGTTTTTTCGAAGATACCCATAGACTAACGGCATGTCCTTTTTCAGCTCCTGAGCCCGCTGGCGCTGTTGCACCTAGTCCACCGACTGCTGTCTCTGCACAGACACCCGCGACTGATGCTCCCGCAGCGACCGAGGCGAAGCCCACCGAGGCGCCTGCTCACGCTCCCCAGGCTCCTGCTCCTGCGCCTTCAGCAGACCTTCCCGCAATCCCCACTACCAAGCTAGCTCCTGGCATGTCCGCCACTAGCGGCCCTTTGGATGAGCCTGACTTTAGCACTGAGCAAAAGCCAGAGCCCACTGCTGCCCCTGCGACTGCTGCGGCGCCTGCTGCCTCTGCTCCCGCACCCACGGCTACCGTGTCTGAGCAGAAATAGGCTCGCTCTGATGCCACACTAAGTCTGCGAGAGGACGGTATCTCAACACCCTGGCCAACCAGCGGCCTTGCGTGAAGGCCGGGTGTATGGCTGGCAATATTCTTGTGTTTTTCATTCCCTAATACTATACCCCAATTACGTGTCAGCGAGCGAGTTGAGCAGTTGGTTCAGGCAGAAGCGATCCGGCGTTAGAGTAGCAAATTTAAGATGATAGTATGGTTCTCCCTATCACATATCTGTTCACAATGACAGTGACTATCGAATAGCATGAAGATGAACGCGCCTCTAGCATTAAACGCGTTCCAAAAGTCGTTCGACCATTGATGTCATTAGCGCGGGGCAAGTGCACCCGCGAACCACGTCAATGATTGCCCCTCGTCCAACATTTGTTCGAAAGCGAGACCCTTGATTGATCCTCACTCCCACTTTCCCCTTGAAATACTCCAGGTTTCATATGCCGCTCCAAGTGCCTGCCGCGCTACACACACCTATCGCCACACTCTCCTGCAGCAATCTCCTCACGACGCACACGACTCCAACATGCAGCGCACACGGAACGTTGGCTACGACGATGACGACCTGTATGATGATGACGACTACTACGAGGAAGAGGAGGCAGAGGTCATGTCGGCAGATGACAAGGAGCAGATGCGGATAAGCACCATCAGTACGCGAGAAGCTTTGGGGAGTGCAGGATCCAATATCAGCGACGCGCAAATACAGGAGGCGCTATGGCACTACTACTACGATGTTGGGAAGAGCGTGAGCTATCTGAAGAATAAGTTTGCAGCACCAGCACCAAAACAAGAAGCACAACCAAAGAAGGAGAAGGCTACATCACGCTTTGATCAGGCTGCAAGCGCAGCCGTCGAGAAGGCGCCCGTCCCTGCCGGTAAGCACCCTTATGAACAGTATAGCTACACGCAGTCAACCTACCCCGTTGCGTCGAGTCTACTGCTGCCGCCCGTAACGATGCCGTCGAGCGCACAAGACTTCTTTGCCGATGTTCCCTGGGGCAAGGTCCCAGCTCACAGACTGGGTGTGATTACGATCGACGAGCCGCACTTCAGAGGCGGACTTCTTGGTGGCTCTTCCAAATTGGCAGCACTTGCAGCAAAGCGCAGAAAGGAGAGAGAAGAGGCACAGGCTGCGTCGAATGCCAACGGCGAGATGGATGCAGCAGTCGCTATGCTTGACAAGCTCACAGTCAAGAGCCAAAAAAACGGCGCACCGGCTGGTGAAGCCGACCGCCCCTCGCGCATTTCCAAGTACACGGCTCGGAGGCGCTCACCGTCTCCAAAGCCAGAAGCTCCCGTCGAAGAAGCTGCGCCTGAGCCTGAAGCACCGAAGCCAGCAATCGAGGTCGAATACCCAGCGCAACGAGCTACAGCCTCCATGTTTGCATCCACTCTCTGCGGCACCTCGCGCTCCGCGCAGACTATCAACGTCCAACAAGAGTTTCCAGCGCCATATAGTCACTACAAGGATTACCAGGACATAAAGCCATTTGAGGGACCGAGCCCTGACGACATCGTACGAGCGGCGCAGGCAAACAAAGGCGCGGGCACGGGACGATGTTGATCTCGTGGAAGCACTTGCAGCGGGCTTTTCTAAGGCATACAGGAACCACACCGAAGAAGAAACCAGCGGTCGCTGCGAACGGGGACAAACTTGCCGATTCTGTCGAGAAATTGGCAGTCGACGAACCCAAAGTCAAGAGCAAGAACCTGAATGTCTTGGGCGAACTACAAAAAAGTGGCATGAAGCGGATGGCCAATTTTGTAGTCGTAGGTAAGTACTCTACGATATGCTTCTCCTATTGCATCATAATTCCTATTTTCAGTATGTGCTAACAATGACAGGGCACGTCGATCACGGCAAGAGTACGCTCATGGGCCGTTTACTATATGACTTGAAAGTCATTGACCAGAGATCGATCGACAAGCTACGCAAAGAGGCTGAAACAATAGGGAAGTCCTCCTTCGCTTTGGCATGGGTCATGGACGAGACGAGCGAAGAGCGCAGTCGAGGCGTCACTGTTGACATTGCGACAAACTACTTCGAGACTGACAAGTCCCGCTTCACCATCTTGGACGCTCCCGGACACAAAGACTTCATCCCAAACATGATCTCCGGTTCTTCGCAGGCCGACTTCCCCGTATTGGTGATCGACTCAAGCACGAACAGCTTTGAAGCAGGCTTGAAAGGTCAGACGAAAGAGCACATTCTGATCGCACGAAGTATGGGAATGCAGCACATCATCGTCGCTGTCAACAAAATGGACACCGTAGCATGGTCAAAAGCACGATTCGACGAGATAACAAAGAAGATGACTGCTTTCTTGACTGAAGCCAGCTTCGCCGAGAAACGCATCACATTCATTCCCCTCGCAGGTCTCACAGGCGAAAACGTCGTTACCAAAACCTCCAACCCTGCAGCAGACTGGTACACCGGCGAAACCCTACTAGAAGCCCTTGAACGCATCGAGCTCCCCCAACGCCAGTTCGAGAAGCCCCTCCGCCTCTCCGTCGCAGACGTCTTCCGCGGCGACCTGCGCTCTCCTCTCAGCATATCCGGCCGCATCGACGCCGGCACACTGCAAGTTGGCGACGTGATCCTCGCGCTTCCAGCCAATGAGACAGCGACTATCAAATCCATCGAAGTCCAAGACGCACCTGTTGACTGGGCCGTCGCAGGCCAGATCCCGACACTCCACCTCACAGACATCGACCCCGTGCATCTGCGCCAGGGCGATATCGTGTGCTCGCCCAAAGCACCCGTCAAGCTCGTCAAAGCGTTCACCTCCAAACTCCTCGCTTTCGAACACGTGCTACCCATGCCGGTCGAGGTGTTCAGGAGTACGCTGAACAGCCCAGGAAGTATCAGGACGTTGAGCGCCAAGTTGAATAAGTTCACGGGTGAGGTCACGAAGAAGAAGCCGAGAATTGTTAAGCCGGGGGAGGTGGCAAGGGTGGTGGTGCAGTTGGAGCGCGAATTGCCGATTGAGGAGGGTATGAGGGTGGTTGTTAGGGAGAGGGGGAGGACTGTAGGCGCTGGGCTGATGGAGAATGTGGCCTAGCTGTTACCAGTAGAGATGCAGACCAGAGCTCTCTCCCTGGGAAGATGTGAACAATATTATTTACGTTTTGATTGTTTACTTCGAATTGACACTCGGAGTGGCATACAGTTGATCCTGACCTACGAACCAGACGGTATCTCAGCTACCGTGTCTGCGCGTGCCGACCGGATTCGTGTGCCGACCGCGATCACCACCTTGACGCTCATACAAAATGAGGCTGTAGAGCCACACACAATGGTTATTATTATGAGAAATTATGGTGGAGTAGTCTATAGACCTATATGAACAAGTTTGTCACTTAAACTTTTGTGGCGCTCTGATTGGGCGGCCGCGGCTGTTATATGTTACCAGAGGGGATGGGGAGCGAGGCGCGGCAGCAGCACGACTACGGGCAGCTGCACTACCACGATTCTGCTTCTTTCCGGGTGCTGCAACCTCTGAGACCATGCGCTTGCCTCTTTGGAATAATTGTATAGGTTTTTTTTGGTGTTGCGCTCATTCCGTTGATGCTCTCTTTTGGCCTTGCGTTTGGCGACTTCCTTGGCCTTCTCAGCCTTCAGTCGGTCACGCGCTTCCTTCTCTCTCAACTTCTGCTCACGCCTCTCCTGCACAACCTTCTCCTTGTACAGCTTATTGAAGTGCCTCAGTTCAGCCATCTCTGCTTTTTTGAGCTCCTCTGCCTTCTGCTCTTGTTGTTTTGCCCTCTCACGTGAGCGTGCTTTCTCTACTCTACTAGGAGAGTAAAACTCGTCTCCACCGTGGTAGTCCTTGTGATGCTGAAGCTCAAGAGGCTTGCTCTTCTTCTTGTGCTTCTTCTGAGCCTTGAGGACCTCTTTGAGGCCTACAATCTCGTGGTGGAGGCCTGAGTTTTGAACTGAGATGTGGTGGAGTGAGCGCCTGATCTTCTTCAGCTCCCTACTGCCTTTGTCCTTGGCGACTTTACGCAACAGAGTCTCTGTTTTGAGCCAATCCTTGACGCTGTAGACCGAAGAAGAGCTATTTTTGCTATCGGAACCCTCAGGGGTGGGCCTAGCAAATTGCTGGAGGATGACGTTGGGTTGGAGGGGTGCTATACCTGTTGCCTCAAAGGACCTGAGTGTTGAAGTCGTACTTTAAGCAAAGCTCGTAAGCACTATTCTATTGGTTCTCGGGGATGAATACAGTAACAGGATTCCGATAGAGGTTGGTTGCAATGAGGAGTACAGATACAATCTGTCTGTCTCAAAGGCAGGGGTGACAATAAGTAGTACAGAGTAGGCTGTCTAGCTTGAAGGTCGGTTGAGATCCAAAAACAAACTTGATTGACTAGGTTGAACACAATGCCATAAGGGCAGTGTTCCTACTTGCTATATACTCTTAGCAAGTGTGTGTATGTCCGAAGACATCAGCGGTACTGATCACGCTGAGCAGTGATCGCACTGATCACTGATCCGTCTGATCGCTGATCATCCTGATCTTGCCAAGATTGATCAAATCACGTGTGATTTGTGCAAGCAATCAACATACTAAAGTACGGTGTTGTTGGAGGGCCTTGTTCTTCGCACGAGCCCTCGTAAGCTGCGTTACCCCTTGTTGCTGCAGTCTTCTCGGTATCGTATCTGGTTATGAGCCTTGTCGTGGCGTTCCGAGTCCCTTGGTTGTAACACTGAGTATCAGCCCCTGAGTAAACGTACTCATCCACGCCTTCCAGAACAGGTGGAAGAAGTCGCTCTTCTTGATAACCAACAGTCCTTGGCCATGATGAAGGTGTGTTGTGAGCATCCGCACCAGATTTGTTCTTGCCCACCATCCTTTCTTCAGTCTTTTCTGCACAGCATCTTTCTTATCCTTGGTCATGTCTGTCAATTGTTGTAACACGTCGAGTGTATCGTTTTCGAAGAAATCGTCGTTGGGCTCAGGGAGCTGCTGCAGCTTCGTCCTGACTTCTTTACTGCAGGACCTGAAGATGTCGGTAATTTTGTCAATGTCCCAGCTTGCTTTGATGGCCTGTATCGCAGTGCGTCCTGGTGGAGTCATGTCTTTCGGATTGGGAGCGGGTGCGTTCTCCTTGCCACGAGACAACTTGGCCATTTTTGCGTGACCAGTGCTGGAGTAATCAGTAAGGATTTTGGAAGCGAGTTACCGCGGCACTTCATATCTGTCCATCCGGCGGCTGCTTATCAGTGCTCACAGCGAGAGACAGCAATCACTGTGTTTGCCGTACATCAGGGGTTAATAACATCCAAGGACTGTTGAAAGGAGACAAACATCAAGTACAATGGCCTTGCACAAGTGGAAAGATTTTCAGTGAATATTTTGTGGTGAAGTCGCACGTGCGATCGCGGACAAGTCGTGCATGGATAGGAAAAGGGCGAAAGAAGATGAGTGCGGGGGGAAGTCAGGTATTTGGGGAAGCGTACCGAAAGCGACTACCTTAAACGAGGTGTGAAGCCGAGGGTGCCCCTAGCAACAACGTGCAAAAACGGTCGGTTCGAAAGGAGTGTATCATGTGAGGGCAGTACCTGGTTGTATTACTGCTGGCAAAGCCATAATGTGGTCGAGCAATACCATGCACCCTATCATCAATGGACCTACCTTCCATACGCTGATGGCCAAGTCTGCTCCCTACTCACTTTATGCATCAAGCCTCCTCACACCCTCCTCATCCACCAGCCACTCTTCCTTGTTGACACCGTCACCCACCACACCAGCAATCTCCATAATCTTCCCAGCAAGCATAATAGTTTCCCTCTTCCTCCTCTCGACCTCGATCTCCGCCTCAGCCACAGCGGTCTCCAGACTTCCGAACTCACTAATCCTAGCACTCGCGTACCCAATCGTCCTCGCCTCTTTGGCAATCTTGACCCGCCCCTCCCCTTCGATGCGCTCGCTGCTTGCTATTTGGCTGACTAGGACTGCGCGGCAGTAGGCTTGCTTGTCCGCGTCGGAAAGATGGGATGGCACGAGAAGGGTGGTGGCGTTACGGATTCGTGGACCAGTTGCACGGGGCTGGTTTGTGATAGTCTCACTTTCGTCAGCTGGAGACAGACTGAGGACCTGGCTTGGATCTGCATGTACAGGAGCTGTGGGCAGGTCTTCTCCGGTCGCTGCACGCTTTGTCTTCTTTGGAGGTGGCTCAGTATCTGCTACCTCGTTATTTGACCTTTTGCCTGCTGGCTGTGGTGCTACAGGCTGTGTCGATGGTTGGGCGGTTGCTGTCCCCTCAACTTGCGCGTCTTGACCTGCTTGGCTACCAGGATTCGGTCTTGCAGCTTTGGTTGCAGTTGTGGTCCTTGGCTTCCTTGTTAGCTTGGTAGTAGGCGGAGGTAATATCTCTTGCTGCGAGTCAGTTAGCAATAGCATGACACAATCAGTCTACAGTACTCACTTGTCCACCTGAATGGCTGACATCATCGGCCGTTTCGCTGGCATTGTTTGCAGGCCTCCCTTCGTGTTGATCTGTCTGCGACTCCTTATTCTTTCCTTTATCATAATAGTCCCGTGCAGCCTTGATGAAGTCAAGAGATCTTCCATGCGAATATTGTTTAGTAGGTGGAAATGCATCGTCCAGCTTTGCACGTATATCTTCCATGTCCCGTCCACGAGTGACATTCGACAGACTCACAAGCGCTTCGAGAAGGTCGAAAGGCCAATCGGTTACATGAATTCCAGAAGGATAAGCATCATCGGGGAGGTGATCGGGAATTGACCCTCTGTGTTCACGCCAATTGTCCAAGATTGCCTGTTCTAGCGCCAGACGCCCCTCGTGGCTATACTCGTCATCGACTGCGGATTGACTGCCTTGTCGTGGTTTTTGACCTTTGCCAGCCTGTGCACCTTCACTCACAGTAGACTGTTGCCTTGATGTGTTACCCTTGGAAGGCTCTCCTTTGTTTGCAGTCGTAGTTGTCTCGTCAGGCCGCGCCTTCCCACTGTTTACGGTTTCCGCTTCTTTCCCATCTTCTTCATCCTCGCCATCCTCGAACTTCGGATCCAGGTCTGTGATCAGTTTTTTCACCTCATCCCTGACAGACTTGTCCTTTCTCGCATCATCATCGCCAAAAGGTGGAGCTCTGAAGCCTCCCAAAGCTTTGGGTCTGTGGCCCTTTAGTCGATTGCACAAGGCGCTACGTAGTTTTACTAGTTGCTTGTCCCGCTCTTCCTTTCCGGGAATGAGCTTTGCTAGCGTCCCAAAGGCTTTGATAGTCTGCGTGGTGAAAGCGGCGTCATTGTCAAAGTGCAGTCTAAGTCTCGTTCTATTGTTCTCGTCCCCCGCGTCGTTGATCATCGTTTCGAAATCCCAGTCTGCTCGGGTGCATTCAAGCTGTTCGATCCTTAGTTGGTCTGCTTGATCCGAAAGCACAGCTGACGTTGGAGGGGAAGAGAGTGGAGGAGATGATGAATTATCCATAGGAGCAGAGTTGCATTCGCTGTCCTGCGAATCCTTGGGTGGAGTTTCCTTTTTGCTTCGCGGCTTCCTGGCCATTGAAAAGATGTACAACGATACTCCAGACTTTGAGAGTTAATGTTGCTAGTAGGGCACGAATGTTGCAGTAGCTCCAATCCGTTTATGAGCATCTTGTGAGCGCAGGTAGCAAGCGTGTTGCTCATCCTCTCAAAGAAACCAGTGACAAAGGTAATCTTCTAGTGATATCTCGCGTACAGCTAGCACAGATGACAAACATCGTCGTGCGAGAAGAGTGCCGATGCCAGCAGACGATAGCAAATCAGCTCGACAAGTACTGACCCAGATGTTGCTGCTAGTGCAGTTCGCTCACACGATGCTCAGGCGTCAGTAATCTAAGCTCGCGGCGCAGCCAACTCAGTAAAAAGACTCTGCCGTTGCAGCATGATGAGCTTCGATGTTGCAACATGAAAGATCTCAGATTGTGCTTCGATTTTCTGGCATTGTGACCACTTTATGAAGATTCTGGAGATAGACATTGCTTCATCCAGCTTCCAACACGGTCGATGTGTGTTGACTCTTTGGCATTGCGCAGTTGTTGCGTCCATAGCCCTGTGTCAGTGTACGAATCGAAGAGCACTCTTTCCTCTGCATACCCCTCGTAATACTGCTTCTCGGCGGGGTCGTGCGCTCGTATGCGACCAGTCTGTGACTTCATAGTGTGGCGAGCAATGCTCCGTCTGAGCACCTTCGACAGTTCCGCTGCTTGATCGTGAAGCGGACTTTGTGCACCGGTGGTGATGTTCCAGGCTGGCAAACTGATCTTCCCAGTGCCTGCTTGCGGGTAGACACGTGCATACGATCGACACCTCGTCAACTCAGGCGTTCCCAGCAGCTCTGGGGCTTTGCCATTGAAAGAATTGTAGTGACTCAGACTCATCTGAGTCTCAACGTCGAGGGCGTAGTCGGGCTGCTCAAGGGCTGGGTCCACAGACTGCGGCAGAATGAGCTGTGCATGCGGTGAGCGGAAGAAGTGGATTGGCGAGGCGAACCGATCGAACATGCCGTCTTGTCGTCGAAAAAGTACATCGCGCATCGCAGAGAGAGGCAGAGTAGGCATGAGAGAGTTCTCTGCCCAAGCGTGCCATGAAGTCATAGGCATGGCTTTCGGCTTCCGCTTTCGCGTTGCCTTGGCCTTCGGCAGCTCTCCCACTTTGAGTGCCTTGAATGAGGCCATCATGTCCTCATCAGCAGGGAACGCAGTTTCCTCGGTGGAGGATGGCTCTGGCAAGTCTGATGGGCTGACGTGAGGCAGATCGTCAGGAAAGACCCAATCCACAATTGGATTGTTCACGGCAGCGGCAGTGATGCGGCTCTCACCCACTCGACATTCTGTCAAAGCTAGCATAGTGGCGATGGAGCCTCCCATCAGCTCGCCACAGATTCCGAGGCGTGCGGCATAGGGCTGATGGGATCCATCAAGAAGCAAGTTGTCTTGGATCCAGTCGTACCCGTAGAGTACATCGTGATATGGTGTTGGGAACTGATGCTGTGAGGATGCACGGTAGTTGATGCGGACGATAGTCGCCGCGCTTGATGCACGTAAGGCGGTGATGACGCCTTCTTCCGCCCCAGAGTTTTGAGGGACTACAGGCCCTGGGGGCAGATAGATGAGAATAGGAGATGATGCATCGAGACCGTGGTAGACGTCAAGTCTGATAGAACCGTTTGATCGACATGGCACATCGAAATGCTCCTCTCGTGGGGGAGCTGTAACGACTGAATACGCGCGTTGGAAGAGTACACCAGCGCAAGCACGTCGTGATGAATGTGAGAAAGGTGTGCCAGACCGGATCGCCCTGAACAAACTGGAGCGAGAAAGCATCAAGACGCGTCTGAAGAGCTGATGAAAATGGTGGGACAGCAGCTGTGAACGTTGAAGGTAGAAGTGGCTCCTGCCCTTGCTGGGACGTGCCTGTCGTACCCAAATACGATGGAGGTAAGAGCGACCGGACGGAACGACAACAGGCGCGACTGAGCACTTGAATGATTAAACAGATCGACTGACTAAGGAGAGACAGACTGCGATACGATATACGGTCGCTGAACGAAGGGAAGGCCTCGAAGGCGTCTGGAAGGGTGTTTTAGTGGTACAGGGTTGTCAAGGGGGGGCGGCGCAATGGCCATCTCCAAGGAGATTGCTGAACCCCGACGTTAGCTGCTCAGCTTCCGCAGGCTAGAAGTACAACTCTACGCCGCGCCGCTTCTCGTGCTCTTGTCTCTCCCCTTGTCTCTCCTTATCGTGTGCGTCCTGCTTCCCCATTGTTGTTGTTGTTGTTGTTGTTGTTGTTCCTGTTGCTGGCGGCCTGGAAAACTCGTGGTGGACCCCTAATTCCAAGGTTCGATTGATCGTCGCTCCGCTCTGCGAACGGTGCACCGCCTTGCAAAGCTGCACACCAAGTCCTTGGGCTCACTCCTCTGCATGCGCCCGGAGACTCAGCCCTCGACCGCCGCATAGTCGCTGGTACCCTCCCCTCTGCGCTTATCCAAAATCTCGCCTCGAGCGTACTGCGACTGTCCAACGGCGCGGCACCTGCGAACCCCCTCAACAGCGTCCAAGGCTTTCCCCCCCGTACGGCGCGCAGCTCTCGCAGGATTCCTACGACCCACCCACGGACACACACTCAAACACACACGCATTGCGGCAATACTGGCGCCTGTTCGGTAGCACTCTCGAACCAGCAGCGACGGGCTCACCCCGGAGCAGCAGTTCACCATGGCCGAGGGATCGAAAGTACGGGCGGCCTTCACCCTATTGAAGAACCTCACACTGGCGGCGCTGCTCTATGGGGCCATCTATGGTATGATCAACTTGGTGAGCGACCCCAGTGTTGCTACCAAGGGGAAGCTGGGCATTCCTGCCTTTCTGGACAAAGCTGGGCCAACGGAGCTGATCAAGACCACAAAGTCAGGCGTCGAGGTCAAGTTCGCCGGCACCACCAAGACGGTCACCATCAACCCGCACGCCAATGTCTTCAACCGCCCCGTTACCGCTGTCAAAGTCAAGGACGACTACTTGGGCCCCCGCCCCCACGTCGACACAGAGGCCGATCTGCACATGCTGGTGGAGGAGTGCAGGGGTACATACAATGGCTTGGAGAAGATGAGGAATGTTTTCGACTGCCTGAAATTCTTCGCCGACGACGAGCACCGCTACTACAAGCTGCCAGAGGAGCCTGCTCGCGCCAGTGCACAGGACCCTCGTAAGGCCGAGTACGTTGATGCAGATGGGCACGACAACACACTGAAGAGCTATATGCCCGTCAAGGAGGCAATTGCTGCGAACGGATCGAGCATCGGAACCTGCCCAGGACCTATCATCCCATATCACGTCTACTGGACTGGCCCGGCGACATGGCGGGTCGAGGTCTTTCTCAAGAGCTACCTGTACACCCAGAACCTTGCGTGCTCTCGCCTTTGGCTCTGGCTGGACAGCGACAAGAACCCAAACGCTGTGAAGAACATGATGACGAAAGATGCTCTTTTCGCTCGCTTCTTGCCTCTGGTCGACCGCGGCGACATCGTACTGAAGGCCTGGAACTTCCCCAAGCGCATCCCTCTGCCCAAGGATGAGGAGGACAAGAACGGCTTCGGCTACTACAGCACACCCGGACGCCCCAACGCCGATGGAGAGAAAGCTTTGGCTGAGAATATCATCGAGGACAAGAACGGCCAGCAGTGGCTCGTTCTCACCCCGAAACAGATGACATTCCTGCCAGTGGCCGTCTCAGATGCCGTACGATTCATCGTCCTGCACATCCACGGCGGCGCATACTTCGACATGGATGTACTGATGCTCAGAGATATGCGACCGCTCCTCTTGCCCAAGGAGCATGCCTTTGCCGAGCGATGGGCAGCCCACCCACATCCTGGCGACTACAACACCGCCATCATGTCCCTCACAGCCAACTCTTCGCTCTCATCTTACCTGCTCTACGGCGGTATCCGCATGGGTGTCAACTTCCACCCACGTGTCCTGGGACGCATGGCCTGGAAGGATGGACGCGACCAGGAGTTTCTCATGCTGGAGACCGGCGCCTTCGATCCCATCTGGACCGAGTTCAACTGGGATCGCGAAGGTCGCTGCACCGTCCCATGTCTCCGTGACTACGGCGCAGCGTTCAAGGGCAGAGAGGGTTCACTTAGGGACGAATGGGAGAGCTACGACGGCCCACAGCTCGAACCTATCGATCTCGACAAGGCGCAACGCAAGGAGCTGAAGACACGCGGCCGCGAAGACGAAGAGCACGTCCCTGCATCCTCAGCTGCGACCCCAGCGAAGGCCGAGCACGCCGACTCATTCCAGCCTACTCTCGACGAAGAGGCAGAGCTGCGCAAGGCTGGTGTTGTCGCGGACTACAGGTTCGAAGAGGACAAGTTCCCGCCCAACAACCGCACGCTCGAGAATTTCTTCCGTGGAGCCTGGACATACCACATCCACAACCAGGTAAGCCCCATCCTCCCTCGTGCATTTCCGATGTTTTGCCACCCCGACCCCGCAGCCCTGCATTGTTCCTGCATCGTTGGTTTAGACGACCGCGTGGTTTGCACGTGAACGGCTACTGCCGCTCTCCAACCAATCAGAAACCCGAGCTAATGGAGAGATAGTGGCTCAAGCACCCCGAACCCTCATCGTGGATATCCATCCTCGAGCACGCGCAAGACGGCTTCTTCGCGAGGTCACGAACGAACCCGTATGGCGAGAAGTGGACGGGCCCGAATCTCGCGCCATACAACTACTGGCCAGAGTTCGTTTGAGCGCACCACGGCGCAAGCTCGATAACCTACCCCCTCTGCACAACTATGCCAGGTACGAGAGCAGAGTCGCCGCGCCGCGACTCGCTCGCATCCATTTACGGCCGTCATACTCGCATTCATGAATGAACGCCTTCGCCATCTGTTAACATATATCACCCATTTGGGCATTGCATATCAACACACGTTACGCGGTATATAAGCGTTCCTGGCGGTTCCGTGTACATATTCCGTGCTCGCTTTGGCGACTTTGGACTTTCGCTTCGCTTCGTACTGTACCTATACCATACCCTCGCTTGGCTGAGCTTGAGGATGTTGCTGTTGTTCTGTTCGCTTGTAGAAATGTCAAAACGATCCATTGTGCTTTGGTCCCAATTGTTTTCAAAACGTGTGCCACGCGTTGCCCGCCAATACGAACAGTGACCTGAAGAAGTTTGGCATGATTTGATTTCATGGTGGTGTGTTGGTGAATCTTCAAGTGAGCTGATGTGAGGTTCAATTCCTACCGAAGTGCGCCACGAAACCACATTAACAACTGGCGAGCCACAGCCATCCGCGACATGCATCGCATCAACATCCCTCTGCATGCCCATCACAAGCACCCGCACGACGATTGTTGTCATCATGCTCCGTAAATGATCACAGAATCGATGGGTGCAATTCTCTTGATTTCTATCCTAGCCCTTGCGGCTTCCAGCCTCTAACAACTCTCTTCCGCACCCATCACTCACAAGCTGTGTTTATCTACAAATCAATCAACGGCTCATCAACCTTGTGGACCGGCGCAGCCTGCGGCGCAGACGGGAAACTCTCCGGCCCATACCCGCCCATCGCATACGGCGTCGCGGGATTCCAATTACTCTGCTGGGATTGCTGCTGCTGGGGTTGCTGCTGCTGCTGCTGCTGCTGAGGAGCTTGCTGCTGAGGTGGTTGTTGATGCTGCTGCTGCTGTGGCGGCGCTTGATATTGCGGCGGCGCGTTCTCACGTGGGTAGGGAGGATTTTGCCATGCTGTTGCCGGCTGCGCTGGGGGTGAGATAGGTGCTTGTTGTTGTTGTTGTTGTTGTTGTTGTTGTTGAGGTGGTGCGCGATTGTACATTTGCGGTGAGGAGGATTGGGGTGGTTGCGAGGTGTAGCTTTGAGTGCGTTGGATGGGTGCTGACGCGCTGTTGTCGCCGTAATAGTAGTTTGCGCTTTCGGCATCGGAGACATTTGAGGGCGGTGCTTGAGGTGGGTATCCGGAAGAGGGTTGAGGTGGGTATTGGTCGGAGACTTGGCGTTGTAGTTGTGGCGATGGAGGTTGCTGGTAGGATGTGCTGGGCGGTCGCTGCTGGGGTGCTGCTCCGCCGCTATACGAGGCCAGATTCGGGTATGGCTGTGACGGTTGCTGTGGTTGCTGGTATTGGTCGTGAGGGGAGGCGTATGACTGCGGCGGGGCTGCTCGTTGGTCGAACTGAGGGTATGACTGCTGTGGTTGTGATTGATAGCTGGGTTGCGGCCGCCCATACGGATCTGCAGGAGCTGCGCTACTCGAATAGTAGTTTTCGCTACCCTGATACGCAGGTGCACCAGAGGGGATCTGAGGGTAGACGTTTGACGCAGGACGGGGCATTCCGTACATGGTACCGGCTTGGGTATACGTGCTGGACAGACGCTCCTCGAGCATACGATCGTAGTAACGAACGACAGTGGAAAGCTTGGCGTGGAGGTCAAGTAACGTTTCTGTCCATATCAGCTGGTGCACGGGGGAGACAGAAAGGATGGTAAGTACCGTGCTTGCTCATTGTCTCGCCGTATGTTCGCGCGAGTTTTGGCCGCAGCTTGCCTATGCTCTCGTAGAGTTCTTGTATCTGAGGCTCGCGCAGAATAGCGCCGGGAGGCTGATGTTGTAATCGGTCCACTAGTGTCGAGAAGAGGTTGATGTTCTCCGCCTCCACAGGGGTGAGCTCGTAGTCGTTCTTCGGTGCGACAAAAGGTGTCCCCTTTGAGGTGTTCGTCGCCTGTTGGCGGAAGTTCGTGGCATACTTCGTCTTCTGCTCTTCCATGTCGGCCAGCGAGGCTGCAATGGCGGCCTTCAAGTCGGCGTCCTCTTCTTCCTCTGGCTCAGGGTTTTTGGTTGTGCCATTGGGCTTGGATTGCGACTTCAGCTGCGCTTGCGAGACGAACCCAGACGAGCTGTTGCCCTTTGCATCTTCCAGACTCATCTCCAGAGCCCGTTTCAAGTCTGCATCGAAGCTGTCCTCGACACGCGGGTTGCGCGGCTCCATCGAGCCCTGGTATAGTGTCCTGCTCGGCCTGGGTGCGTCAGATCGAGGCGGTGCCGGTGTTCCTCGCGATCGGTCGGTAAGCTTCGCGTGACAGCCGTCGTCGACTCGTACGGGGTCCATGATACCAAGGTGTGGCAGGGGTATGTTGTTGCTTGAGCAGGCACCGCAGAAGACGTTGCCGCAGTTTCGGCAATGGTGCTTGCGGTTCGTGAAGGTGAAGGCTGTGCGACATCGCATGCACACGTCTGAGTCTGTCCATTCCGGCGGCTGCACTTGATTAGCACACGTTGGGTAGACGATTGCTGAGTAGACGTACTGCGCTGCTGTCGAGCATGCTGCTGGAGATGTTCTCCTTGGGTGGGAACTGGTACCCCTCTCGCTGCAAGCTCCGGTAGACCTCGTTGATGTAGCCTAGGTTGCTGCGCCCCTCTGCTGCCGTCGCCCAGGATTGTATAAGCTCCAGCATCTTGTTCTTCACGTCGTGGTTCGCCGCGACACCGCTCGGTGCCTTCATGAGGGAGGTCATGTTGTCCAGGAACTCGCGCGAAGCGATCTCTTGTATGAAGTGGGCGCCGCCGTTCTTAACGCAGGTATCCGTGAGCTGGCGCACGTGTCAGCAGTCTGTAGAGAGGCCTGTGTCAGCGTGGCGTACGTTTAGAGCTGCCAGCTGGACGTTGGGGTTCTTGTTCCCTATGCGCTTCTTCAACGAGCGCATGGCATCTTTAGGCTGCACTGTCTTGGACCGAATAACGTCGGATATCTCGAGGTTGAGCGGCATGTCCTCTCTGCACCGTATTAGCATTTTTGGCCGCGGCTACCTCAGCAGGCCTCCTTGCACGTACAGGCTCGAGGTGGTGGCGCGCTCAATCTGCTCATCGAGCGCGCTGTTGGTCGACGACCCGAACCAGCCCGCCATGGTGTTTGTATATGCGCGTCTACCGTACTGTTCGTATTCCTCTGTCGACCCCGGAGCTTCCAGAGAATATGTGCAGCTCCTACTGCTGGGGAAAGAGCCGGGAGTGCAATATGGCGGACCGTGGTACGGCGGAGGTGTGCAATGGATGCTCAGGTATGGCGGCCTTGGCTCCACTGCGATGACGCTTGTGGCCGGAGCCTCCACATGCAGACCACCGAGGGCATCAACTCGGCATGCGCCACACTTCACCCGCGCACACCGCGCACACCGCGCACACCTCACACACCTCGCACACCTCGCACGCCTTGCACACCCTGCACACCCTGCACAGCGCGCACCCCCTCGCTGTTCGACTCCGCTCCTATACACGACTCTGTAGCACATTGCCGCTGTCATAGTAACGAGCTCTGGCACCAGTCGAGTCCAAGCCCCACCGGCTGGGCCTCCACACTCCTACATATCTCGGTGCACGCGGCTACCTTACGGACACGCAAACGCCCCATATACCCCGGCCCTTCGCGTCCGACATGCGCGAGCTGCCCAGAATATAGAGTGCGGTAAAGAGTGCAGCTGCTCCCTTGCCGCCCCCAGATTCTCCACCACCCCCGCCAAATGAACGGCCACACCAATGGCGTCCACGGCAGCGATGGCGCAGGCCAGTCGGGAGGCGCTGGCGGTTCCAACCCACCCATCGCAGAGATCGTGGGCTCGGCGACCGAGACAGTAGAGGGTCTGAGACACCATTCGGTATGCTGCATGTCCTGGATTGCCATATGTAGCAGGAGCTGACTTGGCGTAGATCAAGCACCTGCTCGACCATGCAAGGCAACACTTCAGCTCAGCCAGAATCATGCTCGGCAACCGCTCTCCTGTCGCCGGGGCATACTGGGAATACTTAGTTGCCTACCAAATTGTCGCGGTTCTGGTCCCTCAGCATGGCGACTACCACGACAAGATCGCCGGCAGCCGCAACCAGACACATCGCGACTACAACACGCTGCTCAAGGAGATCTCTTCGGCGGAAGAGCAGTTTGTGCGCATAAAGAACATCATCAAGAACGACAACTTGAGAAATGGCGCCCATCACACCAGGTCCGAGTCAGCTTCATCCTACATGAGGCCGGACTCGCGCAATGGTACGGCAGTGCCCAGGAGAGACGATGAGTTGATGTTACCGAGTGTGCCCGCTTCAGCGCCAGGTGGTCGAGCTTCACCTGCCGGCTCAGCTGATTCTGCACGGAGAAAGCCAGTACCGCAGCCTAAGCCGCAGTCGTTACACGGTCGTGCTGTTCACCAAAGCTCGTCATCCATCAACGGAGATCTCGCCGACCGCTTTGCAAAGCTTCGTGGGGCTGGGCCACCGGTGGACGCAAGCTCAGCTCGCTCGAGCCAGGATCTGTCTGTCAAGATGCCGTCTCCTGCAGACTACCAGTCTTCCATTCGCCTAGTCGGCCCTCGTGACATGCCACCACCCCCGTCACGCCTACTACCGAAACTGCCACTTGACATAGGCATGGCAGCTTCGTTCCCAAAGGAACCGAGTCCGACCTATAGTCCAGCACGCAACATCTCACTGCCCGCGAACATTGCGCCACCTCGAAGTACGCCGCGAAGTATGAATGGTACTGGTGGACGCAGCAACTCGTTGGCAGCTTCGACTTCGAGTATCTCGAGCCACGCGCCTAACACGAATAGTACACCGGACTCGTACTTCCCAACACAGCAAGCGCCTCGTGCGCAAGCTGGCCGAACACGGTCCGTCAGTGCTGCCATAGAGCTCGAGATCGATGCGGCCAAGCTTTACGACTACTTGCGCATGTTCAACGTCTTAGTGATTGACGTACGAGATCGATCGTCTTTTGATGCAGGCCACGTCTACCAGCGCTCGGTCATGTGTCTAGAGCCATCAACACTGCAAGACGGCGACTCCGCAGAGCAGCTCTCAGACCGCCTAGTCATCTCGCCAGACGAGGAACAAGCCATGTTCGACAGACGTCACGAGTACGATGTAGTCGTCTACTACAACGATTCAACGATGAACACGGACTTTTTGACGAAGCAAAGCCGGACTGAAGACGAAGTGGCGCTCAAACGCCTGTTTGATACCCTGCAGGAGTTTAATGTGGAGAAGCCATTGAAGCGACCACCGATCCTACTGAAGGGTGGTCTCGATGCCTGGATCGATTTGGTAGGACCTCAGGCATTGAAGATGTCAACAACTGCTGCGCTACTAGCTACTGGCCAGACGAGGCCTCGAGGCGTTCGCCGAGCGCCTGCTGCGACGCATGCCGCCAAGCTGAACCTGCAACGCCGAAGACGAGAGTATGTGCCAATGGACCCCGAGGAGGAGCAGAAGTGGCTGGAGGAAGCTCGAAAGGGCAGAGCCGTGGTCGAGCAGCCGCCTGCAGACGAAGAGAGTGAGGAGCCCGAGTCACCATTCTATCGCACAACCGAGGATTTCTTACGAAGATTCCCCGATGTTGAAGGAGGACAGTCCATGATGCAAGCAGCTCCACGTCCGCCACCAGTGCCCCAGTATGTCGCGCCAGCCATACCTGTTGCGCCGTCTCGACCACCACCTTCCGTTCCTCGAGTCAGCTACAGCGGTGTTCACGAGCGACAGGTGGCTCCGCAGGGTCGTACCAACCAGCCGCCGGTCTACATCTCGCAGCCGCACTTTACAAACGTCCGCATGCACAAAACCGGGCTGATCAACTTTGGCGTGACTTGCTACATGAATTCGGTAGTGCAGTGTCTAAGTGCGCACCTGGTGCTCTCCGACTTGTTCTTGACAGGACGGTACAATCGAGACCTGCAAAGGGAAAACTGGAAAGGAACGAAGGGAATCTTGCCTGAGGCCTACGCCACCCTGATATCTAATTTGTTCAAGGGCGACATTAGTGCTGTTCGTCCGAGTACATTCAGGGTACGTACAATGGCCTGTTGATTACATTCGCTGCTAACGTGTTGCAGAGGATCTGTGGTCACTTCAACTCTCAGTGGGGTGTCGATCAGCAGCAAGACGCCAAGGAGTTCCTCGAGTTCGTCCTTGACTTCATGCACGAGGACCTCAATGTCACCTGGAACAAGACCCCTCTCCAGCCCCTTACGGAGAAACAAGAGCTGCAAAGAGAGCAGTTCCCTCGACAATACGCTGCGAAGATCGAATGGGCACGATACCAGCATCGCGATATGTCCGTCATCGGCGGCATGTTCGCGGGTCAGCACGCTTCGCAGCTAACATGTCAATCTTGTGGAATCACAAGTACAACGTACGAGGCCTTCTGGAGCCTGAGCTTGGAGATTCCTCGCGATCAAGCGTGCGACGTAAGAGACTGCCTGCGATCGTACTGCGCTGCCGAACGCCTGGCAGGAGACGAGCTTTGGCGTTGCCCCAGATGTAAGAAGGATCGCGAGGCCGTCAAAAAGATCACGATCACGCGAGCACCTGACACACTCGTTGTTCACTTCAAGCGTTTCAGTGCGTCACACAACGAGAGTGCTCGCAAAGTGCGGACTCCCATCAACTTTCCTCTTCAAGGCCTGGACATGAGCCCCTTCATGGATCAGCCTATGACACCAGAGCAAGAACAGTATATCGCACGAAACGCTCCCGATGGTCCGGCACAACTGGCTGGCCTGAAAGCAGACCCAACCATGAACGGACCATACATCTACAACGCATACGCCGTCATTCACCACATCGGCGCGACTCTTGGAAGCGGTCATTACACTGCGTTCGTCAAAGACAAGGCTAGGGGCTGTTGGCGATCGTTCAATGATGACCGACTTGTCGACTTCGAGCCCGGCAACTTGCAGCCGAAGGATCGTTTGCAAAACGAACGAGCCTACATCGTGTTCTACGAGCGCGAGAGAGTCGCGGGCGGCGCCTTCTAGGCTTCGGCGCTTCGCCCACTTCTCAGTACCATCACGACCAAGTTCGATTCTCTGTCACATATTGCCTACACTTGGATATCGCAGTATCATTCCGCATTGCGGCGGCGTTTACCGTTGGGATTAGCGTCACAGTCATTTGTTTTGAGTTTTGATACCTTTGAGTCACGAAGGGGTGGAGATTTTGTCTTTTCGAGGGCGTTCAGCATGCGTTGTGTGGGCTCGAATAGAGGTATTGGTGATACCACGACCGGAAAACAGCATTCGTTCAATGAGAATTATCTTATCCGATGCTAGCCATTCAGGTTCCACGAGTTTGATCGCCAGAGTTTCCCGCTCACCGTCATTCTGAAGGGCGTGAGAGGGTCACAAGAGCGCTAATGCGATATCGGCCCGCACAAGCTTGGACCAAACTTTTTATCGTTATCGGTGCGACCGCCCGCATTTATGCCCCAGACGAACTATTCTTTAAGCCATTGACTCTTCAACACTTCTCCTTCACACTTTCAATCTCCAATCTCACATCATGGCTAAGGGACGCGTCTGTTTGGCTTACTCTGGTATGACTACCCTCACTGCATGCTTCAATGTTCCTCCGTTGAGCTGTGTTTGCTATGACGAGCATTGTTGACTAACCTGACTCACAGGCGGTCTTGACACGTCCACCATTCTGCAATGGCTGATCGGTATGTCCCTTGGTACGATTGATTGCAAAGACATAAGTTAACTTTGCACGCAGAGGAGGGCTACGAAGTAGTGTGCTTCCTCGCCAACGTCGGCCAGGAGGAGCCCTGGGATGAGGTCGAGAAGAAGGCGCTTAAGATCGGCGCGAAGAAGATGGTCATCCTTGACCTGCAGAAGGAGTTCGTCGAGGAGCTCTGCTTCCGCGCCGTCCAGTGCAACGCTTCCTACGAGGGCCGCTACCTCCTCGGCACATCGCTGGCCCGCCCAGTCATCGCTCGCGCACAGATCCGAGTTGCCCAGCAAGAAGGCTGCGACTTCGTCTCCCACGGCTGCACTGGCAAGGGCAACGACCAGGTCCGCTTCGAACTCGCATTCTACACACTCCAGCCCACCATCAAGGTCATTGCGCCCTGGAGGCTGCCTGAGTTCTGCGACCGCTTCAAGGGCAGGCAAGATCTGCTCGACTATGCCGAGAAGCACGGCATTCCCGTCACATCCACCAAGGCTAAGCCATGGAGTATGGACGCCAACTTGGCTCACTGCTCCTACGAGGCCGGTATGACGCACTTTCCTTGTAGATTCTCATCTTCCCACTAACACACGCCCAGGCATCCTCGAGGACCCCAATGTCTCTCCTCCCGATGACATGTGGACCATGACCCAGTCGCCCCTCGTCGCCCCCGACAAGCCCACCGACATCACCATCCACTTCGAGAAGGGTATCCCCGTCAAGCTCGTCACACCCGAGAAGACTTACACCGAGTCGGTCGAGCTCTTCGTCGCGCTCAACAAGCTCGGCCACATGCACGGCATCGGCCGCATCGACATTGTCGAGAATCGTTTCATCGGCCTCAAGTCCCGTGGCTGCTACGACTCGCCCGCCATGACCGTCCTGCGCCTCGCACACTTGGATCTCGAGGGTCTGGTCATGGACACCCAGGTCCGTAACCTGCGCGACCAGTTCGTCTCTCACAACTGGAGCTACCAGCTGTACAACGGCATGTACTTCTCGCCCGAGCGCGAGTTCGTCGAGAACAGCTTGTTGTTCTCGCAGCGCCGTGTTAACGGTGAGGTCCGCCTTACGCTGTACAAGGGTAACGCGTACGTCCTTGGTCGCAGCTCGCAGACCGAGAAGCTGTACAGTGAGGAGGAGGCGTCGATGGACACACTTGATAACTTTAGCCCTATGGATACCACTGGCTTCATTGCTATACAGAGCATCAGGCTGAAGAAGTACGGTCTGCAGAAGCAGGAGGAGGGTGCCAACCTTAGCCGGGCATAGACGATCTAGACAGGATGGTAGGATGTGAAACGATATGACACGAGATGTAGAAGGAATAAAAGTTTAATACCCATGAACGTACGATCTTTGTGAGGGTTGCTGCCTCATTGGTCAGGCTAGGCACTGTCACGTGCGCATTCGTTGACAAAGAGCAGGTGCGAATTCCTTCAATCCTTCCGACTTCTTCAGCCTCATTGCTCTTCTGCGTTCCTACTCGTTTTGGCCCATCACTTTCTGCACTAAATACGGCATCTCCACATCACATTCTGGTAACGTAATGATCGCAATGCCTCAGCCTTGCTGCTGATCAGGAACATCATGTATCGGAAATTGATCTCGATTGATTGTGTGTTCTTGTGCCCGTTGCCCGAAAAACCTGGATCAGAGACCGCCCATACAAGCTATTGACCCTAGTCCCAATCAGAATGGTAAACAACCCAAATGCTCCTGTCCTATTATCACCGGAGAGCCACTTCCATCCAACATCATGTATAGTACCTGGAGGGTTTCTGTAAGTAAGCCAGACACTTGTCCAACTCATATCGCCTTTCTTCCCTTGGTCGCATCGATGTTATGAGAACAAGAGCGATCTTTAACCGAATTACTTTCGCACTACCACCATCGGTGTCCATGGCCCTGGTGCTTTACGACGCAAAGGCATCCACATGTCCTTCTTGCGGTATTTTCAGGGTACTAGCTGAGTCCAGATTACATCGAGGTTGGCCGGAGGCAAATCCTAACAAATCTAGCGAAAAGTCCATGTTGTCACCGTTGCTTGTCTTCCCGAGGGCCGTTGAATGCAACGTCTGCGGCTTGGATCGTGGCTGCTCTCACGGCTTGGCAAAATCAATAAAGATTACAACGTTTGCCGGCACACCTCTTTTATACTATCAAACGCCAGGAGCAAGAATGCACCTTGGAGCTAGAAATGCGTACTGAGGACAACCTCTTCACACGGTTCGTCATGAAGGTCAGTATACATAGGATTCCACTCTGCATTATCATTTCGCCTGCGCTCAACAACCCATTGACGACAGTCTTCGAAGGTAGCGCACCGGCTTGGAATTTTTGTTCATTTCCAGGACGTCCCGTTGATACTACGTCCATGCAGGCGGCCAACACTATCCGACGATGGATCGATGCTTGCCAACACGGGCATACATTCTTATAGTCCCTGGAGAGATTTGGACTCTCTTGCTGCTGTCTTCATGCCGAGTCGCGCGCATGTCAAGTCCGGAATACACAGCCATCGTGCTCCGGAGAACCGAGCGTGGTCAATATGAGCGATTGGGATCGTTAACCATGACACAGTTCCCCTGGGGAGAAAACGAGTCTCTTGAATGAAATACGGCTCGTTGATGAGTTCATAAACTCACCTCTCATTGAGCAATCCACCGTTGTAGAAAACCGAATGTCTCCAAAAAGATGTAAAGAGTTTCACAAGCATAACTTCTTCGTTGTGTTTGGTGCATCGGGGTTGCCTGTAAAGGGCCAATTGCGCGCTTTCCAAGGTTCAGAGTGCCTGTCGACTGATTACTGTTCCCACGATCTCACCGAGAATACCATGATCAAGCCCAAGAAGCTGCGAGATTCGTAGGGATGCACATTGCACCGTCAGCTACCTGATCTTGAGTCTTAGACAGTCCGATTTCTTCTACCGTTCATCTGCTTTGCCTTTCCTCGCTTCTGCCCAACAAACTGCTCTCTTCATCCACAACCTTCTTCCCCTCATCCGTCGTCGTAGTGTTTTTCTGCAGCGTAATCCAGATCGCTGCACCAATGATGAGCAGCGCTCCCTCAAAGCTTTCGAGTGGAGGTGTAGTCCCCCAGATCACTCGTTCGATAACCAATGCGAGCACCAATTGCAGGTACATCAGGTTGGTGGCTCTGCCCGCTTTCTCCCTCTGCAATCCTTCAGTCAACAAAAACTGCAAGAGGAAGCCCGTAAGTCCAATGACGGCAATCAAACCCCACTGCCCTGCACTTTCAGGCATGACGAAGTGCAAGTCTGGATGTACAAGCAGCACAAGCGCGGACCCGATGGTCGCGATGAAGGCGAAATAGTTCACGGAGATGAGTGAGTGTGCGCGTTTGCCGATTACACGGATCGTAGCATACGCAGTACTCGCTCCAAATGTGCCCAGAATAGCTGCGAGGACTGCCAGTGTTCTTTGGGTTGGGGAGACGGGAGTTGGTGTTGTTGCAGGTACAGAGTTCACGATGTAGGAGAGCACGCTGGGCTCTGGCTCGCCAGTGATAGGATCCACGGGTGGATTGGGAAAGAGCCATGTTGGACGCGCAACAAGCAGAACGCCGCTGAATGCGATGAGCGCGGCCATGGCTTCGTGGATGGTAAAGGGTTCGCGGAGCCAGAGGAAGCAGACTAGTGCTGTGAGAGTGGGGACTATGAAGGTTATGACTGTGGCGTCGGAGATGTTTAGCCATGACAATGAGTCTTCCGTTTGTTAGCTATCGTTCTCCTGACGAATGTTCTGTCGATTGATGGACTTACAATAAAGCCCAAACAGCCCGATGAAACCACAACATCCGCGGAGTACCAGCAATCCTCTGATTCCCCTCTGACCGAGTGGGAAGTCAGGGGTCTTGTGATACGCCATGTACAGCATCCCCAGAATCGTCGTGCACAGCATTCGAATAAAAATGATTTGCATAGCATGAAGCTTCGTCTCATATCCAGTCGCCAGCAGTTTGGCCGCTGTGTTCATGATCGATCCACATGTCTGCGCCACAAAGACCAATACTAAGCCGAAATTCCTATAATAGAACGCCTTCAATGCTTGCTTGAATCCCTTTTGGTGGTGTGCGCATGCTGGGTCATCTTTCTGCAATCGTTCCTGCTCTTCCTCCGGAATTGGTTCCGGTGGGATTTCCTGCAAAAAATTGTTTTGCACGGCTGGTACGGGAGGCGTGGTGGTGGTTGTTGTTGTTGTTCCGTACACCATAGTGTTTCAGACGACTGCAGGCGCCACTGGAAATATCAAGTGCGGAAGAGAGCAAGAATGAGACTCAAAGCAAATGGAAATGATCATGGGAAGAAATCTTGTGACGGCCCGAAGATGCAGAGGACCCACAATTGCCGGCAGCCGCGCCTAGCCATAGTTAGGCGGCCAATCACGATAGATCCGCTAAGGGTATGGTCTTCCCACGATGCACCGGTATCGCTGCAAATGTACTTGTGAAATCACCTTGCAAGCTTTGAGGAGACCACAGTTCCAGCTCGGTTTGCTGGATATAAATATCACGAGTTGACTTGCCTAGAGTTCAGTTCAGTGGTGTCTGATTTTTGACCCAAGAATGTAAATCTATGAGCTCAACTTTTTGAATGTTAAAAATTGCTAAAACAACAAGAAGAAAGTGCTGCGCAAGATTTGCAGGTCAACATACGTCTTGAAGACCCTTTGAATTCACTAGATATACACTATACTCCTCGCCAGGCACAACTACCAACGCTTCTGATACCTGGGTACCGGTGTCCTCTTGGCCTTCTTGTAGCCACCGGTAGAGTTACCAGTGACCTCAGTGTCCAAAACGGCAACACTGAGCTGGGGCAGACTGAACTCGAACGTGCCGCTGGTACCAGCAGTTAACTCGGTGGTCTTCGAGTCAACGATCTGGACACCGGTACGCGGGTCGTTGTAAGCATACGGATCGCCAACAGAGTTGGTGAGGACGGTCAGCTGGGCTTTAGCACCGGGCTGCACACCCTCGAAGTGAACGATGATAGGAACCGAGGCATTGTCGGTGGTATTGTAGACAGCGCCCTTCCAGACGAGCGCACCGTTGCGAGCCTCGTCCTTACCAGCACCCCAGTAGACAGGTCCATAGCTGGAGTTGGAGGAAGTTGGGAGGGTGTGAGAGATAGGGTGATGTGCGAACAGGCTCCAGCAGTACCAGGTGACAGCGCGGGTGGTCTGCCTGGCGTCGGCCGTGAATTGAATCAGAGTGATGGGCCACTGGAAGCGGTTCTCGTTCTTCAGAACGGGGGCGTAGAAAGTACCGGGGATGCGATCGGAGTTGCGCTCGTAGCCGAGGAGAGAGACAGCCTCACCGACAGCGCCGATCCACCAAGGGTACTTGTAGAGAGGCCCGTTCCAGCGAGGTGGAGTGGCACCGTTGACGTGGGTGGCAGCGACCTCACCGATGATGTGGCCGATGTCATTGTCGAAGCGGTCGAACTCCTCGACAAGCTCATCCGGCTCGCGGTAAGGGTGGTAGTCACCAATGGCGTCAGCAGGGTACTTGATACCGTCTACCAGGTTAGGACCGGTAGTAGCACCCTCAGGGGCGGGATCGCTGGTGGCGGACGAGCCGATGATTTGGATTTCAGGATATTTGGCCTTGATAGCGTCGTGGAACATGATGAAGCGGTACTCCTTGTAAGAGTCCCAACCTTCAGGAAAACCGGCGAGCCAGTCCTCGTTACCAATTTCGACGTAGTTGAGCTCAAAAGGCTCAGGGTGGCCGAGAGCAGCACGCTTAGCACCCCACTCAGTATCGACTGAACCGCGAACGAACTCGATCTCGTTAAGAGCATCGTCAATGAAAGGCTGGAGGTCCTCCTTAGGAGTGACATCGCCGTTCAGCGCGAGGCCAGCCCAGACACCAATAACGATCTGGAGGTCCATATCCTCAGCCCACTCGAGGTACTCCATCATACCAAGACCGTGAGTTTGCTGGTAGCCCCAAACACCCTGGAAACCAGGGCGCTCCTTGAGCGGACCAAGGGTGTCCTTCCAGTCCCAGTAGGTGTCGTTCTCGAGTCCCTCAAGCATGTTACCGCCGGGGAAGCGAAGGAAGTGGGGATTCATCTCGGCAAGGGCCTCGGCAATGTCAACGCGGAGACCGTTCTTGCGGTTCTTGTATGTGGGAGGGAACAGGCTGATTAGGTTGAAGTCGAGAGATCCGCTTTGGGTACCCTTGGGATCGAAAGTGATAGCAAAAGTGTTGTTCGAGTTAGGAGCATCCTTCTCGGGAGTGAGCTCAAAAGTGTGCTCGGTCCACTCGGAGTCAACAGACTTGGACTCAACCTGGACAGAGCCGAAAACATCGTCCGTCAGGTTCGACTGCAGCGAAGCTGTGAATGCACCTGTGTAGGCGCCCTTGACCCAGAAAGACCCAGTGTACTTGTGCGCCCTGACATCAATACCCCAGTAACCCTCGTTCTCGAAGCCGACCTTGCCGACAGTGCTGTTACCAGCAGCCACCTTCATTGAGGCAGGCAGCGCCTTGGAGAGTGGCTGAGTGCCATTGTTGATAGTAAGGCTGGCACCATTGATGGGAAAATAGTGAGCTGTGGAGACCGGGAAAGCCTTGCTGTACTGGAAAGCACGGTTCTGAATCAACTCAGCGTAGATACCACCATCTCCGGAGTTGTTGATGTCCTGAGGCTATTAGAGACTTTAAGTATAGTATCATGGTTGTAATCACCTCATGGAGGAAGCCGTATCCGTAAGGGTGGCCAAACTTGCCAGTCTGGTTACCTCCATTAGACTGGACGACAATGTCGACAGCACCGACGGTTGCTACGGCAGTAGCTGCAAGGAACGCCTTTGCGAAGAGTCCCATGTTGAGGACTGTGAAGATTGCTGCTCACAAACTGAAGATCAAATAACGCGTCCGGGTCCCTGGCTTTTGTAGCTCTACCATTTTTCCATGCCATTTCATCCGGAACTTGGCAATGCAACTTTCAACTTGCCGTGTTGATCCCCACAAAAGTTTGCTTTCACCACCATGCTTGATCTGGGTATTCGGGATAGTAGTTCCCGCAGGTACACACGCATGTCAGCCTCCCGAGCGGCATCAAGCCTCAGCCATTGGAGGAAGTTCGACGCCTCTACCGGGCGGAGAAATGTAACTGTTTTAATTCCTTACGCGCCGTTCCTGAGAATCCATGTCGATCGGAAGGAACCCCTCTTACAGTGACGTGATGCTCAGGAAACGGCTTAGACGTGACCGGGGTATCTGGCGGGCATTCACCAGTTTAAGACCGCGGACCTCGCATCGCAACGGGTGCGCCATCCCACACTCGTGTTTGTGTCGATGCTTTCGCGGGGATTGTGGAGAACTTGGAGAAGCGTCGCGGAGATTCTGCCGAAACGCCAAACAGAGGTTCGCAGACTCTCCGATCGCCTTACGTCTTGTTCTGCCGAACGAAAAACCCACCGGACATTCATCGCATGAGTTGCTGTACACTGGGGATCGGATGAGGAAGACGTTCACGATATATGAGCGTTCAGTCGAGAGAAGCTGCGCCGTCCGAAGGAGCAGATATTGCTGCAACTAGCGCCTCGGCAAGTCAGCGAGGGTTAAGCCGCAACTTCCAACAACAGTAGAGATGTGGCCATCACAATCGTTGCAACCCAAATCTTCCCATTATTGAACAGGTACAGCTTCACTATTGTCATCACCAATTGACGCTTAAAGCTGGGCTATAGGGGTCTGTAAAGACGAGACTGGTCCGAAAGCAACATCCATTGTGTCTTGCAACGACCATCACCGTATACGCAACACTACTGCCCAGGCATATTCGGAAGAACACTCAAGGTTTGATCTTACATAGGCCTACTTACCACCACATTTAAATGTTGATATTTCACTCCAGTCGTTCCAAAAGTCGAGATGTCGCACGCAGATGCACGGTCGGCGTCTAAAAGTTTCTGCTGACGTCACGCGGCAGCACCTCACAACATCGCGAAGTGTCTGGACTGAATCGTTACAACATCAGACCAACATCGATCTATTGATGTTTGAAACCCGGAAACAGATGGAGATGGCACTGGTGTTACTTTGATGGAACTAGAACGCGACATGATGGAATATTCGCTAAACACTTGTGCATATTCGTAACGACAATGAGCTGAAGCTACCGCGGCATCAACAACACCGTTTCCCCACTACCTTCAGCCTTTGTATTTTGTAATGACGCGACGATTCAGGAGGAGTAGTCCCAAACCGCCGCCGCGACCACCAAAGGATCTGAAGGCGGCGGACATGCGTCGCAAGGGGAAGCCACCACTTATTCAGGAGTCAAATCCGATTCCAGAAGACCTGGAGTCTGGAATCATCCGCAACTGGAACTTATCAACGCGGGACATCAGCACTTGCGTTCCACCAGAACTCTGGCCACGCAATGAGCCGGATCCAAAGAAATGGCATATCGACGTCATCCATCTTCTGCACGAAGCGTCTACGATAAAATGGAAAGAGAACGGCAAAGTATCATGTTCAAATAACGAGTGGTTTTGTTCAAGCATGAAACATGAGATCCGTTCGCGTCAACTCAGGAACAAGTCAGCCGAGGGCAAAGCGGCCTGGATGACCGCAACGGACCTAAAGAAAGTGATCAAGAAGCTACATTTCATGGCTAGGGATGAAGAGGACGCTCGGGCTAAAGGGGAAGAGTGGAGAGAAGTTAAAGAAGATCAAAAACCGAGTGTACGACGAGGTAGATCAGGAGCCAACAACACCACAGCCACGCAAGACAAACCAGACGAGGCAAATGGGACAGACTTCACTCAGCAAGAGACGACAAAAGCAGCACCACGTGGCCGAGACAGGCTGAAGAGAAATGAACCAAATGGGCGAGAGACGGTCAGACCAGGAACAAAGCGCCAAGCATCTGATCTCCCCATCCGACCAGCCCGCAAGCTCCGCGGCGTCAAACTTCCAAAGACCAAGCCCAAGCCCGCTGCACCGCCCCCAGTTACACCAGCCAACCCTCTTGAAAACTCCGACGAAGAAGAAGAGGAAGACAGGGAGAATGAACCCCCCGAGCCCGTGAGCGGGCGGCACATTTATGGCGACTTCATCAAGCCAACTACGGTCGACTTCAATGCCGAAAATGAAGCTCCAGCGCAAGCACGAACGCGCCAGACGCGCAAACGCGGACGCGCTGACCATGACAAGCCACCTACAGAAGTACAGATCGACTCCGATCCACGAGATATCGACGCCACGGGGTTTCTGTCCGAGCTTGATCCAAAGGAGGCACGAAGAAGACGCAAGCCAAGATTATCCCGTCTACAGCAGGACCCCGTGTGGGAGCCAGCGTGGTCTCAAGATGTGCCCGCACCGCCAGAGACGCCGTTGCTGGCACCGGCTACCGATGTACCAGTATCAGGAACGCCAGCCGCACCGCAAGCAGCGGGTCTGGCTGCGGTGTCTAGTCCGCCTGCGCAACCGATGACCCACAGTAAGGATGCTGCAATCAAGTTGTTGCTAGAGTTGCTGCCGATGATACCGGAACACGCGACACCTGACGAGCGCAGTATGCTTGAAGATAGGGCGTCAATGATACATAGGGACATCATTACATACAAGACGGCGGTGTGGGAGATCAATGAGCGGATGCAGGGGTAGCGGGGGTTACATAACGTCCCTGTGCAGAGATACACCACCACCAAACCACCTCGAACCTCCTCCTTTCGTGCAGATCATCTCTCGCCTATAACAGCTTATTCTTTGGCTGTTGCTCCCTGGTCTCCCGCACTGCAGCTAGAAAACTACAGCAGTTGTGGTCGTCCTGTTGATTGTTACCTGCACCGCGTCGAGCATAGTACTGGCTTTGCATTTTCTGCACGTGATTGTAGCCTGCGCTGAATAACTCCAGTGACCTGGACGAACAAGATGTACACTATCCTAAATGCAGCCTAACGCCTTTGTAGGTACACCAACCGCTATCCCTGTTATCAGTTGCGTGTACATGAGATGAGGCCCTATGCTCTGCACAGACTGGCTACTCCCCGCATGTGTTAGACGCCGTGTCTATATCCCGACTACCAGTAGTACTATACTACTATCTGCATGCAAGTTTGCAAAGCTTGTATGCATCGTGCTTATTATTGTGTTCGTACACAAGTCTACAGCCCACACTCTGACTACTCAGCCAGCGTCACGTCCCTAGATCTAGGCTCTCTAAACGCCACCGGTTCAGCGTCGCTGTAGAAGACTCAGTGTCAGGATGGCTAGGCCTGAGGACTTGTGTTCGTGCTTGAACGCATGCTTCCATTAGCGACATAACCTCCAGCTTGCAACCTTGCGTGAACGCGAGGTTGGCCATTACCGTCAGTGTGTCTGGATGGTCATCTCCAAGTATCCTCTTCCTTGCCTCCCTCACCCGTGTTTCTAGGGTTTCGGCGTCCGCAAACTGCCCTTGGCTCCATAACACCGACCCAAGGTTGCTAACGCTGGTGAGCGTGTCGGGGTGCTCGAGTCCAAGCACCTTCTCGCTTCCTTCCAGCGCTCGTCGATACATCGCTTCTGCCTCCTCGTATTTGCCCTGACTCAACAGCACCGACCCAAGGTTGCTGACGCTGGTGAGCGTGTCGGGGTGGCTCGAGCCCAAGCACCTTCTCTGACACTTCTAGATCTCATCGATGCATCGCTTCTGCCTCCTCGTACTTGCCCTGACTCGACAGCACCGACCCAAGGTTGCTGACGCTGGTGAGCGTGTCGGGGTGCTTGAGCCCAAGCGCCTTCTCTCTTCCTTCCAGCGCTCGTCGATGCATTGCTTCTGCCTCTTCGTACTTGCCCTGCCTCGACAGCACCGACCCAAGGTTGCTGACGCTGGTGAGCGTGTCGGGGTGCTCGAGCCCAAGCACCTTCTCTGACCCTTCTAGATCTCGTCGATGCATCGCTTCTGCCTCCTCGTACTTGCCCTGCCTCTCCAGCACCGACCCAAGGTTGCTGACGCTGGTGAGCGTGTCGGGGTGCTCGAGCCCAAGCGCCTTCTCGCTTCCTTCCAGCGCTCGTCGATGCATCGCTTCTGCCTCCTCGTATTTGCCCTGACTCAACAGCACCGACCCAAGGTTGCTGACGCTGGTGAGCGTATCGGGGTGCTCGAGCCCAAGCACCTTCTCTGACCCTTCTAGATCTCGTCGATGCATCGCTTCTGCCTCCTCATACTTGCCCTGCCTCTCCAGCACCAACCCAAGGTTGCTGACGCTGGTGAGCGTGTCGGGGTGCTCGAGCCCAAGCGCCTTCTCTCTTCCTTCCAGCGCTCGTCGATGCATCGCTTCTGCCTCCTCGTACTTGCCCTGCCTCTCCAGTACCGACCCAAGGTTGCTGACACTGGTGAGCGTGTAGGGGTACTCGAGCCCAAGCGCCTTTTCGTACCCTTCCAACGCTCGTCGATGCATCACTTCTGCCTCCTCGTACTTGCCCTGCCTCGACAGCACCGTCCCAAGGTTGCTGACGCTGATGAGCGTGTAGGGGTGCTCGAGCCCAAGTACCTCCTCTCTTGCCGCAACTGCACTGCGTCCAATCCGCTCTGCCTCTGCATACTGCCCCATCAACATCAGGTACCACGCCGTGTTGGTCGCGATTGTCGCTCGGTTCAGCCTCGCCTCGTCGTTCTTCTCCGTGCTGTAGCCAAGTACCTTCGTCGAGTGCGGAAGCAGAGTTCGACAAGCCGCCCACGTCTCGTGCTGCCCGCTGGGAAACGCCGCAGCCATGATTCGCAGCGCTGCTCTCTGCCACACACTGACTTGACCATGCAACTTTACCCATTCTCTCGTCGCCAGCTGCACCAAGCTGTGCATCTCAAACAGTTGCTCCTGGAGTCGCATTTCTGACTGCTCTCTAGCTTGCGCCCTGATTAGAGAGAATCGTAGCAATGGCCCTACAACTTCTGCAAACTGCAGCTTGCTTCTGCCCTCATATAGTACGTGTTCGGGGATACCCTGTCTGTCGAACATGGTCATCAGCGAGAGCAGGTCCGCCGCCTCAGGCCTTGTCTTTCGGATCTGCTCGAACGATAGTTGCCAGGTGGTGATGACGGCGCTTGATACAGTAGCGTCTCGCCTTATGTCTCTTGCTTCCTTGTTGTTTAGGAGGTGCGCTTGGTTCTCCTCACTCTCGCGGAAAAGCTTAAGATACGCAGCGATATCCACCATCAGTTTGTTCACTGTGATGTACGCGGCCGCCTGCGTGACAGCGAGCGGGATGCCTTCCAGCGTCTTGACAAGCTCTCGCGCGTCGCCTTCGGATGACTTGTCCACCTGTGTCTTCGACTTCAACAATGTCAGAGCATCTCGCTCGCCCATGGGCTTCACCTCAATCACGTTGTGTCCCTCCCCCACCAGGTTCACGGCAGGGATCAGATCTCGCGAGGTGACCAGTATCCAGCCGTGTGCCGCTTGCGGAAGGAAGCTCGCCAACGGCGCCGCCGCTTCCCGAGTGGGTTCAAGCCCTTGCGCAGCGCTACCTGAACTGTCAGTAGCGCCGGGAGAGGCGAACACGCGATCGTCGTCAGCGTTGTCGACGATCATTAGCCACCGCCCGTTCCTCTCGTCGCAGAGCCAGTTGTGCACCAAGCGGAAGATGTCCGTCTTGGGGTCGTCGCGCCCCGGCAGCTCTACCCTGACGGCAATCTCTTGATAGGCTTGCTTAAACCTGGCGACATTGCTTGCGTGCACCCAGAACACCCACATGTCCGGCGCAGCCTCTCTGGTTCTGTACGCGTACTCGATGGCAATCTGCGACTTTCTACAAACAGGATAAGCAAATGTCCGTGACTGCTTGTGCATGATGACTGCTTGTGTGTGAAAATGCTTACCCTACGCCTCCTAGGCCGACAAGCGCTACACGGCTGTGACTTGGCAAAGCCGAGCCTCTGTGTATCTCCCCGATCTTTGCGAGGACGTCCCTTCGGCCCACAAATGCACTGTCTCGTGGAAACGGTACCATGTTGCACGATTTAGGCCTGTTCTGCGCTCGCGCTAGAAGCCAGCGTGGTTAGCTACGATCAAGCTAAACAGACACAGCTCCTTGCTTGGCAGACAGAGCATGCGTTAATTCAAAGTGCCACAGCTGCGTACCAAAGCGATCTGCCACCACTCTCGGAGCGTCCCGCGCAAACTGCCTAAGCTTGTCCCGCGCGCTGCTGTACCCTCGAGCGTTCTTGTTGTCGAACTTGACGATCATCGAGTGGTCGGCGTCTAGGGGGATCTTCTCTTCCATAGCATCTGGGAGCTGGAGAAGCGCTGAGTCGCTGTCTACGGCGGTGACGAAGTCGCCAGTCCTCGTCCATCGCTTGCTCTCGCTGTCCTGTCACGAACGCGTCAGCGACCTTCTCGCGCCTTGCTGGTGTCGCGACGTCGTACAAACTGCAGCTGCCGCGTCTGCACTGTCTCGTAGAAGCTCACCACCTTGCGGTCTCGAACGAGGTTCCTGAAGTCGTCTAGCTGCAATGCTAGCAGATCGGACTTTTTTTTGATCTGCCCCAGCAGCTCTCTGCGCGGGTGACCGTGCTCCCCAGCAAGCATCTTCTGGATGTCGTCTACGACGAGCCCCCTGTGCGGGATCCCAAACAGAAGCATGCCGTAGGTGGCCTTGTGCAGAGAAGCTATCGTCGGATGGTCGTCTTCCGTCGTCTGGACCGCCTTGACAAGGCACTAAGGAGCTGCTTAGCTCTGTGCGCGTAGCTTCCTGAGCGTGCGACCTACATGAGCGAGTATGATACCGCCAAAGCTGTGTGCGATGAAGAAGAGCGGCCGCTGTCGTAGCTAGCGCGTTGCAACTGTCAGCCTTGCGCTTGCGCACTCACACACCCGCAACAGCAGCCTGTATCCGTACTCACCTCCTCTGTGCCCCGCACCTTCTTGAGCTCCTCCAGCAGGCCCCGGCCGTAGTCCATGATGGTGTCCACCCCGTGGCTCGACAGCTTCGAGTTGTAGCCGTAGATCATGGTGCGGCAGCACGGCAGGTCTTTGCACAGGAAGTTGCGCAGCCACATGCGCCCGAGGCTGCCTTCACCCCGCCACGAATCGTACGCGTGGCCGTCGAGGCCGGTGATGGCGATCACACTGCGCGCACAGAGTCAGCAGCTAGACAGCGCCAACAAATAGGAAGAGCAAGCCGTGTAGAAGAGAACAAAACGACATGGTGCGTACTCTGCAACAACTGGTGCGTCAGGCGTTGGCGTATACAGCTGGGTGAAGCCGAAGAAGTGCTGGTCGAAGTTTATGTCCGTGTCGCCCATGTCCGTGTCGCCCGTGTCCGTGTCGCCCGTGTCCGTGTCGCCCATCTCCATTTGCGACTCCCCCAACGGATCGGCTATCAGCTCTGACAGGAACGCAGGCACCCCGCCACGGCACTCCACCAGCGCCACCTTTTCCTCATCGTTGTAGCAGGAGGGCACAACAGCCACTCTGACGTCTGTCTTCGACTTTTCTTCGTTTGCCAGGTTGTCGTTGATGGCAGCCTTCAGCAATGCCGTCAGCTCGTGGTCAGGCTGCGAGGCTGCGAGGCCGGTGACGCGGAGAACAGGGCCCTTCTTTGTGGCGGCCATGTTGATTCAGAAGAGGTGCATAGCTGAGCGCGGTGAGTGGCAGCGTCTACAGCCTGGAAGTCTCGAGCAGGCCGGCGGAGGGCTGATGGGCGGAGGGTTAGTGGCATCGTGAGCTGGTGGTGAGCGGCCATCGCTGGGCTGTGCTGCGTGGGGTGCATCGCATGGCGTGCCGCCTGGGGCTGACGCAGACAAGATGGTGCAGGCAGCGCGCGTGCAGGCAGGCAGGACGTGTATGGCAAGGCTGGCTGAGCGCGTGACAATCTGCGTTATCGATAGAGGGCGACCCTGTGCTGCGTCGAGTGTCGTAGCGCGTCTTAACTCAACGTTTAGCCGTCCAGTGCAGCCTGTCGGCGTGGGGCCGTCCGTCCCACTAGCAACCGCGCAACCGCGCAACCGCGCAACCGCACAACCATAGCGCCCGTGGCGGCGGCCCCGTACTCGAAGCGAAGCGCGGCCTTCTCCCGTCGCGTCTAGGCCTGCGTCCTTCCTGTTACGCCAACGCTCAGCTCTCTATATGACGCAAGTTTCTAAACGTGCTCCTTCACATAAGCGTACTGAACGCTGCTCGCTGAGACACACGCTGCTTGGCGCATGTCCTAGAAATTGGGACGAAGATAGATCTTCCGTACCTCTGTTACCTGAGTGCTTCAGAGACTTCCAAAGTAGAGGTGGCTGTGCCGCAACTAGGGTGCAAAGCCAGCGCGATGCTGGATGCGGTGCACGTAACAATCGACAGGACGACCACAACTGCTGTAGTTTTCTAGCTGCAGTGCGGGAGACCAGGGAGCAACAGCCAAAGAATAAGCTGTTATAGGCGAGAGATGATCTGCACGAAAGGAGGAGGTTCGAGGTGGTTTGGTGGTTTGGTGGTGAGTCCATCTCTGCACAGGGGGTTTCTCGCTACTGAGGTGGGGACGTTAACCTTCAAATCAGATACGCGATTGAGTTGAGGGGAAGCGTTCCCGGCTCTTGCATCATGCATTTAGAACCAAGGGAGGGCTTTTCAGATTTCGTCACCGATATCACTTCAGGGGTTATAGAGCCTCAGATCCTCAAAGTCTCCTTCGGCTTCAATGAAACATCACACCTAGGCAGAGAAGCCCGCCGAATCCATTCCCTGCAGCACTTGTCCTGCAGGAACCCCACGTGTCCAAATGCGTGAAAAGACAGCGGCTCGCTAGCTAGTTTGCAGACATCGTCATACCGCTCCGCCGCCTTGGATGACCCTGATTCATCAGAGCTTCAGTTTGCACATGTAGGGAAGTTTTGCAGGGAAGCACATCGATATCTTCAATATACACCAACATCTTCTGGGACTGGAGGCCACCCGAAGTTACACATTGAAATCTGGCAAACGAGCAAGGCGCCATCGATGTTCAACATTTGTATCCTCCCGGCACCGGTGGCAGCATCACTTTCAAAGAGACAGAATATGAGCATGTTGCAGCAAGCTCGTAGCCTGTCGCAACATGTGTCCATGTTTCTGCGATTCCCTGATGAGTTTGTCGGCTTTATTACCAATTCAGAACGCAAGTTATCCATCTAGGCAAGCTGCGTACAGCGCACTGCGTTCAAATCTCATGAATACCTGCTACGAGACATTCCAACATCTGGTTCGTAGCCATTGTACGTAGAGCAGCCTGTCGACGTGAAGCATCATACTTACGTCAGGCAGTTCTCGAGCTACCTGATATTGAGCATAAGGTCGTTGCAGACCGTCAAACAACTCCCTGTTCTCAAGCATGGGCAGTTTCCTGTGCACTACGTTAAGCCCGTGTCTTACTATAGTAGGCAGAGCTCTCCTCCACGCCACACTGGTAAGTTTACATATGGTTCCTGATGATCAGATCTGCAGCTCTCTCTGCGATTCCGTACACCAGTGTCTGGATATGCGCACTTGGCAACAACGGAATGATACTCGCATCAACTACCCTCAACCCCTTCGTGCCATACACCCTCAAGTTCGAATCGACAACACCACCATCCTCCTCCGGAAGCAGAGCCGCGGTGCCAACAGGATGATAGATACTGAGCGTATTCGCCAATGCATACTTGTTCCATTCTTCGTCACTTTGAACTGCCTTGCCTGGTTCATACTCCTCGGTCCATACATCCTTCAGAGGTGCCGTGGAAGCAATCGTACGCAGAAACTTGGCGAGGTTGGTAACGGCCTGAAGATCATATGGGTGCGATAGGTAGTTCGGATTGATGATGGGCTTGTCGCTGATGTTGCGCGAATCAATGTGGACGTGACCTTTGCTAAGTGGGTGCTGAACTACGCCAATCAGGGAGAAGGTGCCGATGCCGAACAGGGAGGAGTTAGCAGCTGGGTAGCCTTTGAGGCCCGTGTAACCATCTGAGAAGATGACTTCGAGTTGCGGTACTGTTGAGCTCAGGGGTGGAGAAAGGTAGCTCTTCTTGACTTTGTAGACAGCTGAAGTCAAAGATGCGTCGCCCTGGACCAGTGTACGAAACTTGGCAGCGGTGTCGTTTGACACAATGTCCCAAGGAAAGTAAGCGTAGCCGCTGGCGGTGTAGTCATACAATGAAACTTGGCCAGCGTTGTAAGCTGCAAGCTCGATAGCAGCACGAGTCGTGTTCTTTAGGACGTCAAATGATGGATACTCAGGCTTGAGCTGGTAAGAGCTCTGGATGCGAATGTGGTCCGAGAGGTTCTCGCCAACGGAAGGCAGATTCTTGACGATTGGAATGCCCAACTTCCTCAGGTGTGTCGCATTGCCAATACCAGAGAGTTCGAGCAGACCAGGAGTCTGGAACGACCCTGCAGACAGAATGACTTCTTTCCGAGCTTGGACGATGGTTCCGTCCTCGAGAGTAACGCCCGTCGCAGTCTTGCCTTCGAAGTTGACCTTCGCTACGCGTGTGTCAAGTTTCAAAGCGAGGTTGTCTTTCGTGAGCTTCAGATACTCAGGTGCGTATGATCGAGTGTAGTTCGGGCTGACGTTGTTCGGTTGAGTGCTGACTCCGACAGAATGGCCATTAAGTGATTCTCCGTTGGTAATTAAGCCAAGGTTGTTCAATGTAGGTATCCAAGAAGACTGGTGCTTGGGAAAGATCCGGCTGATCAGAGTTTGGATAGGGCCAGACTTGCCCACGCCTTCCGTTCCATACTCTGGCGATGGCAAGAACGTTTCAGCTTTCAACATCGCAGGATACAGGGTCTTCCAGTTCCAGCCCTTGTTACCGAGCTTCTCCCAGGCGTCAAGTTCAGCAATGGAGGTACGATCCCATGACATGAGGTTTAGCGCACTACTGCCTCCAAGAACCTTTCCACGATTCTGCGCAAACGTCCGGTTATTGACACTAGGTTGCGGAATAGTTGTGAGATTCCAATCATACTTGCCCCCAAGCGTTGAGCCCTTCCGTCCGGGGATGTAGATGCCTGGCTCTTGACGTCCATCTGGTCCTGCTTCGATCACAAGAACGGTGCTGTTGGGCAAGCCGACGCTGATGCGTGACGCAAGCGCAAGTCCAGCTGTTCCGCCACCTACTACGACCTATGCTTTTGGTTAGAAGAGCAATGTACGAAACTCAGAATTGACTCACGAAATCGTACGTCTCGGCGATATGTTCAGCAGCTTCACTTGTCGCACCTGCCTGCGACAGGACACTAGCTGCCACAATTGTCAGAGCCCAGAACCGCATGTTGTCTCTAGTTCGAGGCACGCCGAGGACGTTGCGGAAAGGAGGGTGGAAGGAGGAATTGTGAGGCGTACCTACCTTACCGTCACTTTCGTATAGCATACTTCGTGCACTCCATCTTGGCACCCTAGGATCGAGCTAACGCATGTTCACTGCAATATCGGAGTTAATCCTGGGTAATAGGGGACGAGCCTTGTGGCTCATTTGCTACGCAGTGGAAGGATGTCAGCTCTTCTCTCGGCCCTGCAGGCGTTTGCATTTAGCGTTCTTATTCGTGTCATCTCATTGGTCGGTGACTGCTTAGCAACAAGTTTAGGCAAATCTCCGCTTGTACGCAATCCTCCGAAACCCACCGCTTTAACAACACGTTCATTCACTCGATTGACATCGTGACTTCATTTCCGATCCTATGTAGTGTGGGCAATACAACATGTTTCACGCAGAGTGTTTTCAATGCTGCCCTGAAAGCACGAGTCCCTCGTGTCTACTGGGGCGAGATACTGATCCGACTTGCCGCAAGATAGCCTACATCTGTGCATCGATCAAGGTTGACGTCAGAATATAAGGTGTTTGAAGGCAGCGGAATTGCTCAGACGCTATCTACTAATATGTCGCCCTGGAACATCATGTGCAATCATCACCCTATCTCGGCAGATGCCAGAAATTCCTCAGACTCGACCAAGACACCGACGATCTGCGTCTCTCATAGGGAACCTCCACGGCTCGGCATGTGGACTTATCGAGAGTTACGCTCACTTCGATCGTCCCGCCCTTGACCACTTCAATGTGGTTCTCGAGTTATTGTTTTGTTCACCGAGAACGATAGGTTCAATGCGCAAATCTGGCGAGACAAATCTAGGGAAGCCCATAGAGCATGATGAAAACTTACGTCGTACAGAAACATTCGATCCTAAGTAAGTAATGCCATTGCTCAAATACGCATATCAGCCGGCTCCAGAAGATGCTATTCAGAGAGCCGGTATTCGAGTTCACCATTGCAGTCCTTGTGGCACGACACTTACTAGGGACATTCTTCCTCGTACTGATATGTACTCTCACTTCCATAACCATCGTCACTAGGGCTCTGAGGTTGTGCGCACGATGGGGACGTCGCGCTCTTGGCTGAGTTAGCTACGTCCATTTGTTCTGGGTCCAACCCAACTGACACTCACAGGATGACTTCGCTATTACGGCAACGGGCGAAACCAATGGTACCTGTCGTAGGAGAACTACAAATACGTCAACTTCCTGGCATGGCTCACACAGCTCTTCCTGTTCTCCAATAACGCACTACTGAAGTGCAACATTTGCTTACTGATACTGCGCATCAAGAACGACAAAGTGTTGCGGTACTGCTTATACACCATGATGTATGGCTTAGTGTTGACAAATTTGGAGCCAATCGTCATCCTCTTCACTCATTGCAGGCCAATCAAGAAGCTCTGGGGGCCGTCTACATCAGGCACATGCTGGCCCACAAGAGTCAGAATCTACTCGGTCTACGTACAAGTCGGTATGTCACGCTGTCTCCGACCAGTTTACAAAGGTTCATACTGAACAGAAAGCAGCATACTCAGTTACAACCGATCTGATCTGCGCATTCCTCCCAGCTGACGTACTCTGGAACGTCAAGATCTCGCCCAATACCAAATTCGGCGTCTGCGCTTTGATGTCCTCAGGCCTGCTCGCAACAGTCACAGCAATTATCCGCGCCTCATCACTAGGGACGAGAACTGTGGATATGTCATATGACTACTGCATCGCCGCCATCTGGGCGAATACCGAACTACACCTCGGCATCATCGCCACAAACCTCGCTCTCGGCCGAATGGTATGGAGTTTCTTTACGAAGGACATCATATCACCACGGCATAGCCATACAGTGAGATACAGCATTGGCAGTGGTAATGCCACTAGTCTCATAAGAGCGCAGACCGTGATCCGTATGCGATTGACAACCTTCGAACGAGGCACGTTGTGGACAACGCCGCCAGGCAAGCCAAGTTCCACTTGGACCAGTCTCAGACAGACTGACAAGCCCGCATCTAACATTTGAACTTTTGGAGGATTCATTGGATGCAAAGCTAACTCTGGGAGAGCTGGGTGCTGAGATGACACCATACATGTAGTTTACTCTGCTAGGCCAAGGGCGTTCTTTCGGGAACACATAAGTGGGAGAACAAATCAAACCCATCCTCGCTAACTACTTTGAGTGGCTCTTGCTTCATGGTTCCCAATATCCGAGGGAACCCCTGATACGTTGAACCCGTTCACACAATCAGCCCAACCGTGGTTCACACACAAAAACAGTCATACCCAACACCACCCAATACAAAAGCATTTGAGGACCTCCACACGCCTTTACTGAACATCAGAATCATCACGTCCAACAACATGTCAAACAACGAATAGCACTGCATCGGCCGCAGCGGCTGCGCGATGAGCAGGGTGTAAAGCAGGCGGTTGATGCGTTTTCCGCGTCCGTGGGCGAATGAGCGGACGGATGAGCATAGTAGGTTGTGGGAGGTTTTTAGGGGAAGGTTTTTTGGAGGAGAGTGAGAGGGTGCTTGTTCCTCCTCAGCGGCTTGTTTCAAGCTGTGGAAGGAGTATGACTAGGCTTGATGGTTGCCGCACGGTGCAGGCGACGGGGCTCGACTTAGCTCGGGTGTGGGCCAAGAAGGTCGAGGAGGAGGGACGTAGACGGGAAGTAGACGGTGGGTGGACGAGGTGGAGATGGGTGGAAGGGAGGAGCCGAAGCTACGGCAAACTGCGTATATGGAGTAGCTAGATGTCGCTGGTGGGTACATCAGAGTCGGGGTTAGTATTAGTGAGAGCAACGAAGATTTTGTCGGGATACAACAGCATCTTTTGAGCAAAACGGAAAAGGTATATACTCCTCGAAAACCCCGCACAACACCAGTCATACATGAAGGTATCATAACACCACGGTTCTGCACTACCACGGTTCTGCACTACCACAGCCGCCCTTGTGGTTGTTCATGCTGGCTCATATCGCCTCCCTGAACACGCTCCTCCGGCTCTCTGTAGGGCTGTTCTCAGCGCTGTTGGCACTCCCCGCCTTCTTATGTGTCTTGATCTGCGGTACCTGGGGCATCTGCGCCGTCGCTCCGCCGTGGTAACTCGTATCCTCGCCATGGTTCATTGGCCTCGGGCTCACACCCCTTAGACTCGCCGCATGGTCATCCCCAAATGGATCGTTACGCGCGCTTCGCCCGTCAAGACGCTCGTCGTAGCTGTCGCGCGTGCGGCTGCGTCCGCGCTCTTCGTGGGGCTGGGGCGCGTAGTTTGTGGATGCGTAGGGATTTGCGCCGCGTGGGGGTTCGTGAAGGCCGAGCTCTTGCTCCTCATAGTACGCTTCATCGCCGACTCTTGCTGACCACGCCTCATCCGGATCAAGTCGGCTGCCGGCGCCGCGGCCTCGTTGCGCGCCGCCTGTTGCGGTGTAATCGCCCTCGTAGGCACCAGCGGCGGAGCGGTTATTCCTGTTCTTGAACTTGCGGATTTGGGTGTCGATGAAGCCCTTGATGCCGCCAGGTGCGGGGCCAGGGTGGTTGGACGCGCTGCCGCGGGAGGCTTTGAACGCAGCGATGGGGTTCATGGATGGTGGAGGAAGCCCATTTTTGTTGGCGTTCCAGCGGGCGTAGAAGTACCAGCCGAAATAGGCGCCCGAGACGAGCAGGAGCAGGATGATCAGAAAGACCCAGCCGCCGTTCATTGTGCCGGGTTGGTGAGGGTGAGGGTGCGGGTGAGATTGGGCGTGCGCATGCGCGAGGCTGCCTCTGAGGCACGGATGGATGAGCCTGATGCGGTCGTCGGTGTTACGCTCGGCGCGGATGTGAGCGGAACAACTGCGATACAGCAGATGTTCAACGAAGAAGCCTTGAACAGTGCAACAAAGGGCGACGCTGAATTGTGTATCGTTGGTGAGTGGCTGAGCTTGAGAGCTTCGAGCTGCCAAGAATGGGCGGATGACGTAACCCTGTCACTGAAGCTGACAGCGCGTGGCCTGAACGAACAGTCCCTTCGCGTTGAAAGTTGTCTATATCAAGCGCGCTATAAGTTGGATGTTGACATGAGATTGCAAGGTTCCGATATTTAGTTCGAAACCGCTGTCTTTGTCTTTGCCCTGCCTCCACAGTGGTTCCTTTCTCGAACATGACGTACCAGGTTAGCGCTGCCCACAAGCGGAGCCAACAAATGCGGGTGAAGCAAGTGGATCCCTGTCGCTCCTGCGGTCACGACATTGCCAGTTATCGCGACTCACCATGGCGACCATAATCTTACTTCCACACAAAACTGCACAGCAACCGTGTTCTGGAGGTGGGCTCCTGCTACTCCGAACAGCCTGAGCAACAGCCCTACATTCCATTGGTCGATACATCCTCGAGGTATGCTGACACTCCTCAAGTTGCACACACATTCAATGGAGTGCAGGCTGACTAAAGTATGAGATACCTTTCTTCAACATGGCTGAGCCACAGACCCTTGACAACAATGTTAACAGGAGGGAGGAGTCCCAATCAGACGACAAAAATTACTTGACGGTCACCCTGCCTGGTCCAGGTGGCTCGTCTGCAGCAGATGCTATCTTGGAACTATATGAAGATGTTACGAAGCACCCAAGGCTGGCTAAGATCACCAAGCACTTGACGTCAGATACCAAAGAAGCGGCTCCGGGGATTCGCGAGACACATGTCATTCTGTCAGTCGGCTCAGGGCACCAGAAGGCGGCCGTTTTCTACGATGAATGCGTAGGCCCACTTCTCGCCGCCTTGTACGCAAATGACTACCAGAAATTCCATGTGCACACCACAACATCAGCGACAAGTGTGCTCGAGCTCGCAAACGGTACATTATTTACAAAAGCAAATGCAGGCACAGCTCTCCGCATCATTGTCCTCTCGGGCGATGGTGGCATCATCGATCTCGTTAACGGTCTCTCATCACACGCCACATCAGCTTCTTACATCGCGCCCCAAGTTGTCCTGATACCTCTGGGAACTGCAAACGCGCTCTACCACTCCATCAACCCTGCGGAACAGAACACATGGGGCCTCGCCGCGCTAGCATCATCACAGTCCAGCCCCTTACCGATCTTCACGGCTTCCTTCTCACCCGGCGCACGCCTCCTCGTCGACGAAGCGCGCAGCGAGGAAGAGCTTGCTACAGACCCCTCATCAGGCCGACCGATCCTCCACGGGGCGGTAGTGTGTAGCTGGGGCATGCACGCCTCACTCGTCGCGGACAGCGACACGGCCGAGTACCGCAAGTTTGGTGTCGAGCGCTTCAAGATGGCTGCGAAAGAGGCTTTGTACCCTGCTGATGGGTCAGCGCCGCACGCGTACAAAGCAAAAGTGTCAGTGCTGAAAGGCGATGAATGGACGTCGTTGAAGGAGGAAGAGCACATGTACGTTCTTGCGACTATGGTCTCGAATCTCGAACAGCCGTTTTGCATATCTCCGCACTCGAGACCGCTGGACGGGACCATGCATCTTGTGCACTTCGGACCTACGAGTGGTGATGAGGCGATGCGGTTGATGGGTCTAGCATACCAGGGCGGCAAACACATTGACGACCCGGCTATACGCTACGAAGCTATCGACGGCTTGCGTATCAAATTTCAAGGCAAGGAAGAACAGGGTCAGTGGAGACGAATCTGCGTTGATGGCAAGATTGTCAGGGTTGAAACGGACGGGTGGGTCGAGCTCAGGAAGGACGCAAGGAGAGTGTTGGATGTTGTTACAGTCTAAGTATGTAAAGACGCAACTGTTTCTAAGACAAGCATGCAGCTCACCTGGGCAGATTCGAGCTATAAGCGCCAGCCACGTGCCAGCAAGGCTGAGGAACGCTCCTTTCTACTCACTTGGCCAGGAACGTTTCTCGGTCCGATCCTCGCTTTCCCTGTATGTCGACATCACGATAGGCTGCTTCAACCTTCCGCCGATTCTACACTTCTTGAGCTTGTTTACATCGCGATGCGACACACGATCTCTGCGAGTTCTGTACTGATCTGGTCTTGTATAAGCTTGGAAGCTGTATCACCGCTTGTGCAAGCTGGAATGTATAAGGACTCCAGCACTCAGCGCAAGCATCGGGGTGTCCTTTCTTCAAGCCAATTTACGATGACCTACTAGCGGGACAACCCGAGGGTGGAATAACACTGGATACCTGCACAAAGCTGAGGTTTGGAAAGATGGACCACTTGAACTCACAATATCTTCATGCGACGAGCATTGTAACCCAGTGGTCTGTCACTAATATTGGTTGATTGTGATCCCTTTGGGTAAGTTCTAGAGCTATTGAACATGTCAATAGTATTTGCCCTGACATCGTCAAGCTGAACATCCAGACGCATGGCACCGGTTTCACGAATAGTCTGATTGGCAACAATGTACTATGGTCATGACCACTAGATTCAAGGTCATCAAGGATTGGCTCGATGAGTGCACATCCGAGCACAATGGTTTGCACAATATGTGTCATCGAATTCTGCTACCCGGATAGCCCAGTCGACTACTTAGCATAGATGCATTCAATACGCAGGGTTGCGTTCGCCTAGTAGAGACAAAACATTGGCCCGATCCATTCCCTGAGTGCACTTCTCTCAGCCATTGTTGGGGTTCCTCCAACTAGTCCACGTCCACCTACAACAGCGCTAGCGAACTTTAAAGCCCACAAGACTCAAATGTTAATGATAATGAATTATCTACGACAGACATTCCAGGACGCTATCAAGATCACTCACTGCATTGGCAAGAGATTCATCTGGGCCGATAGCTTAGCCACCCTCCAGGACGATGAGAGAGATTGGGGGGGCTGAGGCTGCTCACATGGCCTATCTATGAAAATTCATTTCTGACGATCGCTGCGACAACATCTGAGAACTGTGATGGCGGATGTAATGTGAAGCCATGGAAACCGGACATTGTCATGGGTAATGTCAGGGTTGAACCCTCAAAGCGCTACAGATTCGAGCCTGGTACAAGCATTCCCGTCAAGCGCAAGCGGGTTACCAACCACTGTAATGAGGGGAGCCCACCAGTTCTCCATACGTGGGGGTGGGTACTACAAGAAGCGTATATGTCACGACGAGTCCTTCACATGACGTCACGTCAAATGCTCTGGCAGTGCCGACGACAATTTGACCACGAGGACGCTAACATCTCTCCGCAACGACCATTTAGAAGCAATGATAGAAAGGGAAATTTGCGCAAAGTTGGCTTCCTGTGGCATCCATGGGATGGTCGCAGTTCAATCGGGCCCGACGAGCCCTGGTAGCGAATAGTTGAAAGGTACTCGAAGACAAACTTGACGTTCGCTTCTGACAAGCTGCCTGTCATCGTGTGTATCGACCAGTTCCACGTAAAGAAAATCGGCGATCAGCCTTTGCTCGGTTTATGGAAAGGCACCCTTGCTGTAGACCTGCGCTGGTCCTCAAGCGTACCACAGACTGCAACCATTCCTGGATTACCAACCTGGTCATGGCCTCTTCCAACAGTGAAATTATAGGTCCCCCAAGTATCAGGGCCACGACACCGAGCTTTCTCTTGAATCGTGGAACATCGAGGAACATCGAATGGCAACGCCAACCTTATATGTCAAAGGCTCGAAACGAGAACACTGAACGTGCGAGCCAGAATCTTCGAGTGCAAGCCCGAATCACACCATGATAATCCAAGTCCCACGTCGTTACTGCGTTTGCTCAGGGACTGGAAGGAAGCTTCTCTTCAGCTGCGCTAGGCCGTTGATTTGAAGTCCAAACTCAGATCTAGAGTATATATATTTGGCCCACGTCTGTTCTATCTTCCATTTTTATTTTTATTTTCTTCCCTGAGTCTTCTCCGTCCTCCCTTCAATCATTACAAGCGGCCTATGCACTCCACTCATATTTCAACTTTCACGCACACCGCCGTTCTCAGTCCATCCAAAGTCGAGCTGCATGCTCGCTCTCATTTCCCCTTTCATTTCCCATCGTTCTCTTGTTTCCGCTTCCCTCCTCCACTCCACTTGATCAGTTTGGGAACCCGACTTGCACCATCGCACCTGCAACCCCAAATCCAATCATCACCTAGTTCCTCGCCATCAGCCCGCCCATCCAGTACTCAGCCCCCAGGATTAATAATCGCACACTCCGGCATACCCTTCCACACCACTCCCCAATTCACCGCCTCCTCCGTCCTTCCATCAAACACCCTGCTCAGTTCGCTAGTGCGGCGAAAGTACCACATCGCGGCGAGATCGTGTCATTGGAACCTGGGCGAAGAGACGGGGGTTGTCGACGATGTATGTTGGATGCGCGGACATGTCGAAGGTGAGGTCTGACTCGGAGCGTGCGATGAGGTTGTAGATGCTGGGGCGCCAGGTGGCGGTTGCGAGGGTGCGACCGTCGCCGCATGGTGGGATGGTGTACGGTGCGGTTGCCGTTTGTGCGGAGGGGATGGTTTGTTCTTGCTTGGGGCCGTTGGGGGTTGACGGTGACGTTGGCATTGTGTTGTGGTCTCGAGGTCTGAGTGCGATGAACGGGCATGATGACAAGGTGATGTTGCGGTGTAAGTTCGTAGTTGGAAACGCGTTGATCACTGGTGAGGTAGATATATGTGAAGAAGTCAGTCGGTGTAACCACCTTTGCTTTGATGACGTGACGATACAGGTGAAGGTGAAGGTCAGGGTCAACGGCAGCGGTCAACAAGCCATTGTTGGTAATTCGCAACAACATCATGTTGCCAAAAATTTACGCAAACCCGAGATTAAGGGTATCTGAAAAATTCCAGCGCCTGCTTCCGTACTGACCATACATGGATACCTTTGCGCCGTAATTGCGATACAAACATCATCTTCAAGACTTCTGTGGCCTCCCATGCCTCGCTCCATCTCACTGCTTCCTACCCTTCTTCTTACTATCAACATCCATCTTCTCCCCCGGCCCCTCGCCCACCTCCTCACCCCTCGCCAACACCGCCTGCCCGGCCGCAGGCGCCATCCCAAACGGCACACTACTCTCTACCCTCTCCGCACTTGCCCTCCCAGCAAACAAGCCCGGAAACATAGGCTTAACCGTCGCAAAACTAGCGCTCCGGCGATCATGCTCCTGGACCTCTTGGCCAATCTCTTGCACCTCGCTCTCGTCTAGCTCGCTAAGTTCGCTTTCATCGTCTGCATCGTCGTCGTCGTTGTCGTGTGGTGCGGCATGCTCGGTGTCGCCTTCGCCGTCTCCCTCGTTCTCGTCGTTGTCTTGATCGTTGTCCATGTCGTGATCGGTGTCGTGGGAGTGGTCGTTATTGACGCTTGCGGTGGCTGTGCCGGGTGCGCTGTCGAAGGATGCGGACGTTGCGAGGAGCGAAGCACCCAGACCAGCGCCAGGTGTGAGAGAAGCAGACTGATCTGGCTTGTCGGTCGATTGACGTTGGAAAAGCGAGGGGATTGTAGCATTGGACACGGGAGGAGAGCGGATTGGCATCGAGGTAGTCTGCTGTGGCGTACTGGCAACAGCCGATTTCTGCACGCACGCTTCGGCTCGGCGCTGGATCTCGCGTTTGCCCACGGCTTTGGCTCTGGGCTTGGCAGGTTGCTCAGGCTGTGACGGCGCTTGAGGTAGTGGCGGTGGGTGTTGTGGATGGAGTTGGCTGGAGTGGTATATTGCAAACGGCGTATTGTGGCCTTCAGTCGTGCCATCGACTTGGACTTGGATCAGCGATGCAACAGACAGAGGGTTCGTGGGTGGCTGTGGCGTTACAGTGCCTGACTGTCCTAGCTGCGGAGGCTGCTGTTGTTGCTGTTCAGATGGCAAGGGCGGCAATGTGGGTCCAATCGTGGTGTACAACATGGCGTAACTGTCCCCAATAAGGTCATCGATCGTTGTTGTCTTCATGAGCCCGTTGTTGAGACGCTTTAGCTCGATAGCATCGCGGAGCACGTCTAGAACAGGGTGCTGTGTGGATGGGCTCTGACACCATGCCTCCAGTCGTGCAGCAAGGGCGTTGAAGTCCTCCTGGTTGACCGACTTGAAAGCAGAGTCTTCCTGGCCTTCTTTGACGTTCCCCTGATGTCTCAGAGACCTGAGATAGCGGGTGCATAAGTCCTTCCAAAGCTCAGTGTGCTGGAAGAAATCGGTTTGCTTTCGCCGCACACGCCTAGCCAGCGCCTCGAGGTTGGCCTTGTCTCCGGTCTTATCGAGCAAGTCGATGAAGAACTTTGTGTATCGTAATGTGTACACGAAATGGCGGCCAGGCCGCTCATACTCCGGTTTCCATACCTGAACGGCCATGGTTTTGGTGAAAATTGTCTGCGTGAGCTCGTGCTTAGCTGCATGAGCCTGAACCAGGTCTTTCCCGTCATCGTAGAGGATGTGAGCCGATCGTGCTATGATACGGTGATGCCAACTCGACTTGTCTGCTGTGCGCAAAGCCTTGATGACAGTGAGGATGTAGCGTTCCCATTCATCTGGATTTTCGGGTGGGCCGATATTCTTCGAGTAGTAAGTATTGGAAAGTACCTCCGCGCCTTTTTGGTGGTCAATAGCACGCCGCTGGACAAGCTTATGAACGATCGAGATCAGCTTGTAGTGTGGCTCAAGTATCGGCTCACCGCTCTTGCCTTTCTTGCCGGGCAGCCTCTCAATAGCACCTACGACGGGCTTGATGACCTCTTCCCAGCTCGGCCCAGTGTAATCTGGTGGGACCGTACCGGAGGATGCAGCTGCCACCATGGCGTTGTGGTTCGCAGTCCACATCTTCCAGAGACTCTTGGCAAGCATGTAGTGGTTCCACCACTTGTCCGAGTTGTTCTTGATGGCGCGCTTGTACAAAGTGCTCGCAAGCTTCCATGCCGTGTAGGGCTGCAGAGCGACAAAAGGTATGTCACGCTGCGCACCTGACAGGCCAGGCACATTAACGAATCGTCGTTCGCCGTCTCGAGTATGGAATGCCTCCATGTTGAAAGGCTCACGCGATGACGCATAAATGCGGTCGCCAAACTCTGTGTACATCTGTGCAATCTGAGCTTGGTCTCTAGACGAAGCACTTGCTTCGCGAGTCGCACAGGCTATTCCCATAGCATAGCAATTGATCGCGCCGCGCTGGAGGTTAGCAAGCTCGATTGTGCTACTGTTTATCTTGTCTGCATTCCAGGAGACAGCTTCTTCAAGCTGTGTATCGTACGCTTGTGCAAGGCGATACCATGTTTCCCATCGTTCAGTGGAGTACTCGAGGTCCTGTAGGAAGAAAGCCTGCGCATAATTCAGATCTTCAGTGGGCCCTTGGGTCATGCGCTTCTGAGATCGAAATTTGCTTAGTGCAATGTTGCCCATCAAGAAGAACCAGCTCTTCGAAGCAGCGACAGCTTCCTCATCAGGAATCGCTCGTGTGACGAGCGAACCGACGCCCTTGAGGCAGTTGAAGAGTGTTGTGGGATGTATTGGCGACTTGAAGTAGGTCGTGATGGCCTTGCGATTGAACGTGACATCATCATGCTGCTTAGGCCGTCCCAAAGCTGCGTGGACCTTCTCAATGGTAGCTCTAAGCTCTTGTTTGGTCTTGGGTAGGTCCTTCAGGTCTACCTTGGCAGCTTGAGACATGACAAAGGGAAGGAGGTTAAACGCAGCCTTCTTGTCAAGGACGTCTGGGGTCGAAGAGAAATCCTGGCACTCAAGAGGCTCAATGAACAGCTTGAGTCCGTAAAGATCATGAAGCACTTGACAGAGTTCAGTATCGCGACTGTTAGCGTCGATAACGTCGTCCAAGCGCAGGATCTCATCTTTGGCCAACCTCAGGAATTGACGTCCAGACAGGTGACAGAAACCACGGATTCCGGTGGCGTGGTGAACGTGTCGTAGGAACTCGAACAGATCTTCAGATGGTGTGGGAAAGCCTTCAGGGTTCTGTGACAGTCCTTCTCTGAGCAGGTAGTACTGTAACGTCCAAAGTCGCATTTGAATATCGTCAAGTCTGGTCGACATGTTGATGAACGCTTGAGCAGGCAAGCCTTCGATTCTGGGTATCGGTATCTTTCCAATGCGGATCAAGTCTCGGAACATGTTGGCGGCGGACAGGATGTGCAGCAATTTTGCGATCGCTGCCATGGATGACTGGACATGCTCGTAGGACAAGCAGTCAAAGGCTGTTGTTTCACCACGCATGATCTGCACGATCTTGACCACCATCTCGTCAATGACTCGGAAACGGGTCAAGAGCTTGATCTGACGCTCGACCAGTGACAGCTCTTGGAAACTGGTTGTTTCGAAGTCATCAACGAATGCCTTAATACTCCACAAATAACATGAGAGCACTTTTGGAGGGTAATCAATCGCGTCATATGCTTCGCGAAGCCTCTGCCAAAGTGATAAGCGCACATTGACATTGGCCGAGTCGAGGAATTTGCGCATCTCGACTACGGGTGATGGCCGATCTGGCCCAACCTCTAATTGTGAGCCTGGAGTGTCCACCTGATTTGAGTCCGCTAGTGTGGTTGCCCGCTCCAGCGTTGCTTCTTCATCTGCTGAAAGTTCCGTTGCCGGTTGTTCGGCGTCGTAGTGCTCCAGGATTGGTTCTAGACTTTCGATGACCGTGACAGGATCCTTTTCATCGTGATCGAATACCTTCAAGAAGAAATCCTTCATGCTGATCCGCGCTAACTCGCGATCAAGAGCGGCCACGGACAGCTCGGGCATGACAGCGTTGTTTTGTACCTGAATGGTGCGATCGTCAAGCGCGACGAATATGGCCTTCAGTTCAGCAATCGCGGATAGCACATGTTCCGGCGAGATGTCGTCTTTGACACTCATTTGAAACACTGAAGCCCATATATGGCGGAGAGAAAGATCGTCCATGACAATGTCTTGGTCGCAGTTGGATCGAAGTTGTATGGCTTCCCGAGCGAGGGTAGACCATCGTTCGAGTCGGTCGCTCTGCAAAGTCTTTGTTGCTGCATCTACTTGGCTGTGGGGATGTTTGATCAAGGAGTAGATGTCAAGATGGAGCTCGAACAAAGTCTGGACTATCTCGATCTGAGATGCATCGAAGTCAGACAAAGTGTAGCTTTGTGACTGAAGTTGGGTTTTGAGTATTCGTTCGTCCAAGTGGCTTATGCGCTCTTGCATACATTCGAAGATGTATTCATCAACGTTGACAATGATTTGCACGATGTTTCGCTTGAGATCTTCGGCCCATTTGAAGCCCAAGTAACTAGGAGAGCCATCGTGTGATGATTCTTGGCCTGCGAAAGACCATTGTGACAGCAAGGCTTCCACCCAGGCGAATGCAACCTCCTTTATGGAAAGCCAGCTCTCGTTGATGCTTCGCGCGAATGCTCTTAACCCTTGATCTTGCAGGACAGGTTTGGGAGAAGACTGACCGGCACCTGACTTTGCGTAGCCGAGAAACGCATTGAGGCCAGCTTCCCGCGTAACTCCCACCAGGTCGAATGACTCGCTGCTTAGTAGAACTTGCGCAGCTTTGCTGTTCCCATTTTGAAGAGCCAAATACATATCGCACGCCGCTTTATCGTCAATCTCAGTCGCCGTCGACTCAGGAAGGGCAAGCAAGAGCGATCGTAGCTCATTGGGCTGTCCCAAGCCCTCGACACCCAATCGATTATAGATGTCGTTGACAATCTCAAACAAGCATTGATCTGCATGAGCGTAATGTTCCAACTGACCCTCGAGCACGCTACTGGCGTCCTGTACGACTGTCTCACCGACTTGACCGGTTGCTGTGTTGCGAGTACGGATACGTTTCGCACGACCGCCTTCTGTTGTCTCTGGAAGGCCTGCAGAATCCGTTGAACGTTTGCGCGAAGGAGCCGGCGCCACTTCTGTGATTGTAGAGGCCTCTGCCCCCTGATCATTATCCTCTTGAGCGGGTTCAACGTTGTCCTCTTCCTTTGTGGTCGACTTAACTTCAGCGGCGGGCGAGGGCGGTTCCACGACTTGAGGCGGTGATGGCTGGTCATTCATGGGTTCTTCTAAAGCAGGTGCTGGTGCAGGTTCTGGTGCAGGTTCTGGGTCGATGTGTTCTGGTGTCTTGCATTCAGCCGGTATGACTAGTTGTACGTTGGAGCCTGGGGTGGTGATGCCTGTGATCCCTCGCTGCTCGGCTATAAAGTGCTGAAGTATAGCTTCTCCAACACTCGACCAGTCCCATTTTGCTGGCGCAAGTGCGATGTGGTTAGGCGCTTGTTCAATCGCCCGCCCACTGTTGATCTCGGCAACATCGGCAGGCAGTGGTGCGAATGGACAAGGATTCAAGCGCTTCTTGAGGCTCTCGGAGAGCTTCTTCCGCTTCATTGTGGACAAAGGTGGCTGCATCATGGAGACGTTGTCCTCCAGCCTGCCAACCAGCTCGCGCAACTGTTGGCCAGCCAGACCCTCTTCAAGGCCCGGAAGACGCAACGAGCTCTCCCACAACTCGTCGTTGCCATCCATTACCGCCTCCAGGCAGTAGCGGGCAAGGCGGCTGCTGCCGAGCATAGCTGCGACGGAGGCTGCGCGTAGCCACAAGTCAAGATCGGTGTCCTCTTTGTCCAGCGCTTCAGCGAAGTAGTTGAGTGCGCCCCTGATGTTGTTCCACCCATCGGCCTGCGGTATGGCGCCATGCTGGGTGACCCAGTGCTGCATCGACTCCAGCAAGAACTGGCCATGGTTCTTGTATGATAGATGTAGTATCTGGGGGAGCGTGTTCGGTGCGCTGTCGGCAGCGCCTGTCGTTTGGGTGGGTCCTGCTTCGAAGTCGTCCTCTAAGATGGAATCGAACACCAAGCTCTCGCCGAAGACCTCATGTCGCTTGTACTCTGAAAGCGATTCATTGTACTTGAAGATTTCGGAATCAAATAGCTCTTTATAGGCTGCGGCGGTCTTCAGGAACGACTGTGGGCCCTCAGAGTGGTACTTGAGAGCTGTCTGGTAAAGCTTGAGGGCCTCCTCGATTTGGATTTCTTGGGTGTCGTCGACCTCGTCCTCGTCCTCGTGATCGGACTCGACGTTGAGCGCGTGCCATGCGGAGGCTTTCGATGCCTTTTGGGGCCGTGACTGTACGCCGTTAGCGCAACACTTTCTCCACCTACTCCCAGCCTTCACATGCTGCAGACATACCATGATGGATGTGTGTTCAAGGCAATTTTGGGCGCGGAACGCCGGGCAGTGGGCACATTGAGGGCGCGTGCCGCAGTCAGAGGCCTATTGCAGCTATGTAGAGAGGCTGCAACAGTCCATCTAGCAGGCGGCGCGTGTAAGGTGCAGCGACGTGGAGCGCGTCGCGGCAGTGAATGTCGCGGCCTTGGCGCAGCCCTACGCGGAAGCTACGACCCCAGCTCTCCACCTTGACATATCGAGTGAACACGGAACCTGGACATACATCATTCACTGCGCAGCCCGTGCCTTTCACCCCTCCCGCTCACGTTTGCCGACTCCCCCCCCC